GGCAAGGCAGTTACTTTAAAAGTACAGTTTCCACCCTGGCTGAACTGGAAAAGAATTGTGTTGAGTTCTGTTTTGGCTGGACGAACGAGTCTATGCATAGATTTCGGTCGATTGCAGGATATGCAAAGCATGTGTACCGCCAACTCTGTATGAACAGATATTTTCCAAATCTTTTCATGTTTTTAATCAAAGTGCTCACGTGACTTGATGTACTCCGCGAAGTAAGACCAGTTTTATTGCAATATAGATTTTGATTATCCATAAGATCGTCTTGACTGGGCGTGGCCATTTTGTTGTAAGGAAATGCAAATGACATGAGAGGTGGTATGGAAGGGACATATAAGCGACGAAACTCGCATTATAGCCACTGATGGCGCTGCGATCGAGGCCAGAAATTCCAGCCTTGTTCGGCAAGGGTGGAAACTGGATTTTTATAGTCAATGAACTCCCTTGTCTCGGGAAGATGAGCACAGCTAGACTAATCCAGTACTGTATAGAACCTTCTAGAAGGGATTTAGAGCGTGCAAGAGTGTGTGTGAGCGTGCCTATCTCATCTCCCATCACATCTCACATTACATCAAGACCAGCGGTTCACCCTGAAATTCCAACCAAGGCCTATTTTGAAAGCTTGACCAGTGTTGCTGCTAAATGAATATTATTATCATTGACATTTTGTTATTTGCACTGCTATTATGTTGTAAAGTGCCATTGAATTTTGTACTGCCAATCCGTTGTGTACTGCCATGTTAATTACTTTACAGTAAATTGTTCTGAGTTGTATACCAAATTAATTTTTAGAATACAAGTGTTAATTGTATACCATTTCTTTGTTGTATGTAGGTTTAGATTTGGGTACAGATTTCTGCCTTAACGTAATGTTTCAATTCTGAAGTCGACACGTAACACTGTGTTGTTCCAATGGTCTGTTGATCGCCTCTGTGATTGTGCGATGACATTGAAGAATGCTTGATTCTGATCGGTAAAAATAAGACTAAAATCAAATATTCGATACCTAAATATTAACATGCCTGTAAAACACCAAAAACCTAAGTCTGAAAACATCGATCTATCGAGAGCCTACGCAAAGATGCATATAACAATGGCGGCAGGGGCGGTCGGGTAGCCTAGTGGTTAAAGCGTTCGCTCATCACGCCGAAGACCCGGGTTCGATTCCCGACATGGGTACAAAATGTTAAGCCCATTTGTGGTGTCCCCCGCCGTGATGTTGCTGGAATATTGCTAACAGCGGCGTAAAACCATACTCACTCACTCACTCACTGACGCAATGGCGGCCGATAACCCATTGAAATTGCGTACGCTCGATATCGGAATATCATCAGATGGTTCTTGTCACTTACTGGTACAAGCGCCATCCCTAAAGACGTTAAAATATGGTACTTGTTGTTAGCCCGCCTGGTGCATTCAGGGGATAAAACAAGGACCGGTCTGAATCAGTGTAATGGTGTGCTTGAGTAAGGTACAGACGACATGGTATCTCTATTCACTAGCAGAAGAAAACCGGCATAAGTTCGGACAAGTACAAGCAGCCACGTCGCTCTAGAAGTGCAATCATCTTGATTGTGATGTTAAACATTTTAACACACGTCACCAATGATCTGTTACACATCATACCTTCCAACTATGGAAACCTTATGGGGATGCCTTGGGGTTAAAGCTTTCGCTCGTCACGCTGAAGACCTGGTTTCAATTTACAGCATGGATACACTGAAGAGTAAAACTCTTCACACTCACTCATTCGCGGTGGAGGCATCTCCAACAACACGTCGCAATCAAAGATATTCCAGCTATATGACGGCACCATAAATAATCGAGTCTTGACCATACAATCCACTGAAGGGAAGTGATTTTGTGCTCATGTCGTCAATGTACAACTGGTATGGATGTGTTGTTGGTGACAGAATTGATTTTTATTTTTACTTCAAAACGAACAGTTTATTTTCAGAAAAAAATATTTCAAGTATTCAGAGCTACAGATAAGCTGCGTACATGCGTAAAATACTCAAATGTATAAAACCAGCATGCGTAAATACCCAATGAAGCTTTTTCAGCATGCGTACAATGGAGCTAATTTCCGATACACAATTACGAACTAATTTACTATCCGAGTCAAACCTATAGTTAGAACCCGTATATACATCTAAAACATTATTTTATTTTATTTTAAATTTCAAATTGTTAACTCATTTTGGGAAAAATTCAATAGAGTGATGAATAGATGAGTGAAAAAATATTGGTTACCCAATGAAAAATGTAATAACCCAATTAAAATAAAACCCTCGAGTAAAAACTCAATTGCTCAAAAAGTTATCTGGAGCTCTGCAGTATTGTCATGAAGAAATATGTACCAGAACACCCCACCCCTACCCCTCCCTTGGAAAATGGTCGGTCGGACTTCTGCACTACTTGTATAAGATTGACTGCCCCCGTTCTATATATACCGGAGTAGGATAGGTCCCCAACACCCAAATGCTTGTCGTCAGGTGAGACTAGGCTCGGTGACTTGGCTGATGAGGGGCGGTCGGGTAGCCTAGTGGTTAAAGCGTTAGCTCGTCACGCCGAAGACCCGGGTTCGATTCCCGACATGGGTACAATGTGTGAAGCCCATTTCTGGTGTCCCCCGCCGTGATATTGCTGGAATATTGCTAAAAGCGGCGTAAAACCTCACTCACTCACTCACTCACTTGGCTGATGATGTGGCTGTCTCTGCGTCATCGTACCCTAATTACGTGGATCGCTGCTCATATGTTCTTTCACTGGTTTGCCTGGTCCAGACTCGACTACTGACAGGCCGTAGTGGTGGAACTGGAATATTGATGACTGCGGCGTCAAACAATCTTCACGTGTTCCCAGGCTTTAATGCCTTGATGTATCTGAGCGCACATAGTCACCTTTCGGAGCTGCAAGCTGTCTCACTGGGCGACCGAGCGTTAAATAGAGACAGCAGCGGTTATGACGTAGAAATGTGCTCCAAATGTTTCATTTTACTGTACAAGTCAATATTCAGGCATTGTCAAGTTTCGTTGAGCATGACTGTGCTGGTCAATAAATCATGACATGTATTTTCCTCGCAACACCACCGCTGATATTACATCAGCATTACGGCTTGTTAACATTGCGGCTGAGAGTTTCTGAGATGGTTTTATTATACAGCATCCGATGATGTGGAAACCAAACTAATCATACACGTTATCAACCGATAATATAACAACTACAAGTTATGTGCCAACATGTTGCGAAATATTAGAGTAATATTTGCTAATATACGAGCGATATTGAAGCATTTAGTCATCAAGATTGCTGCTCCATGTCAGTTTGACATGGGAGATAAGGCACCTAGCCGCTTAGTGTTTGGCCTGCTTTGCTTCAAACATGCATTTATCGTCCCCATTATCAAGACCACCGACGACTATTAAGTATTTACAAATATGTACTTTTTCAAAATATTACAAAAAAACAATACTGATGCATTTTTTGCAAATATCACAATTGCTTTTCAAATTTTCTCCTGTAAATTATTTCTTCTTAAAACCGTATGTGAGTAAATTGTATTGACATCACTTTCAGCATCATTCAAGCTGTACCAAGTCATAATATAACAGAAAATAGGCATGATCGTATATACGGTTGCTATTTACGAGAAAGCGTTGTGTAATTACGTGCTATTAATACGGACAGGTTGGCCTAAAAACGCCTTGTATAAAAGGTCGAAATATGATAATATGTCATTACGTCCAGCTCTGCAGCAGATTGTTATATCAACTAGAAGTTATGCGTCCACATAATACAATGTGTTAGTGTAATAATTGCTATTCCACGAACAATATTGAAGCATTTAGTCATCCAAAATGTGTCTCCATGTCAGTTTAACAAGGGAGACCATGCAGGCGTGTGGTATATTTGGCCGCTTAGCTTCCAACCCGTGGGTTGTATTTCCTAAATGAATGTACTGAGGCTAGATATAATTCTGTACAGATATTATATCTGTGATATTATCATGCTGGAAATTAAATGGTTGTGATTTCTGAATCATTGTTTTGGGGTTGTTGAGTTTTATTTTTTGCCATTAGCATCAACGTACAATCTCATGATAAATCAAGTATATTTAAGCACCCATTTCATTTCATTTGTTTTGGCTTGACGGGAAAATTAAGGTGACAGCAGTATTTTAAACAGCGATGGTGTCGTGATTTTGGAATTCTGATAAATTGATTATGGTGAAAAGCAAGAGCATTCAACTCTACCCTCGTTAAAGAGAGATTGTCGTCATTATCATAACCGTCCGACGACTATTTTGGAAGTTACAAATTTGTTCTTAGACGTTATGACGAAACAATGACTTCTTAAGACCGTATACCACGGAACTCAAAGACTTCACAACTTTCTCATGACGGGAACAGAACCCGAACATATGGCATGGCGAGCCATCACTTTATCATTTACAACCTCACCGTTATTATAATCATAAAGTCTATGTGATATATTTTTAAATTCAAAGCACCGTAATACATATACATATAGTTGGTCTTTCATACACAATGCAATAAACAAACGATATTGCATTTAGTCTATAGCTACAGCAAGAGCTTGATAAATAGTATTAAACACACGTCTAAGTCAAGATCATCCGCTAGACCGAGATATTATAGTAATTTTCAGCTTAACTATGGAATAATCATGGCATATCGATATATCATATCTCAAATGGCACTATTTACATTATGAGAACATTTGCCGTAGAAACAAACATCTGTTGAAACTTTCTGACTTTTCCTCAAATTTGCTGCTTAAAACCCTGAAAGCCATACAGATCTTATCTAATTTATAAATAACAATTTGACGGGAAAGCCAAGTCAATCCTGTTGTAAAAACGGCCTGCATATATAGATCTATGTTTTATACGAAGCGGCAAAACCCAATAGTTCAAGCGTCGCCGGTTTGAGTGAGAATATATTTTCGAAGAATATACAAAAGTTACGTACCTTGAGGTCTTGACATGTTTAAGTGCGCTGAAATTGCCCATATAACTGTGTGTTTCTCTGTTTTTTGCTATTTTGGAATCACTTCATGGAAAGCAGAACAGTGTCCTTTGTGCTGGTCACAGACGAAACCAAAGCTACCACTAAACACAGTGCTCCATTACAGGCGAATAAATATTGACAGTTCTGCGACGATACGCGAACATTCTCGTTATAATGCGAAGTCAGTTTCTTTCAAGAAATATCATTACTTTTCAGAAGGTTACTTTGGGTTGATCATAAATACAAACTTTCAATGAAAAACAATTTTAACAATAGCACATAAGTTCTATTTAATGCATAATACATAAATTCGCGTTATAACGGTTTTCGTGATAAGGGGAGGCTACCAAGCACGGTCCCATGCCAACGAAAACTAATTTCATCCAATGCAGAGCGATGCAATCTGACTTTTATTTGCTGCAAACATTTGTAGGCGACTATGTTATAGATTTAAGTGGACATTATCATGATTATTAAGAGAAATTGACAGAGAGATCCGCCCGAAATTGATTCAGGTTGGGACGCGGAACAGCAACAATATGATAACCCATGGGGATTAATGGTGATATCTGCGACAGTTGGTGCCAATGTCAGCATTGATCTCGTTTGTTGACATGAAACAAGAATATCTTGTTGATGTTGTTTTATTTTAAAAGATAAAGATCTGAATGAATAAAACAATAACAACCGCGAAGGATTTTTAAAGAAAAAACAATTGCAGACTATTCCAAGTAGTCAAGCATTTGCTGAAATCGGAGTAAAGTGTCTTTGGTGACCCCTGTAGGGTATTCATGCAATACATGGAGTATTGTTCAACTGTTACTGTTTGTGCATTCTAATCGAGGACATGATTTTTTCTTCGAATTTTCATTCTTTTACATAAAGTAATGCAGGTTTTCCTCTGAGAACTTTGGTTGGTTGGTTTGTTGTTTAACGCCGCACCCAGCAATATTCCAGCTATATGACGGCGGTCTGTAAATAATCGAGTCTGGACCAGACAATCCAGTGATTAATATCATGAGCATCGATCCACGCAATTGGGATCGATGACATGCATCAACCAAGTCAGCGAGCCCGACCACCCGATCCCGTTAGTCGCCTTTTACGACAAGCATTGGTTGCTGAAGACCTATTCTACCCCGGAATCTTCACGGGTCCTGAGAACTTTGGTTTCGGAGATGACATCAACATTATATTGAACAACATGTAATTAGTATTCTTCTATTTAGTGTTCACATGGGAACAATATATCCCCCTGTCTAGGTGGTATGGTAGAAGGTTGTAAATTTGCTTGTTTGTTCTTTAACGCCGCACTCAGTAAGCCAGTGTGGTTAGAATAGGTCTTCAGCAACCCATGCTTGCCGTAAAAGGCGACTACGGGATCGGGTGGCCAGGTTCGCTGACTTGGTTGATGCATGTCATCGTATCCCAATTGTGTGGATTGATGCTGATGATGTCAATTAGAGGATCGTCTGGTCCAGACTCGATTATTTACAGACCGCCGTCATATAGCTGGAATAGTGCGGCGTAAAACCAAAACCAAAACAAACCAAAGAACCCGCACGTGACCGACTCCTCTGTTCAATGCAGTGTTTAGGGTTTCCTTATTTATATTTTCGTAGTGAAACCTGAGCACACAATTTCATAAAATTTACCTCCAAAATATTCATGATCCCTATTTTTTTTTGTACAGTATAGTTACTACTGTGCGTACATACACAAACTAGTTCCCTCTCACTGACGTCAGCCGTGCAACACACCGAGCTACGGCCATTGCTAAATATCGATTGATAAAAACAATAAATTATAGATTCAGACATCTAAAATTGATTTCTTGATAAGATTCACGTAATAACCTTGCAAGCCTATTGACGAGGCCTTTATTGCAAGTCTGGAAACAGGTTGAGAGCAGAAAGATATTTATGCAACTTAATTGTGCTACGGGTACTTCGTCATTATTTGGGGTAGCCTAGTGGATAAAGTGTTCGCTCACCGCACCGAAGACCCGGGTTAGATTCCCTACATGGGTACAATATGATAAGCCCATTTCTGGTGTCGACCGCTGTCACATTGCGGGAATATTGCTAACAGTGGTGTAAAACAATACTCCCTGAATCCTGATGGACCGCCTCCGTGGTGTAGTTTGTGTGCTGTTTAACGCCACACTCAGCAATATTCCAGCTATATGACGTCGATCTGTAAAAATCCAGTGATTGATACCATGAGCATCGCCCTACGCAACTGGGATATGATGACGTGCACAGCGTTAGAAATTGGTCCTGTAGTCCTTGCCAAACTGCCCAATAGTTTAAGAATTTTGCTATATGTTATCATTTTAAGGTTTTGGTTTGGTTTGGTTTGTTTAACGCCGCACTCAGCAATATTCGAGCTATATGACGGCGGTCTGTAAATAATCGAGTCTGGACCAGACAATCCAGTGATTGATACATGAGTATCGATCCACGCAATTGGGATCGATGACATGCATCAACCAAGTCAGCGAGCCTGACCACCCGATCCCGTTAGTCGCCTTTTACGACAAGCATAGTCACCTTTTAAGGCACGTATGGGTTGCTGAAGACCTATTCTATCCCGGAATCTTCACGGGTCTATCATTTTAAGGACTAGTGGACAAAAAATGTTAGTTTCTACCACTGTATGCATCAACAAAGTCAGCGAGCCTGGCCATCTGATCCCGTTAGTCGCCTCCTACGACAAGCATAGTCGCCTGTTTCGACAAGCATGGGTTGCTGAAGACCTTTTCTACCCTGAGTCCAAGTCGAGCTGATCATTCAGTCGCCTCGCAGAAACAGACTGATACGGGACCTATCCGAACACAGAATCCCCAAAGGGGGTGACATTTTTTTTACGGGAAAAGAATTAATTGGTTGTTAAAAATAAAAGATTACAGACGGAAGGACGTGTTAATATCGGTATCTATTTACCCTCAGCATAGACCGGAGGTACTAAATTGGCTCATCAAAATGCAGGAAGTGAAAGGAATTAGCGTCAACCTTGAGCCAATTCGGGAATGAGTCAGATGGCCTGCAACTCATGGAAGGTCGTGATATGTCAATAATTAAATTCAGTTCATTGTCATGTCCTGATAATATCAGGGGGCACGGGTGGCCCAGTCGTCTAAGGCGCTGCGATTCGCTGTGCAGAGTTGCGTCCCTTGGGCACGCCAGAAACCTATGATTGTGGGTTCGAATCCCGGTTCGCCCCCAATTATGTTTCTAGGTTTGTCAGCACCATACCCGTGCTCGTGGAGACCTGTATCACTTCGGGCTTTCCTCCCACATTAAGCTAACACGCAGCGATATAACTGGAATACTGTTAAAAGCGGCGTTAAACCCAACTCATTCCTGATAATATCTGTAGCATCCCTCATACTTACAGTGCGTGCCTAAATTTTGCTTTATGCCGCGGTGTCAGTAATCTCTCTCTCGAGAAAAATTCCTAATTCCTAACAACTCATGGATTAGGGCGTCGACCTGGAGGGCTAATGGATCTGGGCTGACTGTCCAGGCGGCCTGTTGTCGAGGCAGAGGGATCTAGATATGGGGAGGGTATCCCACGTCGTGGTGATGCATAGTAATACCTCGGGGTGAAGGGTTCATCCGTGGGCACAATCTTGTGCTTCCGGGACAGGCAATCTGCAAGGGTGTTTAACATTCCCGGTAAGTTCCATCATGCATTTCATTGACTTTGCCAAGGCCAATCAATGCGTAACCTTCTTCAACAAATGTTTCGATTTCGTGCCCCCTTCATGCTGTATGTACGCTGCCACCGTGGCGTTGTCTGTGGTTATCAATACTGACGACTGGTGCAAAAGATGTTTCCACGCTTAGCCTGCTTGGAAAATAGCTCATTTCTAGAAAATTTATATGCAACTTCTTGTTTTGGTCTGACCAAACCCCTTGAACTGTGACGTCGTTCATATGAGCACAGCCTGACGCGTCTTTGGGGAGGTCATGTATCGGAGTGGGAAATATGAGCAGAATGCCCGACATAACATTGCAACACTGAAGCCATCAATGCAGTTCCAATAGCTGGCCGTGAAGAGGTTGCATTGGATCGTCCAGTTGTTATTTCTGGTGGTGTTCATCCAAGCCTCCAGGGGGCGTAAATCTAGACTCCCTCGGGAGATCAGATCTTAGAGATGTCAACCTGCCGAGGCAAACATCCACCAACGGCGTGACCTGATGGGATGATCGAGTACATTTAGGAACATCGCTCGTGCTCTCGGATATAGGCCATCTGGAGGTGCTAAGATACTTTTCAGAAGCTGAAACCTTGCCCCTATGTACATTATGTCTTGAGTTGGTTCTAATTCCTACTTGTCGGGGTGTGGTAGGAGTTGAATAAGAAACATTGTGGTCTGCTTTATTTGCATTTTGTCTTCATCAGATGATGGGATGGGAAGTGTTCTACATCTTATAAGATTTAGAGGAGCAAACCCGATGATGGGGTGGTAATCTGGGTAAGTACCCGTTGCGCTATTGATATGCCAAATGGTAAAACGTTCAATTCAAACCTTTGACGTTGACTGCAAAGCATTGGTGCGGTGGACAAATCGGGTAAATGGGAACCTGCAGGCAAGTGTCCTGAAAGACGAGACTGACTAGTCTGTTCTCTCCTGGTCTGAGAGAACTGCGTAGTTCCTGGACTGATTCCGTTTGAAACTTGGCGGGACGCAGTAAGTATTCTTTGTCGAGTACTTTAGGTCTAGTATCATTCGCATGTCCGGAGTGTTCGTTTTCTGTACCAGGAGTACTGGGGAGCAGACTTCTCTTGTAGTGTCTCCTTGAAGCACTTGTGTGAAAAATTGTTATCAGGCTGTGCTCCTTGAGGTGGGTGCCGTGTCTGATGTTTAGCCGGGTGTTTGTTAAGTTCGTGACATCGTGTCCTATAGCATGGGCGATTCCTCCGAGAGAAGGGCTGGTTGTAATTTCTGCTAGTAGAACCATGTTTGTTTGTATATTTGTTGTTTAACGCCGCACTCAGCAATATTCCAGCTACATGACGGCGGTCTGTGGACATCGAGTCTGGACCAGACAATCCAGTGATTGACATCATGAACATTGATCCCCGCAAATGGGATACGATGACATGCATCAGCCTGACCACCCGATCCCGTTAGTGGCCTCTTACGAGCATAGTCGCCTTTTACGGCAAGCATGGGTTGCTGAAGACCTATTGATTCATGTTAAGGTATGTGTACTGTTTGCAATATATCTGTTGAAGATGAATATTATTTCATTTTCAATATTAGCATATGCAAAAATCATAGGCCTTAAATATGGATGCAAAATTGTATACATAACATTGACTTACCAGACGTCCATATGCCTTTCAAAAACAAACTTTCAATACAAAAATGCAGAAATAGAAAACAGAGGCAAAGTATATCTTTCAACTATTTATTTTTCCCCAATTTTTGTACTCACACACACACCTGTAGTACTTCATGAAATTGTGGTTGTAGGTAGGACAAGCATCTTGCTGCACCATTTACACCTGTCTCGCTACTTCACAATGACAGTACATAGATAGCACTTATCATATACAAAAATATCCCAGCAAGCCCTCATACCTCTCCATCCTTTCAGTCTCCATGGGTTCAGGGACCTGTCATCAATAACTGGTAAGTGGGAGACTTTTCATGCTCAATGAGTCATAAAATAAGATGACACAACCCAAAATGGACATGTACAAGAATTTATAAATGCACCCTAATTGCATATCCACCTGGCCCTTACAAATCACAAAATTTCACACTGAACACCAAACATATTACTTTAACAATAAAATAACTGTCAATGCACCTTTTATGCACCAAAGTGCATGTTGTATGTTATGACTATTGTTCACAACCCCAATTCCCACCAAAAGGCACCACTATCTTATGAATGACAGGTCCCAAAGTTTACAAAGGGCTCAAACTCATTCAGTAATCATTGTATCATAGATTGCACTGCACACAGTAGGTTAAATACTGTAGCACCACCTGCTAGGCTGCTTCATGAAAACATTGCCTTTCTTCACACAAACCTTGCCTTTGCTGTACAATTGTCATATATTTACACCAAATACTGATCTGTTGTTGATATTATTATCCTAGAAATGTGACGAATAAATCATATGTATTAGAAAAGGAAAGAAGGAAACTCTTCATAAAGCTATATGGGTTCCAGAGAACTAATAAGGCCACACATTTATTATTTTTCGTTTCACGGGCCTGCCGCCTCTACTGAAGTGCAGCTGGTCTAAGAAATAAATCAAACATAAAAATATTTATTCTTATTATGTTTCCCACTAGTAATATGGACCGTATTATTCGACAAAAAATGTTATATATAAATTCCATGTCAGCATCACTATCAGTGATTCAAGGAGCCAGCTGCAGCTTTAACTCCATGGCAGAACGACTTTCATATGAATGAATAAACAAATAATTGACATAGCTAATTTTTTTTATTTTGACCGACCTTGTGTGGAAAAGCTGGAATAAATCTGTGAAACATAAAATTAAAAAGGTGTGGCCCAAAGCAGTCCATTCTGTTGACAGGGATATCAAGCCAAAAGGCATGATTTGCACATGCACATCCACCAGCACTGTGTTCCCTCTGTGAGAATGAACTAATCTGGTTCTGCCCATGTATGTTAGAGGACACTATGCTAGTATTCCTGAAGACTGCTCTCTTATCTAGTAATATCACACAATAAAATTCTTGTCAATCCTTTCTTTACAGCATGCCTTAAAGAACACACACAATATAAGTTCTCTCTGATTTTGATTTCGATAAAACTTTTCAAATTTCATTCTTTCATTACATTTACCATATCTTAAATGCAAATAATAAAGTTCTTTAATCTTTTGTCCAAAATTTAATTTACCTAGAAACAGCCTTTCTTTGAGAAGAACAAAGACTTGGATACACTTAGCTAGTCGTCAAAACTTCAGGAATTGGTTGTAAGGAATGCATAATAACATTAAGCAAATCTTGGGACTCATCAATGCAAAATATTTCGCTTCTAAAGCCATTTTAAGCTGATATAATAAACATGTCTAGAACTGCACCAGCATAATTAGTACTGAATAATGAAACAGCCATGAAAATGTCCAACATTATACATTAGGAAGGCTGGGTGAGTGTCAGTATGGCCCCAAACATGTGTACCAGGTGTCGGTTTAGAAATAACCAGAATATACCCAAAACAAAAAATACTTTATTTCGGATATAAGTAACAACTGGAAAAGAAGCCGTGTACGTGTGAAATCTTCGGAGGAAAGCATACTACTGAAAAAAAGTTAAGTATCCCCTAATTCTTTAACGTAACCTATTTTCAGTAGTATGCAATTCAACAAAACCACTTCAGCAATAGAAAAATGCTGTTACAACAAAGTTTGGCTTGAATGTCATTAACACTGCTGCTGAGATAACCAACGGAGGAATGGAGTAGCTCGAATTTAAATAAATCAGAGTTTTCGTGCCAGTCTTCACCAAACTACAACTCCTTCCTTACCAATCACCACAAATATATATCCTCTTACACACACAGAACTCACATATCAATCACTAACATATCACTAATATTTCCTTCAACATTTGTCTATAAAGCCTATTGACTTTACTGACACAGAACACTCTACTCAGTTACAAGACAAAACACCACAACTGCAATAAATGGGCTACAATTTGAGCCCACAGTAGACATGTATAAGGACAAATTCCACACCCCATCATGTGTCTGCAATCTCATTACTATCAGATCTTTTACTCAGATACAATGACCCTCAGGGTGACGATCCAAAATTTTGCATCAGGTGAACTTTCAAATCAGGCTTCACAATTCTCAGAACACGCAGGCAATGCCCTCAGACCTGCATATCTGTATCTCCAAAACGATCTTAACAAATCAGTTCCAAATGTAAATAAGAAAAGCAGCACAATTATTTTGTGGATATTTTACATCTTGTTTCTGAGTGCCATAGTATCTAATATGAAGTACCTCAGATCTTCACGCAGAGAGTACATTATCGGACTACAAGATCTGATCTTCATGAGATTGTATGTGTTCAGACATACCTAAAACACCTTTTTTCCATGCACCTCAACAATTACATTTTGACTATTAAAGGAGCACAGCCTGATAACAATTTTTCACACAAGTGCTCCAAGGAGTAGCTTGCTGTGAGTAGCAGCTTGCCCAGCTTGACCCCTTCAAAAAATAATTTTAATATGACTCAACTAGATTTGAAGAGAAACCTACTTACAACCTACACATTGTAATATCTTGAAATGGCATATTGGCAAGAAACCTTTGTTGATGGTGTTCGCAAGGAAGTCTTTTCGACATTCAACCATTATTGATGGTGTTCACAAGAAAGGATTTTACAGGATTCTACCTTTATTGATTGGTATCGTATTTAAAGGCCTTAGGCCATTTAACCTTCAAAGTGTTCACATATACGTCTTCTGGGCTAGCGCAACGACACTGAGACACATTCAGGACTGTATACAGATGCAGCAGGGATGTAGAATTTCAAGATAAGTTGCCAACTGTGATCGCAGACCTAGTAACCATCATCATCACCGTCAGAGCCCTGATACATAGGACCTCGTTTGAGAACAGTGGGTCCAGTGAATGAGAACGGGGAATATATCACACCAACCATTGTGGAGATTCAGCTTGACATCCCCGTACATCCATAAGTTACACATACTAGTCAGTCTGCAGACAAATAGTTGGTAGGCTGATGAGGCAGGGACAGATGAAGATTCAGGTTGAGAATAAATCTGATATTGTGAAGCCATGTCTCAACTCTGTAATGGGTGCTGCATACACAGAGCACTACTTCAACATAGTACTGTAAGTGGGCAAGTTGGGTTTAACACCGGTTTGAAGAGTGCTTCAGCCATATCACGGCATGTCAGTCCATGTGGGACGAAAGCACAAAGTGATACAGATCCTAGACATTTACCATTTGGGAAACGCCACCAAGCACAGGTATGATGCCAATAAAACTATTCCCAGGTTGAAAATGAATGGTCTATTGTAACGCCAGCCATGTCCTGAATCCAATGAACAGTTTGCTGCAAACACAAAGCACCAGCCCAACGTAGCCGAGCAGGAGATCCAAGGGAGGTACTCTCGTAACAAGACGTGAGTGTTAATCAGATGCTGCAGTTGCTGTCGAGATCTCAATATCAGCCTATTCTAGAGTGAGTCTGATTTTATGCCTTTTTTAGCATTATTCCACTGGTTTCGAGAGACACTGTACGCATCTGGTGAATGCTTTAAGGACATTGGCTGGACAAGACAACACTGTCAGCGCCATGTCTCCCTTCCATCAAGTACCATCACATGTAGTTCATGGTAACCATACAAGCACCTGCTTATCTAAACCCATGTTCTCAAAGCAGCTAATACGACAGTGACATAATCAGTGGTTTTGATATTGCAGAAACTATGTCACACGGTTGCATCAATAATACACGCCACAAAGCTAAAATACAAACAATTCAGGCATGCCTAGTGACAGTTAGCACTTTCACATATATCAAAACCCTTTCACACCTCCAGCGGTCGGATATGGCAGCCTCAACCACCTGTTCAATTAAGTATTCCAGTTCCACCTGCCGTTATTGTCAGTTGTACTGTAAGCTGTAACAAACCTTATCCATCCAAGCACACAGCACACCCACTCTAGGATCACACAGTCTGTATATACATGTTTGTCTATATCCCATCCACACACACACACATGCACACATTCACTCAGTGTTATCCATAGTTCATCATGTCGAGAGATGTTGAGGAGGATGAAGGGCTGTTGCTTAAAGCTTTCAATGAGTCGTTGACATCTCGCCGGAAAACTGATAAATTCTGTGTGAATCTGCAGGTGAAAAATAATGCAGGGCGGTGATAACCTACTTGCAATTACAGATTATCTACAAATCTACTCTCCACACCAAGGGCTCGAAACTTACAAAATTAATTTACTCAGATAATCCTTGTAGCTTTTGGGTTCGTCTCTAATATACTACTCAAAAGAAGTACAGGATGACCCTACTTTAGTAGTATATTGCACACACTCTGCTGATGTTTTGTTGGTACATACCTGTCTCTATTTTTTGTGAGGAGAGACCTCTCAATGCCGTCCATGAGATTCTCGAAGCACTGCACCATGGTGGCCTGTTTCTCCGCGGGCTGGCTGGAGATGATACTTTCTCGTAGCTTGTTGAAATACTACATTCAAACAAGAGAAATCTCATAACTTTCTGTCATAATCAACAGCTGTGACCACGAAATCACTTACCAGTCATAATCTAACTTGCTTATGTAAATGAGTGAGTTGCCCACGGACTTGGTTGATGCATGTCATCGTATCCCAATTGTGTGGATCGATACTCATGATGTCAATCACTGGATTGTCTGGTCCAGACTCGATTATTTACAGACCGCTGTCATATAGCTGGAATATTGCTGAGTGCGGCGTTAATCACCAAACAATCTACTTAATCTCAATCATACTCGTTCTGCATGGTCTTAGAACAAGCACACCCACTTTGTCAATTTTCTAAGCCAAAAATGGAAAGATATTATGGTGAATAAGGTTTTGCCAATTTTAGTCTTCATCCCCTGAGAGCAAATTGGGACTGAGTAGTCTTAAGGATGTTCAGAGTATTTGACTTTCTCAAAGATAGTTATTTCTAAAATCTAGATCACATAACCTGACTTTCCAATTGAAAAATGAACTAAAACTTTCAAAATCTGGATTAGCTGCAAATTTCTTCTTCTCTACAAATCAGAATGAGGTATGTACTGAACATAAAAAGGTATCAGTTGTCACGGATTTGATGAGATATGTTTTCAAGGTTTTTTTTCCAGATATTAAAGCTGAAATATTTACATGGTCAAAATCTCAGTATCACTTTATTTTGGCCTGGTCCACATAGCTTCTGTTCATGGTATCCAGTTATCCTAATGATAAATTGCCTCTGAGTTTGTAACCCGTGAAGTTTGACCAAGGCTTCATGTGCACTAAACATGAGGAATGTGAGACACCCACCTCTTCATTGAGCAGGATGAGACCAAGGAGGGGTCGTGACATGGACCACTGGTTGCGACAGTCTTCGAACATGATGATGTTCAACACTGTCGACAACATCTGAAACAGCAGATATACAAGAATCATCAGTGAGTCAGAGGACTGAAGTTGGTGTCATTGTCAAACAGGTGTTACACAAGAATCATCAGTGAGTCAGAGGACTGAAGTAGGTGTCATTATCAAACAGGTGTTACACAAGAATCATCAGTGAGTCAGAGGACTGAAGTAGGTGTCATTGTCAAACAGGTGCTACACAAGAAACATGAGTGAGTCAGAGGACTGAAGTTGGTGTCATTGTCAAACAGGTGCTACACAAGAATCATCAGTAAGTCAGAGGACTGAAGTTGGTGTCATTATCAAACAGGTGCTTCACAAGAATCATCAGTAAGTCAGAGGACTGAAGTTGGTGTCATTGTCAAACAGGTGTTACACAAGAATCATCAGTGAGTCAGAGGACTGAAGTTGGTGTCATTATCAAACAGGTGCTTCACAAGAATCATCATTGAGTCAGAGGACTGAAGTTGGTGTCATTGTCAAACAGGTGTTACACAAGAATCATCAGTGAGTCAGAGGACTGAAGTTGGTGTCATTATCAAACAGGTGCTACACAAGAATCATGAGTGAGTCAGAGGACTGAAGTTGGTGTCATTATCAAACAGGTGTTACACAAGAATCATCAGTGAGTCAGAGGACTGAAGTTGGTGTCATTGTCAAACAGGTGTTACACAAGAATCATCAGTGAGTCAGAGGACTGAAGTTGGTGTCATTGTCAAACAGGTGTTACACAAGAATCATCAGTAAGACAGAGGACTGAAGTTGGTGTCATTATCAAACAGGTGTTACACAATAATCATCAGTGAGTCAGAGGACTGAAGTTGGTGTCATTGTCAAACAGGTGTTACACAAGAATCATCATTGAGTCAGAGGACTGAAGTTGGTGTCATTATCAAACAGGTGCTACACAAGAATCATCAGTAAGTCAGAGGACTGAAGTTGGTGTCATTGTCAAACAGGTGTTACACAAGAATCATCAGTGAGTCAGAGGACTGAAGTTGGTGTCATTATCAAACAGGTGCTACACAAGAATCATGAGTGAGTCAGAGGACTGAAGTTGGTGTCATTATCAAACAGGTGTTACACAAGAATCATCAGTGAGTCAGAGGACTGAAGTTGGTGTCATTGTCAAACAGGTGTTACACAAGAATCATCAGTGAGTCAGAGGACTGAAGTTGGTGTCATTGTCAAACAGGTGCTACACAAGAATCATCAGTAAGACAGAGGACTGAAGTTGGTGTCATTATCAAACAGGTGTTACACAAGAATCATCAGTGAGTCAGAGGACTGAAGTTGGTGTCATTGTCAAACAGGTGTTACACAAGAATCATCAGTGAGTCAGAGGACTGAAGTTGGTGTCATTATCAAACAGGTGTTACACAAGAATCATCAGTGAGTCAGAGGACTGAAGTTGGTGTCATTGTCAAACAGGTGTTACACAAGAATCATCAGTGAGTCAGAGGACTGAAGTTGGTGTCATTATCAAACAGGTGCTACACAAGAATCATCAGTGAGTCAGAGGACTGAAGTTGGTGTCATTATCAAACAGGTGCTACACAAGAATCATCATTGAGTCAGAGGACTGAAGGTGGTGTCATTATCAAACAGGTGCTACACAAGAATCATCAGTGAGTCAGAGGACTGAAGTTGGTGTCATTATCAAACAGGTGCTACCCAAGAATCATGAGTGAGTCAGAGGACTGAAGTTGGAGGCATCTGATGATGTTGGACAACAGCTGTACAAGAATCATCAGCAAGTTTGAGGATTTGAGGCTGTTGTCATCAACAAACACAACGGAGCAGGTAAACAAGTATAACAAGTGAATCGGAGCTAATTGAAGCTGTAATACAACTAACCATCTGTAACATAATTCAGTTCATTTACCATGATTGCATCTATTATTTTGTGATAAAACACCACTTTTGGTCAATTATCAGTTCACCTTGTCACCAGACAAAGGAATGTTTGCTGTGTACAAGTCCACAAATTCCATATTGCCAAGCTGTTGATATCATTGACCCGTTGTAATAATACTGACCTTGTAATATTACAGACGCGTTGGGAATCCAGGGATTCACGTTATTGGGATTCATGACATGCATCAACCAAGTCAGCGAGCCTGACCACCCGATCCCGTTAGTCGCCTCTTACGACAAGCATGGTCACATTTTACAGCAAGCATGGGTTGCTGAAGACCTATTCTACCCCGGATCTTCATGGGTCCAGACCTGTTGTAATATCACCAACCTGTTGTAATATTTCTGGATGAAGCTCAAGTATTCGGAGGAATGATTCGCTGTCGGGAACACTGCCAGCACGGGTCTTCTTCTTTTTGACGGTGAGACGACGAAACAGATAAGTGATGATGTTGTCAAGTGTTGCACAGCAGCCAGTGCACACCATTGTATCTGCAACAGGATACAATCGTATCACTACTGGACTAGGGAATACAAGATAACATTCATTACTCCTAACCCATCACATTTGTTACCTTCAGTAATCAATTTACAGCAAACAAACATCATTTTACTCTGATGACCAGTATTATTATCAGCTGTTCAAGAATCTAAGTCACCTTCAGTAAATATAGTTTTTCAGCAATCAAGCCCTTCATAGTATGACACTTCAGTGATCAATATAGGCAGCAACAATCCATGCATCAGGCTATATGTACACACATAAGTCCCAGAGCTTCACCAACCAACCCATCTGTGAGGCCCTTACGACCAGCACAGGTTGCTCGGGACCTATTGTAACCTGGATTCCCGAATGAGCCTATACAATAAGGAAACAAAGCACAATCATTCTCATACTCACCAAGAGCAGTGAGGCCCTCTGAAATTGTGGACAGAATGTAGAGAAAGACTTGAGGTTCTAAGTTGCTAATGAATGACATATGATCTTGGGCAAGACATTCTAGAAGACCGTAATAATTCTGGCTCAATTTCGGGAAGTCCTGCAAGATAATGTAATATTATTAGGTTCATACTCCCGATCCTATCTTCCTTGTAGTGAGTGAGTGAGTGAGTTGGGTTTAACGCCGCTTTTAACAGTGTTCCAGTTATATCACGGCGTGTGGGAGGAAAGCCCGAATTGGTGCAGGTCTCAGACGTTTACCACTTCGGTGAAACCCACGAGCACGGGTATGGTGCTGACAAACCTAGAAACATAAGCGGGGCGAACCGGGATTCGAACCCACAATCATAGGTTTCTAGCATGCCCAAGGGACGCAACTCTGCACAGCGAATCGCAGCGCCTTAGACGACTGGGCCACCCATGCCCCCCTTCCTTATAGTGAGTTAGTAGGGTTTTCAGTCACTTTCACAAATAGTCCTGCAACATCACAGCAGGGCACCAAGAATGGGGCTTCACCAATCTCATTACAATCAGATCTACCGCTAAACAAAGATCTGAGGACATCCCATTACCGGTTTCGACCTTTCATGAATTTTGACCAACCAATGAAATGATGAACAAGAATTGGACATTAGCCAATCAAAAAAACCAAACAGCTTTCATGAGCTGTATGTCAGTAGTTTCAAACTGGCGACTTCAATTCCGCTCTACGAAATCCTCATGCAGCAAGTACTGCTTGTGGCGGGGTACATTGTATAAAAGATTTATTCTCCCGTTGAGAAATTTATTACCCCCCAAGGCAGGCGACACAGTATTTAATCAAGATCACATGGACCAATCTGATCTCATCATTTTAACATGGAGGTCCCTTACCTCTGAATAGGACACATTTATTGAGATACAATTGCACTGTAATTTTCCTATCAGTCAAAAATACAAAATTGTCAAACATATTGTTCTCTATATTAAAATGGAATACTTACTAGCAAATCATTCTGTGATATTGACAACAGCAGCTTGACAAACATGCCAAGGGCGTTGTCAAGGGCATCATCTCCATAGAGACGGAAGACACCAAAATTGACATAGTTCCCACAAAGTGCTGCCTTCAGCATTGAGAAACAGATGGAGATACCTTTCAACATGGCGCTGGTTAAGGAAATACTCCTTGAAACAATGTGATTGTCAAACACATATTAGTGAATGTACTAAAACTGCTAATATCCCCTGTGAATTCCAGTGAATAAAAAAAGTAATTAACATGATTAAATACTATCAATTCATTCTCATTAAAATCACATCTTTTGGATAGGTGGGTTCTTGTGCCAATTAGATGTCACCATCCTAAAATGATTCGGCTTCATTTCTTTACAAACTTGATTTCAACAAAAGAAAACACATAGGAAACAAACATCATTACTCCTTGAAATTGTACTCCCTTTTAGGTGTAGATGCCATGGCACTCAGAAACAACAGGATGCACAAAATATCCACAACAATATGGCGGCACAGCCCTTATCATTTACATTCAGAACTTTCCATTTAAGTTCATTTTCAAGACAGAGACATGATATGCCGATCGAGAATTGAGAAGCCTCTATGCTGATTGGTTGATTAGAAAGACCACCTGACACAACTTTGTATGGATGTGTTTTCTGATCTACACGCAAAGAGGTAACTGGTGTAAAGCCCAAATACAGGTCATACAAGGCCGAGAATGAAATACATGATTGTGTGTAAGCAATCTTAAATATATACATGACTGGTGTAACTAGAAGAACATTGCCATAGAGAACAAGATGGTTCATTGCTTCATTTACTCACAAATGAATGAAGTCAGAAACGAACAAAAAGGATATTTTAATGGGTAGATTTGATCTTTGGCTATTTCTCCTATTGTGAGTATTCTTGACCCTGAAAAAAAATCAAAAAGAGAAGTCAAGTCAAGCAGAAAAAGTTTCTAAGCAAATAGATTTTGTTTTGAAATGTAGCGTAGTAAGCTTGATAGTTTGCATCTAAAGCTGTGCTCGAGACCAGAAGAAATGTTACTCAAGGACAAGTGGTGAAAGCTGCAGACTGCATCAACCTTCTGCTTTTCGGGCAGATGCTCTATCCACAAGAACATGGAAGGCTGTCTCCGGACAGATGCTCTATCCACTACACCAAGGATGTGGTGACCGGGAAGATGCTCTATCCACTTGACAATGGAGGCAGCCTCCGGGCAGACAATCTGAGCACCACACCACAGAGGGGATCACCGGGCAGATGATTGATAAACTAGACCATGGAGGCAGTCTCCAGGCAGTCAATCTGACCACCATACCACAGAGGAGATCACCGGGCAGATGATTGATCAACTAGACCATGGAGGCAGTCTCTGGGCAGACGATCTGACCACCAAACCACAGAGGGGATCACCAGGCAGATGATTGATCAACTAGACCATGGAGGCAGTCTCCGGGCAGACGATCTGACCACCACACCACAGAGGGGATCACCGGGCAGATGATTGATCAACTAGACCAGGAGGCAGTCTCCGGGCAGACGATCTGACCACCACACCACAGAGGGGATCACCGGGCAGATGATTGATCAACTAGACCAGGAGGCAGTCTCCGGGCAGACAATCTGACCACTGAACCATGGTGGCTGTCTCTGGGAAGACAATCTACCCAATTGACCACAGAGGCAGTCTCCAGGCAGATGACTTATCAACTTCACCATGGATAAGAAGCAAGTGTATGCACAGTACTGTTTGGATCTACCACGTCTGTATACCTACCATAAGTAACTATCATTTTACTGACTTCCCTGACGAGCAGAATACCATTGGGTGATGACACATCAAACTGAAGCCTCTGAGATCTGAAGACATGAAACAATTAATTAAAAAAGCAAGACAACATAAACAGTTACTCTATAAGAGAAAAAACACATTATACAAATAGTTTTTCTCATAACTGATGACATTATTTGTTATTACAGTCTTCGGATACTTCCTCTTGGCAGATGTGACCATTCTGTCATCTGATGACGCCAGTAAGTAGTTATTACTGAATCAAGCAGGGGTGTGGAAGTATCAAACTTGTGAACCTGTCACTTGAGAATTAATCGCTAAAAATTCGCTTGTCCATATTGACCAACCATCAAACACGAGTTATCATGGTTGAGCTGCCCAAGTGTAACATGTCACACAAGCTCACAGAAATACATGTCTCAGTTACCATAAGCAAAACGTAGGACTTCTGTGCATTATTCACTGCAGTAGAGACCATGCATACCTGATGCCCAAATTCAAACAGTAAATAAACATATATAATTACATACGGCTTCATTGGGTAATTACGCACTGCTCTTGAACTATTGTGTTTTTGAATTTTTCATGCATATTTGTAAGCAAGCATATGAGGTGATTTATTTGGTCTCTTCATACAAATAGACTGGTGGAGTTGTTGTGGCTCTATTACCTGTTTTGAGCTAATTCTGCCATGAGTTTCAGCACTGGTGTTGTGACAGTAGGGTCGTGGAACCACAGTTCAACGGCTCGCTGCAAAACTGGAGTGTATGTTGGATAGCTACATCTTGCTAAGGAATACTTTTGAAACAATAATTATTCTTTTACCACTTTGAAAGAGTTCATAAAACTGTAGGTGTTTCCATAAATTAATTCCATGAATAGTGAGTGAGTGAGTATTGTTTTACGCCACTTCAAGCAATATTACAGCAATATTACATCAGAAATGGGCTTCACACATTATACCCATGTCAGGAATCAAACCCGGGTCTTGAGCGTGACGAGTGAACGGCTTAACCACTAGGCTACCCCACCGCCCCTCCATGAATAGAATCAAAATGTCACTGAATCATATGCACATGCTTCAAACAATAGTGAGTGAGTGAGTATGGTTTTACACCGCTTTTAGCAATATTCCAGCAATATCACGGCAGGGGACACCAGAAATGGGCTTGATACATAGTACTTATGTCGGAAATCGAACACTTTAACCACTCGGCTACCCTGACTGCCCTGCGTCAAACAATAGGTCAAAACCATTTTATAGGCAAGAATGCAGCATACTGGAAACGGGCTGCCATTTTGGTAAGGGATGTGCACAAGCTCCTTTTCTGGTAATGTTTTTTTTATTTTTTTAGCCATCATTTTTTGTCACCTTGCTAAAATAACGGGGTTTCGGGGGGCTTGCTCCTAACCCGGGCTCTCCATGAGTTCTGAATGGGGAGCTGGATACATAGTTTACCCAGGGCCCCACGAGGCTCAAGTATTAGTACTGAACTGAGGTAACAAGGATACATCCAATCAAACAACATCATGTAGCTTGTCTTTGTGTTGAAGGCAAACGCTATTCCCCTCAAATCTCTGGCGAGACCTATCAATGACCTCTGCAAAGACAAAAGATTCTAAATATTAGGACATGCAGGTATTGAAATTGAAATAAACACATGCCCTCCAAATAGATAAGGAATACGACAAAACTTCATCTGCTTTGATACAAAATAATAAGGCATGCATTTGGAATGTAACAATATATCAAACTATTGAGATATGGCAATTGTTTGCCCAAAGCTTGTACTCTATTGACAGGAAATTAAAAACATCAGATCTATTGTCAATAGTATGGATAACAATCAACAGTTTCAATAGTCATATTAGTTATAAACAAAACATAAATTATGCATCTGAAAACTCACTTTCTACATTCTAAATTTCAAATCTGCCAAGTGTTGATTAGATTGGATGACTACAACTACAGATTAGAGTTACTTCCCTTTGGATTGAGAAGTGATTGAGGAAAATGGCCAATTTTGACATTGTCAACAATACTTTATTCATTTTTATTACATTGATTAATGTCATTATCAAGCATGAGGTGAGGTGAAATTGGGTTTAACGTCGCGTCCAAGATTATTGCACTTATATAGCGACGTGCATGCACGTGTATGTGTGTGTGTGGCTGCTTGTACTAGTCCGGACTGATGCCGATTTATAGTGCTAGCTCACTGAGATACCATGTCGCAGTTTAACATGAATACCCCACTCAGATACAGTATACTGACTCCGAGCCGATAAGTCCTTGTTTTAGCCCCTTCATGCCGAGCATCAGACAGGGTAATAACAAGTACCATCTTTTAACATCTTTTGGTATGACGCGGTCGGGGATCGACCTCCGGACCTTCCGCTCTTCGGGCGGACGCTCTACCACTAGACCACGGAGGCGGTCTGTTATGGTTATGGCAGTTATAGGAGGTTGAGTGCCAGTTTTGCTGTTTGCAAATTTTAATATTGAAAACATGAAATTTTATGAGTTGATGTGATTTGCTTATCAGTTCTTACATGATTTGACCAAATTTAATTTAAATAAAATGGAATGAAATCTTGGATAAAAGTAATATCATGGAGTACAAACATAAGTCCAGTTACACAATGAATACTTTCATAGCCAGATAGTGTAACAATAGGACTACGAGGATGTTCATTAAAGATTTCCCCTAAACCACTCAGGGTTATCATATTTGGTTGAAATTTCACATGTGTAATGATACATGTATCTATGGGTTGTGTCTGAATTTGCAGCACCGAACTATTAATCTTACCACTTTTACAGGTGTTATGATCGAGTAGGGTGTGACAATGGAGCCAGTAGAATACCGAGCAGTGATTAGGTTTTTATATTTGAAAGGTCGCATACAAAAAGAAACGTTCGATGAAATGAAAGCAATTTATGGGGAAGATGCCCCATCATATGACGTTGTTAAACACTGGCATCGCCAGTTCAAGTGTGGTCGGACATCTGTGGAAACAGCTGCCATTCCTGGTCGCCCCCTTTCAGCCATTGATGAGGACACTATCCATCAAGTGGAGTCCGCCATTTTGGTAGACCAACGTAAAACTGTTCGCCAGTTAGCACAAGATGTCAAGATCAGTGTAGGGTCTGTGGAAAAAATCATCCATGACAATTTGAACATGCATAAGGTGTCTGCACGATGGATTCCCAAGTTGCTCACACCTTTCCAAAAGCAGGAATGAGTCAATTGCTCTTTTGGACATGTGCCAAAAAAAACAGGCAAACTTTTTTGACAGACTTATGACACAGGATGAAACATGGGTCCATCACTATGATCCTGAGACTAAAGTTGTCGATGCAATGGAAGCATGTGGAGTCACCAACCCCAAAGAAGGCACGTGTCCAACCCTCTGCAGGCAAGGTCATGCTCACGGTGTTTTGGGACCAGCGCGGAGTAGTGATGATGGATTTCTTGGCAAAGGGTACCACAATTACAAGAGCTTATTATGCTTCACTGCTGCGGAAATTGCGGGATGCTATCAAGCTTAAGAGGCGTGATATGCTGACCAAGGGTGTCCGTCTCCTGCAAGACAATGCTCCAGAACACAACTCTCATGTTGCCCAGACAGAAGCACGGTCCTGTGGCTATGAAATCCTTCCACATCCTCCTTACTCTCCCGACCTTGCACCATCTGACTTCCACCTCTTTCCAACCATGAAGTCATTTTTGAAGGGAAAACGTTTCACAGATGATGAAACACTGATTTCTGAAGTCAAGTCCTGGTTTGAGATGCAAAATGAGGGCTTTTACAAGCGAGGTCTCCATAGTTGCATAAAACAGTGGGAGAAGTGTGTAACTCTTGGTGGTTCCTATGTGGAGAAAAAGTAACACCTGTGCCAAGTTTCATACCACTAGGTCCATCGGAAGTGGGTCAGGAGAAATCTTTAATTAACACCCCTCGTAACTTGCGTACTTCAGTATGCATTTGCTGACATGCTTCTTCTGGTGTTGTGTTCTCACGATTATGTCTTTGCATTGCAAAACAAAATCAAATCTCTTTGTATGCGAGTATTATGCACACACTGGTTTTGGTTTAGTTGTTTTACGCTTCACTCAAAAATATTCCAGCTATATGTCGGCGGTCTGTAAATAATCAAATCTGGACCAGACAATCCAGTGATTGATATCATGGGTATCGATCTATTGGGATATGATGACATGCATGAACCAAGTCAGTGAGCCTGCCCACCCGATCCAGTTTGTCTCCTCTTACAACAAGCATAGTCGCCTCTCATGGCAAAAATGGGTTGCTGAAGACCTAATCTAACCCGGATCTTCACAGAAGTCAAATATTGTATTCCAGTATTTCACTCAAGGAATAAGTTCATGTATAGAGGCCCTTCCCAGGTTGATTGTACAGAACTGTTACAGTGTTTCAAATTTCAGCTTTATCACATAGGGCCAGAAAACTCATGGGTGACATCCTAAGCAACTAGCCATGCCTCAGACAAACTATCTGGTGACACAGTACCCATCCCATACTCATCAAGGCAGCTCTTCAGACAAGCATAGGTTGAAGTGACAAGTGGCATCTACAGGGTAGCAGACCTTCGTACAGCCGAGAGTAACTCAATTTTACATTGACAAAAAAATTAATTTCTCCCATACCTTTGCGCCTTCAACATCCATGGCTGATGTACCATTAGAAAGCAGATTCCCCACCGCATCAAACGCAGCTGAAACCAAGTTTAAGTAAGCAAGTTAATATGGTTAACAGTAATTTTTTTGGCTGTTTGCTTAAGGCTGTTTGTTTGTTGTTTAACACTCTAGACCTGAGAATCCAGTGATTGATATTGTTAGCAATGGTTCACCATCAACCAAGTCAAGAAATCTGACGTCCCAATCCATTTGGTCACCCCTTACAACAAGCATAGGTTTCGTAGACTCTTACCCAGACTCCCCGACCACCCGATCCATTTGGTCACCCTTACAACAAGCATAGGTTTCGTAGACTCTAACCCAGACTCCCCGACCTCCCGATCCATTTGGTCACCCTTACAACAAGCATAGGTTTCGTAGACTTACCCAGACTCCCCGACCTCCCGATCTGGTCACCCTTACAACAAGCATAGGTTTCGTAGACTCTAACCCAGACTCCCCGACCTCCCGATCCATTTGGTCACCCTTACAACAAGCATAGGTTTCGTAGACTCTAACCCAGACTCCCTGACCTCCCGATCCATTTGGTCACCCCTTACAACAAGCATAGGTTTCGTAGACTCTAACCCAGACTCCCCGACCTCCCGGTCCATTTGGTCACCCCTTACAACAAGCATAGGTTTCGTAGACTCTAACCCAGACTCCCCGACCTCCCGATCCATTTGGTCGCCCCTTACAACAAGCATAGGTTTCGTAGAGTCTAACCCAGACTCCCCGACCTCCCGATCCATTTGGTCACCCTTACAACAAGCATAGGTTTCGTAGACTTACCCAGACTCCCCGACCTCCCGATCTGGTCACCCTTACAACAAGCATAGGTTTCGTAGACTCTAACCCAGACTCCCCGACCTCCCGATCCATTTGGTCACCCTTACAACAAGCATAGGTTTCGTAGACTTACCCAGACTCCCCGACCTCAGGATCTGGTCACCCTTACAACAAGCATAGGTTTCGTAGACTCTAACCCAGACTCCCCGACCTCCCGATCCATTTGGTCACCCTTACAACAAGCATAGGTTTCGTAGACTCTAACCCAGACTCCCCGACCTCCCGATCCATTTGGTCACCCTTACAACAAGCATAGGTTTCGTAGACTTACCCAGACTCCCCGACCTCCCGATCTGGTCACCCTTACAACAAGCATAGGTTTCGTAGACTCTAACCCAGACTCCCCGACCTCCCGATCCATTTGGTCACCCTTACAACAAGCATAGGTTTCGTAGACTTACCCAGACTCCCCGACCTCAGGATCTGGTCACCCTTACAACAAGCATAGGTTTCGTAGACTCTAACCCAGACTCCCCGACCTCCCGATCCATTTGGTCACCCTTACAACAAGCATAGGTTTCGTAGACTCTAACCCAGACTCCCCGACCTCCCGATCCATTTGGTCGCCCCTTACAACAAGCATAGGTTTCGTAGAGTCTAACACAGACTCCCCGACCTCCCGATCCATTTGGTCGCCCCTTACAACAAGCATAGGTTTCATAGACTCTAACCCAGTCTCCCCGACCTCCCGATCCCCTTTTACACTTTAGTTTGCTAAGCATACAAGTGACCAGTTCTACTCGAGGGAAATAGGCATGACACGAGACATCTGGGAAATATAAGGCAACAGTTTTCAGTACCTGTAAGAGGCATCATGAACTGGTCAAACTTCTCCTCATCTTCTCCAAGGTCCACCAGCAGCAGACGTCCCAGGGCTGTGTAGAACGTTGTCCGACATCGCATGTCTGCCACTGGACTACTCCCAGCTGTGATGCCCAGAAACGGGAAGTGCTCGCTCTGCCAGAACATATCAAACAATATCTGATTTCACTCATCAATTATGCATCAGCTAACCCTATCAGTCCACTGGTCCAGCAGTAAATATGACATTATCATCTTATAGTCGAAATTTTGACCAAATTTCTATGTTCATTTAGGACTAAACGATGTCCATAACCGTTTGTTCGTTCGCTCGTTTGTTGTTTAACGCCGCACTCAGCAATATTCCACCTTTATGACGGCTGTCTGTAAATAATCAAGTCTGGACCAGACAATCCAGTGATTGACATCATGAGCATGGATCCACACAATTGGGATCAATGACGTGCATCAACCAAGTCAGCGAACCTGACCACCCGATCCTGCCAGTCGCTTCTTACGACAAGCATAGTCTCCTTTTACGGCAAGCATGGGTTGCTGAAGACCTATTCTAGCCCGGATCTTCAACGGTCTGTCCATAACCGAACAATGTCTTTGCATGTTTGTCATTGCAAGAGGCTGGGAAGTAGCTAGTCTATATATAGTCAAGCTTTACCATTGGTTGATTTGAATCACATGATAGTCTCCGAGCCAAGAAATGAACAATGACAAATCATTTGTTTGAGGCTATCATCACAGCAAGGCAGACAAATCTTTTCATATGTTTTTATGAGGGGGGAGGGGGTAAGGGGGAGAGAGAGATACGGGGGAGGGCGGGGATCAAAAGGGGTAAAATGAAAAAGAGATTCAGAAGATGTTGGTGGTGAAGACACAATAATTATAAATGATGATAAACAGTTCTACGTCCAGCAAGATTCACGCTAAAATTAAGTCAAGAATGAAAAAGTTTCTGAGCGACTGGTTGAATGAATTCCAAAGGCTGCAACACGTGTCAGAAAGAATTTTAGAGTTTTCTGTGTTCTAATACGTCCCTTCATGAAACCACTTACTTTTGCAGCCTCACAAACTCTACAGTACAAAAATATCATCCCCAAAGTGATCTTCACCTGTTCACAACTTGCAATATTGGAAGGAAGAAATATCAGTGAGCTAAGAAACCTTTTTTGTGATATATTATCCCTAGTATAATTCACAGGACCAGCAAACTAATGAATGTACTGGTATGTGCCAGTCCAGTGAACCGGTGAATTTAGAACTGAACGGACACACTGGAGCCTGACCACCTGATTGATTACATTGCCTCATACACCATTAGGTTGCCGAGGACCTATTCTAAACAGTAAACCCCACAGGGAAGAAGTGAATGTTAACCCATGATGTATGTCCCCTATATTCAAACCTGGAATCCCTTCAGGGTTGACAGAACATGGGCTACACGAGCAACCCACTAGAAGTGAGATGATATAATGATGCAATCCCGATTTTTTACTTCTCAATACAAGAAGCGATCACAATTGCACTCAAAGTAAAAAGTATAGATTCGTACCTTAAATGTAGTCTTTAATAAATGTTACACCAAACACTAATTACTAGTGAAAACGTAAATATTTTCATCCATTGTGCCATACTTTAGACTCCCAACTGTAAAACGTTTGTGTGACAGGTATTTGGCCATCCAGTTTATAAAAAAGATGGCTTACTCACCACAGATAACAGCACATGAAAGTATCGTGATACATATCAGATCATAAGCAAGGTATCGTGATATGAATCGGATTGTGAACAAGGTGTTGTGATACGTATCGGATCGTGAACAAGGTGTTGTGATACGTATCGGTTCATGAACAAGGTATTGTGATACGTAAGGGATCGTGAACAAGGTATTGTGATACGTATCGAATCGTGAGCAAGGTATCGTGATACGTATCGGATCGTGAACAAGGTATCGAGATACGCATCGGATCGTGAACAAGGTAGCATGATACGTATCGGATCAAGAACAAGGTATCACGATACATATCGGATGGCACAGTTGGTGTATCATCCCAGGCGTACTACCCACCGTGTGGTTATTCAGCATGAACTGTACAGCTTCCAGCTTGACCAGCTTCCTGACACTGCTGTAGCCCACGGACAGGTCACTTAGCAGCGTCAGTGTCTTGGAGATGATCTGCTCACTTCGCCCCCAATACTTCAAATTAGTTATTCTGAAACAAACACACAGATTTGGGTAAGAAACATTCAAATATGAACAAGTCTCCCATTACTCAATGCTTACGAAGTAGAAGCAACTACAAATAATGTTTAATCACTTACATTTTGCCGATAAATACACTAAGCACCATTGGTTCATCACTAAGGCCAAGAACTTCTGACAATCTCCGATACACCTGAAAAAGAAGAAAAATTAAGTCTATTTTCACAGGGAAACAAGAACACATAGAGCAGGGAGTTCATTATTTACAAAGTTTGGGGGGAAAATCATTAATTTGGCCAAAATTGGGATATTGTTGTGCTTATATTTTGGATTCAAATTTCAGGCCTTTCTAGACATTTCATAAAAATATTAAGGCCATTACAAGGCAGATTCAAATTTCAGGCCTTTCCAAGCCTGCTTCAGGGTGTAAGGATTTTTTAAGGCGGATTCAAGTTAACGGTCTGTTTAAGGGCGGGACCAGGCTGACTGCCAAATATCAACCTGTGCGAACCTTGACCTACCTTTGATGTTTTCTGGACCTGGTCACCCACATATATTTTCCTGAATTGTTCAAAGAAACTAAGTATTGCTATGTCCAACTTCTCACAGCCCCCCTGGGTTAACCTGGAGTCTGTCAGGTTCATAAGTTGGAGCACTCTGAAACATGTGGAACCAGGGTATGTAGCTCAGTAGCAACCAACTGGAGTGGGTTTAATCTAACATTGAAATACGACACAATCTGGTGGTCCTTAACTTCTTTTGAGTTGCATAGAAAAACACTCTGCTTGGAGCAATTCTTTGGTCTTGTCATTGCCTGGAGACTTTTTATATAGGGAAATTTATTGTTGAACCAGAAAGTAAATTGAAATGCCAACATAATAGTTGTGATGTTAGTTAGAGCTACTGACAAGATTTTCAAAACATTTGTGTGACAACACACGAACCTCGCCGACACAGACTTGTGTTTGCAGTCTCATATCATCATTACTTACAGTGAAAAGAATTCATCAAAAAGAGTCTTGGTAAGTGGTCTTAGCTTAACAATTTCAATTGTGGCGTCTGGTTGATGTATGTAATGTGGTATGTAGTTTTACGTCATGGCTGTGTATTGATGTGATATCAGAAGCATACAAAGCGAGAAGGGGCGGTCAGGTAGCCTAGTGGTTAAAGCGTTCGCTTGTCACGCCGAAGACCCGGGTTCGATTCCTGACATGGGTACAATGTGTGAAGCCCATTTCTGGTGTCCCCTGCCGTGATATTGCTGGAATATTGCAAAAGCGGCTTAAAACCCCACCCACTCACTCACTACAAAGCGAGAAAAAAAAGGGAGCTGGAGTCCAATAAGTAGCAAACAGGAAGACAGTAATAAGTGAGTGAGTGCGGGTTTCAGGCCACTTTTAGCAATAGTCCCGGCAGGGGACACCAGAAATGGGCTTCACACATTGTACCCATGTCGGGAACCAAACTCAGGTCTTCGGCGTGACAAGCAAATGCTTTAACCACTAGGCTATCCCACCGCCAAAACTGGATAATAGGACAGCACAGTATTACTAATATACTGCAACATGTTTTTCAAACAATACATATTACAAAATCTTGTGTTCCAGATTATTGGATAAAAAAAGATAAGAAATTTCATTACTATTTGTATTGTTTAACCTCAAATCTACACAGAAATTTATTCACAATGATGTTTCTTTTCGAAATTGGCAAAACAGCTGAAACATGGGAATGATTTTTGTCTCGCCATGTTATCTCCCCTTTATCCATGACCACAAAATGGTGGTGACTGGCCATGCTGAGTAATATTTACTTTAGTCAGTAGAAAATAGGATCTGCATGTACAATCTGTGTCAACCAGTATCAAACACTTTAGCTCCTATATATCGCAATACAGATGCCTTTATCGCAATATATTTCAACAAAATGTTTTGGCCAATACACAGCCCTAACGGACAAGTCAGTACTATGAGAGTCATGCTACTCACCTACACACAAGCTCTCCATCCATCGCATCATGTTCATCTGTACTTGCAAACGATACCCGCCCCCCTATCACAGAGCCAATTATATACACCAGCCATGTCAAGCGGCCTGTGGAACAACAAAGCATGTATTACCTTAAAACATCTTCAGACATGTCAAAAAATATTATTGAACCACTAGACCATATTCATCAGGGCAATCAATTTTTTATCTAGTCTAGAAAAATATCTTGCTGCTTAGGCTAAAAAAATAATAGTCTTGGTTCTCAGGCACTCCCCGCATCATCACAAAGTCTGCTGCATGTTTCGTTTTTATTTCCATTTTCAAAAACAAAAAAGGTTCTTATACTTAAAAACAATGCAATCCCATTTAGCACAGAATTACTTCCCTTTACATGTGCACTGCTTTACTGTGCATCTCGTGTTAATAATATGGTCATGGCAGCAATAGGAGTTTGTATGCTTGTTTATATAGGGAGGCCCTTTCCCAGGTTGATGGTACACAACTGTTTATTTGGTTACATACTAGTTTGAACAAGCAAAAAAAAACACCTATATTTTCAAAAGTCGTTGCTCGAGAACCAATTCTTTTAAAAAAAATTAAGTCTTACAAAGCTCAGCTCAAAATAGCCCATATATATATGAATATCAAAATCTACTTCTGACTAATGGACTCTACATGCTCCAAAGGAGGTGAAGTGAAATGGGGTTAAACATTGCATTAACATGATTAAGATTAATTCACTTATACAGTGATGAGAATGAACAGTGTGGCTGCTTGAACTAGTCCTTTCAAATGCCAGTTTTTAATTTCTAGCCCATGGAGATACCATGCCAATTTTGACACAGAAACCCCACACTAGAGCTTGACTCCGAGCCAACCAGTCCTTGTTTTATTCCCTTACTGCTGAACACCAGGCAGGGTAACAAGTAGTACCATCTTTGGTATGACACAGGAGAGGATCAAACCACCAACCTACGGAGGTGGTCAGACTCAAAAGCTAGGGCAGAGACTGATACTGCAGTCAGCATTATTCCAGCTGACATAGCGACCTGCATACCATCCAGTCTAGACCAGACCAGTATGACAGCACAAGCAGTCACCCATGGCATCCATGTACCATAGCACGCAATATGCCAAGTCAGTGAGACTGACCACCCTGACCTATTTAGTCATCTTTTAGGACAAGCTGGGAACCTATTTTCCCCCAGAATCATCATTACTGATTCAATAACGTCCAAACATCAGCAAACATATTTGTTTTTGCTTCTGTGTACCAAGTTTACAAGAGTTTCACTGCTTAAGCATGAGAAACAGAGCAACTCCCCCAAAACATCCGTCAAATGTTCAGGGAGTTTTCATTAATGCTGAACTGAACACCATTACAGTGATATCACAGAGTGTCAGTTTGATGTGAGGAGGACAAAGTGATGCAGATCCAGGACCTATACGACTTTGGTTGGTTGGTTGGTTTGTTGTTTAACGCCGCACTCAGCAATATTCCAGCTATATGATGGCGGTCTGTAAATAATCGAGTCTGGACCAGACAATCCAGTGATTGATAGCATGAGCATCGATCCACGCAAATTGGGATCGATGACATGCATCAACCAAGTCAGCGAGCCTGACCACCCAATCCCGTAAGTTGCCTTTTACAACAAGCAGAGTCACGGAAGACCTATTCTACCCCGGAATCTTCACGGGTCACGACTTTGGTGAAACCACAAGTACAATATGGTGCTAACAAACCAAGAAACGTGATGATCGATTTGAACTCATGATCATAGGTCTCTAGTAGGACAAAGGCTAAAAAAAATATATTCTTGGCTCTCAGGCACCACCGCAGACAGAGTGTAGAGTCACTCACCCTCTTGCACGGCTAACTCCATGCGAGTATTCCCGGCAGCTACCAGGTCCTGGTATCTTTGTGCGGAGTCATCAAACATCTGAACCAGCAAAGCACACGTCTTCTCATACTCGCACCTCCCTATCGTGGATAACTGAAACACAGACAATCATAGCGTAGCTGTAAACCAATGTAGCCGAGGACTGATTTACTGTACATGGAGCGAACTCTCCCATTGTAATTGACTAGTGAAAAGTGCAAGTGGGCTTATGGGCAAGTGTATGTGAAATACATGCATTGTCAAGTTTAGAAGGTCTTAATTTTTTTATTTATCGTGAATTGTATCATATATACATCATGACTATTAATAAAAGACGTCAATTGAATTTATTCCAACACCTTGAATTCCAGCTCTTACTTAGACATCTACCTACAATGAGAAGATATTCCATATGGCTAAGAGTGAGTGGGTGAGTGAGTGAGTGAAGGGTGTGAGTGAATAAGTGAGTGCAGCTGTAGACATAGAATTTAACATTGATCTATTGCTGATTTCAAAAGTCGTACAAACTTAAATTACTTTGTTGGTCTCCACAATAACACTAGACCACAGGACCAGCATTTATTTAATTACACTTGTCCTTAAATAAATGCTCGACACTAACACTGGTCTGCTGGTCAGAGTGTATATATTTTCCCCAGTCCATCAACACCGACATCACTCACTTGTTCTAGCTGCTGACTGATCATCCCATGGTCATCCAACGGATCTTCTAAACCCTCTCTGCAACAAACAATTCATTGTTAGTACCAAGCCCATCTTTAATATATGGCTGCCATCTTAACAAGTTTTCCATTGAATGCTGTCTCAAACCAGAGTCCATGATTAGACACACCACAGCCAACTTATTTTGTAAATGAAATCACACAAGGACAAGGCAAACCCATGGCTGATAGCACAATGGTACCAGAATCCCCAGAAATACAAACACGTCAGAATACATCATTTCAGATAACAATTGTCTGTCAATGATAGGCCAATCGTGAAGTTCCAGGCAAGAATTGGCCTTCAGCAACACTTGCTTGTCATAAGATCAGGATCAGGTGGTCAGGCTCCCTGACTTGGTTGATGCATGTTATCATATCCCAATTGGATTGTCTTGTCCTGACATGAGTATTTACAGACCGCCATCATATTACTGGAATATTCCTGAGTGCGGCGTTAAATAAACAAACAATAATTGCCAACACCTTTCACAATGTTACTTCGTTCACATAACCAGCACAATTCCCCATGACAGGAGCTCACCTTATGACGACGTGAACAGACTCGAGGCGTGAGCTGATGTATGCCTTGGTGACCTCCGGCGTGTACGTCTCCAACAGGTGGGGCTCTGACGCCTTGACGTAGGGGACTGAGGCCACCATCCTCTGCCACAGACTCAGCAGGTAGTGGACACTGTTCGGGGCAAACTGCCACATCTGTACCAGACAGAGCAACACATCAGACAATCTATTACTCCAATATGGTACCTCTCTGCATGAACATCTGACAAAATTCATTTTTTATTTTAACGAAAGGAAACCCACACAGAATACAAATTTTCCTTCAACGGAGTGAGTGAGTGATGACGCCGCTTTTAGCAATACTCCAGCAAAATCACGGCGGGGGACACCAGAAATGGGCTTCACACATTATACCCCTGTCGGGAATCGAACATTTTAACCACAAGGCTATCCCACTATTGAGTGAAGATGCCATGGCGTTGAGCATGTGTGGGGGTACTTTGTTATGCCTGAAAGGATATCTGTTGTGTCAATAGCATCAGCCACCATGTTGGGGTAACAATGACTCACAATTAGCCAAGTCAAAAATAATCAGCCTGATCGTTAAAAAACCCTAATAATTTACCATTACAGTTGGCTTTGTCCTGACAATTCCTGTACTTAAGTTAGAAAAAAGAACTGATAACACATTTGCAGCATAAAATAATTAAATTGCGTAACTAAGGCTTGGGTTACCTCTTAGTATCTGGGGTTACAGTATGTCTTACCTGCAAACTAGTCACTGTGAATTCCGCTACAAGTTTGATGATTTCGGAGTAGTTATCAACTTTGACTAGTTCCCCCAGCTGGTAATTGGATTTCAGGCGAGCAAGGAGACGGCAGAACTCGTGGTAATTGCTGGGGTCAGACAAACCCTGGAAAAACACAAGCCACTCACATTCAATTTATGAAGTTTTCCTACAAAGCTCAGCTTTCATTCTAACACCTATTCTACACATCAGCAATATATCCACACACACCTAGAACAAAGTTACGCATCACATTCGACATATTTCTCTCTATATATGATGGATTTCTGGAGATTAGAACATGCACTTGCAATTTGATGATGTAAATTTGACATTATTTTTGAGAGGGAAATGTCTAGTGAGTTGTTCCCCATAGACATGATAGATGTAGCTGGGCAACATTGATAAACGCAATGGCCCAAATGATCGCACCCAAAAGTGGGAGAGATAGGACAAATGGTATTAGGAGAAAGGTACAGATAATCGACAACTCAAAATGGACTTGTCTGACATTGCCGAGGTTGGATTGTATTCAGGGAGTCATCATTATTTAAATACGGGTAAATATTCTTAAAGCTTGTACATTTTTTTTCACTTCCTTAAAGATGATCTACGTCATGCTGATATCTCAAATAAGAACGAAATGACTTGTGGTCTTTGTTTATCGTGCAATAAAACACTATGATGTGACCCATAATAGGATGTCCCCAGATCATTGTTTAGCGGAAACGTGCACAAAGACGTGATAATGAGATTGTTCCAAAAGGTCCATGGAAGTTCAGGATGTGAGAAAACAAAAAAAGGAGTGCAGCCCGGCTTGTGCCCAGACCTTGTTCCACAAAGTAATCTTAGCGCAAAGACTGCCCCAAGTCCATGTTAAAGTATGTGCGTTACGATCGTCTTAGCGCTACGATTGCAACCCATCAACCCAACAAATACCGTACATCACCATCTAAAAAGTGACCCCGTGTATAAGGCGACGCCCCCCCCCTGTACAAGCATTCAAAAATCGATGCTAACTTAAATACCCCATCTATAAAGCAAATCAGAATGAAGCACATCACCAGCGAATACACAATCCCTACATCTGCAATAAAAATGAGTTTGTCTTCCACAGAAAAAATGACATCGTACATTGAAAAACAATACTTTGAACCATAAGGTTCCTTTCAAATTCTTCATGTTCTAGTTTACTTATCAGTAAGGATTCCTTAAACCTGCTACCTGTGGATTATCTAGAATTCCCCTGACCCCTCGGACAAGGCTGTTGAGGAACTTGGCTCTCTCTGTGTTGTTGAACAACGACCTCCTTACAGAGGCAATCTGCACAAGGCAAGACAGGGCCTGCAAACAGAAAGTTAGTTTGCTACATACACAACCTGTAAACATGGCATTATTTAAAAACTTTCACTTTCAGTTCATTAGTTTATGGATCTTCACAGTATGCAAAACTTTCTGAGTTCAAGATTAAAGCAAATAATTGATACAAAACAACGCTTCTGTATTTTTTCATGCTAGGGAATTACAAGGTGGTCCGTCAGTGTTTACGGCATTTCAAGAATACTTCTTCATGGAACACTTATGAACATCAAAATGTGTCGTTCATGTGCTTGTCAGTCAGTTTCACGTTCACAAGACTTGCCTCTCATCTAATGGGATAGTTGTAATAGAGTAAACTGCATGTTACATTATTTTTTCAAACCAACTCTGTATTTAGCACATTTAACTTGTTTGTTTTTTACGCCACACTCGGCAATATTTCAGTTGAATGATGATGGCCAGTGTTTGTTTATCGAGTCTGGACCAGACAATCCAGTGATTGACATCATAAGTATCGATCCACACAATTGGGATACAATGACATGCATTAACCAAGTCAGCAAGCCTGACCACCCGATCCCGTTAGTCTCGTTTTACGGTAAGCATGGGTTGCTGAAGACATATTCTACCCCGGATCTTCACGGGAGGAGAAAAGCATGGGTTGCTGAAGACCTATTCTACCCCGGATCTTCACGGGAGGAGAAAAGCATGGGTTGCTGAAGACCTATTCTACCCCGGATCTTCACGGGAGACAAGCATGGGTTGCTGAAGACCTATTCTACCCCAGATCTTCACAGGTCTGATGGCCAGTGAAGAAGAAACAAGTCTGGACCAGACAAACCAATGATTGATAGTATGTGCAATGTCCCACACCCTTGGGTCAACTCAACTAAGTCAGAACAGCCTACCATTGGTGACAGGGATGTGGGTAGACCGGAGTACAAGTCAAAGAAGAGCTGAAGTGTGCTGAAGTCTAGGAAGGCTGAAATAAAAATGTTCACCAGTGTCAAAAATGAATTGAATCTCCAGTATTACATGAACCTATTTTGTTATAAGTCTTAAAATGACAATCCAATTGTTTACATATTTCATTTAGATTGTAGTAATACCATGATCTCTCGTGAATGATGCACAGAGAGACAGGCGGGGCTAGTGGGCCCACATTACAACATGTCTTGTATAGACAATACCTGTTCCCCAGTATTACAAGAGCCTGTTCCCCAGTATAACAAGTACCTGTTCCCCAGTATTACAAGAGCCTGTTCCCCAGTATAACAAGTACCTGTTCCCCAGTATTACAAGAGCCTGTTCCCCAGTATAACAAGTACCTGTTCCCCAGTATTATAAGTACCTGTTCCCCTGTATTACAAGTACCTGTTCCCCAGTATTACAAGTACATGTTCCCCAGTATTATAAGTACCTGTTCCCCTGTATTACAAGTACCTGTTCCCCTGTATAACAAGTACATGTTCCCCAGTATTATAAGTACCTGTTCCCCTGTATTACAAGTACCTGTTCCCCTGTATAACAAGTACGTTCCCCAGTATTACAAGTACCTGTTCCCAGTATAACAAGAACCTGTTCCCTAGTATTACAAGTACCTGTTCCCCAGTATTACAAGTACCTGTTCCCAGTATAACAAGAACCTGTTCCCTAGTATTACAAGTACCTGTTCACCAGAATTACAAGAGCCTGTTCCCCAGTATTACAAGTACTTGTTCCCCAGTATAACAGATAACCGTTCCCCAGTATTACAAGTACCTGTTCCCCAGTATTACAAGTACGTTCCCCAGTATTACAAGTACCTGTTCCCAGTATAACAAGAACCTGTTCCCTAGTATTACAAGTACCTGTTCACCAGAATTACAAGTACATGTTCCCCAGTATTACAAGTACCTGTTCCCCAGTATATCAGATACCCGTTCCCCAGTATTACAAGTACCTGTTCCCCTGTATTACAAGTACCTGTTCCCCTGTATTACAAGTACCTGTTCCCCAGTATTACAAGTACATATTCCCCTGTATTACAAGAAACTGTTCCCAGTATAACAAGTACATGCTCCCCAGTATTACAAGTACCTGTTCCCCAGTATTACAAGTACCTGTTCCCCTGTATTACAAGTACATGTTCCCCAGTATTACAAGAACCTGTTCCCCAGTTTTACAAGAACCTGTTGCCCGGTATTACAAGTACCTGTTCCCCAGTATTACAAGTACCTGTTCCCCAGTATTACAAGTACCTGTTCCCCAGTTTTACAAGAGCCTGTACAACTACCTGTTCCCCAGTATTACAAGTACATGTTCCCTAGTATTACAAGAACATGTTCCCCAGTATTACAAGCACATGTTCCCAGTATTACAAGCACCTGTTCCCAGTATTACAAGTACCTGTTCCCTAGTATTACAAGAACCTGTTCCCCAGTATTACAAGCACCTGTTCCCAGTATTACAAGCACCTGTTCCCCAGTATTACAAGCACCTGTTCCCAGTATTACAAGTACCTGTTCCCCAGTTTTACAAGAGCCTGTACAACTACCTGTTCCCCAGTATTACAAGCACCTGTTCCCTAGTATTACAAGAACCTGTTCCCCAGTATTATAAGTACCTGTTCCCAGTATTACAAGTACCTGTTCCCCAGTATTACAAGCACCTGTTCCCAGTATTACAAGTACCTGTTCCCCAGTTTTACAAGAGCCTGTACAACTACCTGTTCCCCAGTATTACAAGTACCTGTTCCCCTGTATTACAAGTACCTGTTCCCCAGTGTTACAAGTACATGTTCCCCTGTATTACAAGTACCTGTTCCCCAGTATTACAAGTACATATTCCCCAGTATTACAAGAAACTGTTCCCAGTATAACAAGTACATGTTCCCCAGTATTACAAGTACCTGTTCCCCTGTATTACAAGTACCTGTTCCCCTGTATTACAAGTACATGTTCCCCAGTATTACAAGAACCTGTTCCCCAGTTTTACAAGAACCTGTTGCCCGGTATTACAAGTACCTGTTCCCCAGTATTACAAGTACCTGTTCCCCAGTATTACAAGTACCTGTTCCCCAGTTTTACAAGAGCCTGTACAACTACCTGTTCCCCAGTATTACAAGTACATGTTCCCTAGTATTACAAGAACATGTTCCCCAGTATTACAAGCACATGTTCCCAGTATTACAAGCACCTGTTCCCAGTATTACAAGTACCTGTTCCCTAGTATTACAAGAACCTGTTCCCCAGTATTACAAGCACCTGTTCCCAGTATTACAAGCACCTGTTCCCAGTATTACAAGTACCTGTTCCCCAGTTTTACAAGAGCCTGTACAACTACCTGTTCCCCAGTATTACAAGCACCTGTTCCCTAGTATTACAAGAACCTGTTCCCCCGTATTATAAGTACCTGTTCCCAGTATTACAAGTACCTGTTCCCCAGTATTACAAGCACCTGTTCCCAGTATTACAAGTACCTGTTCCCCAGTTTTACAAGAGCCTGTACAACTACCTGTTCCCCAGTATTACAAGTACCTGTTCCCCTGTATTACAAGTACCTGTTCCCCAGTATTACAAGTACCTGTTCCCCAGTATTACACGCACCTATTCCCAGTATAACAAGTACCTGTTCCCTAGTATTACAAGAACCTGTTCCCCAATATTACAAGCACCTGTTCCCAGTATTACAAGTACCTGTTCCCCAGTTTTACAAGAGCCTGTACAACTACCTGTTCCCCAGTATTACAAGTACCTGTTCCCCTGTATTACAAGTACCTGTTCCCCAGTATTACAAGTACCTGTTCCCCAGTATTACACGCACCTGTTCCCAGTATTACAAGTACCTGTTCTCTAGTATTACAAGAACCTGTTCCCCAATATTACAAGCACCTGTTCCCAGTATTACAAGTACCTGTTCTCCAGTATTACAAGCACCTGTTCCCAGTATTACAAGTACCCGTTCCCAGTATTACAAGTACCTGTTCTCCAGCTGGTTGGAATCTGTACAGTACACAGGTCGTCCGATGACTCATCAGTTGATGTGCCGATGAAGTCAAAGGTCAAACAGTTGTGTGCTAGGCGCAGTGCATGAGATAGTAGGCCACGCTGAAACAAAATCAATACTGTCCCTTTACACTGTGACAGATTCACCTACCATCAAAAACTGCGTTAAACTGATCAATAATCATATTCGTAAATAAAACCCATGTAGTTAATTCCAGGGCCAAATAGATACCACATACCCCATGGTTATCGAGGATTGACCAGACAAACCAGTGACTGACATCATGAGCGTCAATCCACACCATCAGGCTAAGATGACATGTATCAAACAAGTCAGCGAACCTGACAACCCGATCCCATTAGTCGCCCCTCGTGAAAAGCATGAGTTGCTGAAGACCTATTCTATCTCAAGATCTTCAAGGGAGCCAATACACCAGTGTTCACTTACTCAAAACTAAACAACCATCTACAATCTACCAATGTCTGCCATTTAGTTCACTGGAATCCTCAAATCTTGTCATAATTTCACCTGGTTGTCATCGTTGAAGTCCAGATTTTTTAGATTTCCAGCTGCCGATCTGAGAAGTGAACATGCCAGCTGGAAGATCTCAAACAGCTGCGTGTCTCGGAATGAGGATGCGATCTTCCGGTGTTTTGTCAGAGATCTGCTTGCCTCAGACTGGAACCAAGAGAAGTCTCAGATACACAACAGAGAATCAAATTAAAATTAAAACACAGGGAGAGAGAATTTGTTTTTTATTCTTTCAGCAATATCCTAGCAGTATCCCAATGTGAGACACAAGAAAAGGGCTTCAAAGTACAGTCTGTGCCAAAACCATTTGAGTCTACAAGCCCAAACATGGCGGAAAGCATCACTTTCTGTAGATTTCAATGTTAGTTTTTAGACTAGTATTACTAGCTCAGCTTTCTAGACCAAACAAATATTTCTTATACTCCACAAGTGACCCTAGTAGCTGACTCCTTGTAGGGGATCAAACCTGGGCTTACAGAGCGGCGGGCAAACACTTTAACCACAAAGCTAACCAACAAGTGTTTGTTTATTTGCTTGTTTGTTGTTTATTGCAACACTCCAATATTCCAGCTATATCTCGGCAGCCTGAAAAAAAATTGAGTCTGGACCAGTCCATGGCTAAATGCCCTACATTGAGGGCTAGCAGAAAAATCAAAACTTGACATTAATACCACTCTTGACTATTGAATATTGAAACTCGGGGGACAGCAACCTTAGACATGTTATACACCACATGTTTACAATTTATTATATCAAATGTGAAGTCATTTGAAGAAACATTTGCATCAATGAAGAACAATCAACATTAAAATACCCCAACTGGACACATGTAAAAGCATATCAACACATACCAATCCACATTGCAATATTTAAAATACCCACAAGACACAAGAAAGAATTGTGAGAGCACAAAGCCATGTAACAGCATAGACCAAACCATATTGCAATATCTAAAATACCCACAAGACACACAAAAGAATTGTGAGGTGAGGTGAGGTGAAATGGGGTTTAACGTCGCATCCAAAATTATTGCACTTATGTAGCGACGTGCATGCACATGTATGTGTGTGTGTGTGTTGCTGACAGTACTAGTCCGGACTGATGCCGATTTATAGTGCTAGCACACTGAGATACCATGCAGCAGTTTAACATGAATACTCCACTCAGACACAGTATACTGACTCCGAGCTGACCAGTCCTTGTTTTAGCCTCTTACTGCCGAGAGCTGGACAGGGTAACAACAAGTACCATCTTTTAACGTCTTTTGGTATCGAAAGAATTGTGAGAGCACAAAGTCATGTAAAAGCATATCAACAGTTACCAATCCACATTGCAATATTTAAAATACCCACAAGACACACGAAAGAGTTGTGAGCGCACAAAGCCATGTAAAAGCATTACAACACATACCAATCCACATTGCAATAGTCTAAATACCCCAACTGGACACGAGAATGATTTGTGCGAGTCCAGAATGCTGTGTAAAGGCATGACGGTCACAGAACAAAGACAACAGCAATAGTGGAGATGTACAGGTCGTATGCAATACATGGCAGTCATGTAATGGACGAGGGTGTACATTTCCCTTACCTCACTGACCTGGTTCATTTCACACACAAGCTGAGACAGCAGCTGCACGCCAATCATCACATGCTGGGTGGACCCACTCTGCAAACAACACAACAGGAGTTGATTTCAATGCTGGCCTGTTGGCCCGTGGTCAGTTAAAACTAAGAAGGGCTTGCTGAAACGTAAAGAAGATGGCACATCTGGCTAGTAAAAGTTTCACTGTGTCTTTGTATGTTTAATTATTTTAATTGGACACTGCTCATGAATCAAGTTATTTTGATGAGGTCGGAGATGAGACCGTGTGAGGGGGGTGGGGGATGAGGAGTTTCAGAGCCCCGCTAAGTAGGTGGTTACACGACCTCAGGTTCTGGTGTTTGCGGGCTCCACCTTTCAGTTGTAGGCCAGTTAGTTGGGAGAAGGGTCTTAACTTTTAAAAGGCACAATCCCTGCTGGCTTCATACAAATCTTTTGTTAAATCACCCCTGCACAAGTTGGGACTGGCTTTTGTTTTACAGACAAACTTTGGGACTTTAATGAACTTATGCTTGAATGGTGACATTGTGTCTACAAAATGACACTTCAACATAACTAATGATTCAATGACAGGCAATGGTTGGGTTTTGCACAACAACAGGCACTGACTCATTCAACTTCTATGAGTGAGTGAGTTGGGTATAACGCCGCTTTTAACAGTATTCCAGTTATATCACAGTGTGTCAGCTTAATGTGGGAGGAAAGCCCGAAGTGATGCAGGTCTCAGACGTTTACCACTTCGGTGAAACCCACGAGCACGGGTATGGTGCTGACAAACGAAGAAACATAATTGGGGCGAACCGGGATATGAACCCACAATCATAGGTTTCTTTTCGGCACGCAACTCTGCACAGCGAATCGCAGCGCCTTAGACGACTGGGCCACCCGTGCCCCCTCAACTTCTATGTGATATACCATGTGATGCACGATCTCATTTCCTTACACACATCACAACTATACCCCATCAGCCTGATGATGGAGAAATAGGCTGGTTAAAAAGATTGATAATCGGAATTATCATGGATGGGAAGAAATATTAACAATTATTGTTATCATTGATAATTACTTACATAAACTACTGCGATGAAATAAAGTTTAGATTTACTGTTTGATTTTGTTATTGCAGTGTCTCCTCTGGCTTACATTTTCTTGGGGTCACCTGGGCCCCTTCATCATAGAAATTAGGGGTCACAAACAAAAATGGAGGGGTCCAACTTATAGCATTATAACATAAATTTAACAACAGAATGCAGTGGTTGTGGAAAATCAGAAATCTTTTGCTACTGCAAAATATCAACAGACAGGCAAAGTGAGAGAAAGGTTCACATCAGGGCACATCTTGCTCTCATGACCAAGAGGTTTACATTATTAAGGGACAAACAATTTCTTGAAATGGAAATTTGATATTAATGAATATTTTAACACAATGTTATCCATGTTAATGTCTACCTTCGTAAATGAAAGGCAGGACAGGGGTTATCAGCCATTGGTAAGGGGTCATTGGGACAGACATTTGTGAATGTTTTTATCTAGATCTACCAATGATTTGAAGTTTATGAGTAAGTGAATGAGTGAGTGAGTGAGTATGGTTTTACGCCGCTTTTAGCAATATTCCAGCAATATCACGGCGGGGGACACCAGAAATGGGCTTCACACATTGTACCCATGTCGGGAATCCAACTGAAGTTTATGGATTCAGTCAAGTTCAATGGCTGTTCTGATGCTTCTGTACTGAGTAGTGAGTTCATTTCGTAACTGTGACAATTACATCAATGAGTCCTGACATAATTGGCATATCAAACATTTATTCTTTATCATATAGGGTATTGCGGTATCAATAAATCTTGTAGTCCACACACCCTGTCGACTGTTTACTTATGCAAATCTAAGCAGGATGTATTTCATAGCATGGTCGAATACAGGAAATGATGTAAACCACACAGTCTTACTGCGGTAAGATTCACTTATGACTCGGTAAAGAAAATCAGCATCAGTCAATCCTAATTTATGTGTCATAAAAGTTGAACAAAGAACAACAAAATTTTGCGTATCACATATTTAATAAGGTTATATAAGCATGCCCCATTACGATCCATTATAAATTAACTACCGCAATAACATAGCGTACCATCCTCCACGGTCGCTCGATCTTGCGGGTCACTGTTACCACGTTCTGAAGTATACCCTTGACGTGCCTGGCTATTTTTAGTTTGACACGAGGTCATGATGTTTTCGACCAATCACCAAGCTTAAAGAATTACGAATGTATCCGAGCGGCTTAATACACGTCACCTGATTGGCTGAAGCAAACCTACAGACCATAGCGAACATTAATACATCCAAAACCGAAAATAGATATAGGTCAAGAAACCGGTTTGGTTATTTGTCATAAGAAGGGAGTTAATAATGAAACTGGTTTGATTTAGCAAACGGAAGTGTTAATCAGCATGTTTCGTTGTCTTGTTTGAAAATAAATACTTTACGTAAAGACGTACGGCTTTGATTTACAATAACAGTGGCCATTTGATATGAAATTAACAATGGTCAAGTCACTGCATCCACGAGACCCACACATGTTACGCAGGCACGTTCAAACTTATATTTGTGCGTCCAACACACAAAAACACACTCTTCAGCCAACACTGTTATTGTCAATAATGTCAATTGTTGAAGATGGAAAGCAACTGTTTTTGTCATATCTCAAATGTCCATCTACATAATTGGGACACAATGACATGCATCAACAAAGTCAGGGACATTGACCACCCGATCCTGTTAGTCGCCTCTTACACATGTTACAGCAAGCATAGTCGCCTTTTACAGCAAGCATGGGTTGAAGACCTATTCAAACCTGGATCTTCAAAGGTAACATATTATTTTGAATCCTTAAACAAGTTCCGATACTAATGAGAATGATATTACCTGTATGAACTTGCCAACATCAGTGACCACATCTCTGAACACATAGTCATCCTTGTTGATGTCAAACCACCCAAGTTTGGTGATTCTGGCAAATAACTGAAAAGATGAAATAAGCCTCAAATCCAGGATACGGCATAAACGGCAATTTATTTACACCTCTCAAAACCATAAATAATGAAATCCATTTTCTTGTCCTACATTTAAAATGACTTCGTGAAGTACTGATATAATCCTTCACATTTTTGGTTTGTTGTTCGTTCAACGGTGCACACAGCAATATTTCAGCTACATGACAGCGTTAAAGAAAGAATAAATCGAGCTTAGACCATACAATCAAATGGTTGACATTATGAGCATCGATCTACACAACTGGGATTTGACATGTAACAAATTATTTCAGTTCTATTATTATCACGATTAGTCCCACTGCTTACCATAGTCCACCTAAAAGACTCCAGAACAAACATAACAATCACCTCTAGGCCTGAAATGAAGACCTGAGGGTTCCCTTATAGAAGTCAGCGTAATCTTAACAATGAACAATATATCTCATATTTCTATGTTATTTCAAAATATTTCTGTAGATGTCATAAAATCTGGTCAGATCAAAATGAAAAATGTCAGTTTCTTACCTGAACAAGGGCCTGTGAGACATAATGAACGAGTTTCGGCCGTGTAGCAAGGTAGTTCAAAATGTAGTTTCCTGAAATTGAATTCAAATTTCACAAAACGTACCCGGATTTCACCTGTATTTGTAGTATAAGTCCCAATGAAATCCTGATGCCATGTCATTTGCTCTTAAATCTATCCACATTATATATATTATTATATATATATATATAATGTGAAACACTTTTATCCTAAATAGGGAATGTTTATAAAGATTACTTATATCTTGGTCCACTAGGGCACTTAATATGGTGAATACGGTATGCTTGAGAGGACCTTCCAGAAGTAAAGACCCCAAAATGTTCCCTTGAAAATGTTACCCTGAAAGATACAACAAAAAGCCGGTATTTAATTCCCATGTCAACATGGAAATAACTGTCGAGGAAATTTGCACTAATCCGTGAGGGTTACAGAGAATCCAGTAGCACCATGTACAGGATGTACCCATCTGTAGCTACACGCGAGGGAAGACGTGGACTCACGGATGTCAACCCTCTGTTCTAATGGCAGTGTGAGGTTGGGCCGGGTCACCAGTTTTGTCAGTGTTGTTGCGGCAAGCAGTTGTGCATAGGCAGACTGGAAAAAAGCAAAATAAAACATGTTAGCACAGGTCTGGTGCAGACTTACCTAGAAACATAAAAAGCGAATAGTCGACAAAGTCATCTATATCCCCCGCCCCACACGTTATGGTCCCAAACCAGGTAACTGACCCAACATTTCTCTTAGCCAAGGTCAAAATAGCTGCAATGGAAATTCTAAAATAAACATTTCTAAAACTCCTTATATCAAATGGCACCAGGGCCCACTTGCACAAAGACATCTTAGCACTAAGATTATCGTAAGCACATGTTAAAGTATGGGCGTTACGATCATCTTAGCGCTAAGATTGCTTTGTGCAAGTGGGCCCTGTTCAGTATGTGCTTTATATATAGACATACAATGTTTGGCAAGGAAATATTTAACAGTTTATTTGTTATACTCAATAAGTGAACCCACCCTATATTAAAATTTAAATCCAACTTGTTGCCATGGAAACGTAAAAAAATTAATATTTCTTAAATTCCCAAATAGCAAAAGGCACCAGTTAAGTATGTGTCTGGTAAACAAGCAAAGTTTTATTATAAAGTATTGAATGGGTTTTGAGTTATGCTCTGGAAAAGAACTCTATCCTATAGAACCTAAGTCCAACTTGTTGCCGTGGAAACATAACATATAAAATTTCTAAATAGCAAAATGCACCAGTTCAGCATGAGTCTGATAGACATGCAAAGTTTCATAGAGAAATATTTAACGGTTTCTGAGTTATGCTCGGAAACCATTTCAGGACGCACGCACGCACACACTGGCGGACCGACGGAACCCATTTCAAGATCCCCTGCCAACTTCATTGGGGTGGGGGTTAATTCAGAAATAATCATCGTTGTTTTTGTACAATAAAACACCGCAGGGAGAATAAACCATAAGGGGCCTTTCTCCCCGCAATCTTTTATTGTACGATAAACAACGGCCATGAGTCATTTATTTATGTATAGCGTCTGAAAGGTTGTTGACAAAATGTACAAGTTCTAAAAATAGTTTCCTTAATTCTAATAATGATGACTCCCGGAATAGAATCCAACCTCGGAATTGTCAGACAGGTCCATTTTATGAACAGGTGGGTTAAGTTTGGTATTTCCGGCATATTCTCATGTCGATTATATGTACCTTTTCTCCTAATACCGACTGTCATATCTCTTTTGGATGCAATCGTTCGGCCACCGTGTTTATCTGCTTACCCCAGCTAAATCTATGGGGAACAACTCACAAGACACTTCCCTCTCAAAAATAACAATGTCCAGTCTGTGACATCATCAATTTGCGAGCGCCTATTCGAATCTCCAGCTGCATAGCTTGTATATATTCCATTTTGCATATCTTGCTTTGATAAATAACAGACGAGTTCAAGTAAAAAACATTCTTTTTAATTTTGTTTTGTTCACATTCGATTCTAGTGACCACGAATAACGAATTCTATTCATGAAGGAAAACGGTCCTATTCAGCAAATACGAGAGTGAATCGTAACAGCCCTAATGCCTATCAATATCAATGATGGTGTAGCACAGCATAAATGATTACTATTGTTATTTACTCATGTATGTACTTCAACATGTCGGTATTGAAATCAGACCATTGATGATGTTCAATAAACCATGACACCCGTAATAATAAACCCTAATTCTATATACAGCATGCAACTTTATACACTGGTTCCAAGCCTGAGACAAGTCAACTTTTTGTTGGGCCTCCGTGTTCATTCTACATGTTCTAGACTATGGTATTTCCATGTCAATTTCAAGTTAAGGTACAAGAATAATCACGTGAGTGTAGCAGTTTTGACACACATAGTCACACATTCCATTTTGAAACAAACATTTGCTTGTTACCATAGTAACAAACAATCATCAATGTGCCCAACTTGCTGAACATCAAAAATCATCAACAACTTTTACAAACCATGTTCCAGCGCATTGTGACACCTTAACCTCCTCCCAGATTTGTCTGCTGGGAACAATTAATAGATGTTGGCAAAACCGTATTCGACGTATTAAGCGCCCAGGGCGCTCTCAAAATTAGAAATAGGGGGCTCTTATCAGAATGGTATTTTGGTGGGAAAAAAAACAGAGTTGAAAGATACATTTTGTGGTTTATGCTGACAGCCTGAAATGTTTATATACGACAGATATATTTTTCCAGAATTTAATTGCCCATAATTAAGGGTGCATATAACACACGAGTGCGTATTATACACGAATAAATAAGTCTTGTTTACATTGATCAATCGGAAGGGGTGCTAATTGGGATTGTTCACTAGGCAATATATTAACAAATATCGCCATGGGTGCTTATTACGTCTAATACGGTAATTGACAGGCTGTTGTTCTGCTTTAATTGCATAAACAGGGTTCTCTTATACCATGTACATATTGTAAATATGAGCACTTGAGCACTTCTAGTGATAAATGAAACAAAAATATGGGGTTGGCAAGGGTTACAAAACATGATTAGTTTTAGGTTTCAAAACAAATTACGGAAAAAAAACTCCAATTCAAAATATACAAGGAACAATATTTAACACATGTTCAAGGGAACCCCTGTCATTTCAGCTATAAGAATGAAATGACCTTTGCTACACGAGACACATTTACTGAACGCGGATAGTAAACTCGCTCAAACTTTGCACATAGCACCCGCAAAGCTGGTTTATGGCGTGTGTCAATAAATCACACATTTACATTGGTTATTAATCAGGTGCAAAGAGGGAAAATGTCTCCAAAAGTGTACTTGACAACTTGCAATGAAAACTTTGAAGCTGGCCAATCACAGGATGCAGTTGCCAGACACTTTGGTAATTCTAAAAGAGTGTTATCCCAACTGATCAAATGATATTGGCACACACTATGCACCAAGTTGAAAAACACGGGGCAAGGGCAATAACTCGGTAAAGAATTAATTGACGGGACCAATTTTCGAACTCAATCTTGACAAGTATATCTTGGATAATCATGCAAACTTTCATTCATGTAACTTCAGTAGTTTCTGAGAAAACTTGTCTACCTTTCACAGAGAATGCACCAGGAGAATGTGCGACACCAATTTTTCAACACCATCAATGTGCAAAAATTCATTCCTCTAATTTGAATAGTTTTTGAGAAGATTTGTCCCCGATGAGAAGCAGACAGATGGACGGAAAGATGGACGGACGAACTCCGTTCAAATATCCCCAGCCCCACTTCATGGGGGGGGGGGGGGATAATTACTGATTGGTTGGCTGGTTTGTTGTTTAACGCCGCACTCAGCAATATTCCAGCTATGACGGCGGTTTGTAAATAATCGAGACTGGAACAGACAAATCCAGTGATTGATATCATGAGCATGATAATTACTATGAAGATTGAATTCCATTTCTAAACAGATCATTTCTAAATAAATGTGGGGGTTCCTTTAAACATTGTTCCTAGTATACAACTATAAATGGAACATATAAACGCCAAGCCCATGGATGTACCAAATTTCACAATATTTTTTAACAAAAATGACAGAAATGCCCATAAATGTGTTTTCAAATATGGCTGCTGTGGTGGTCAAATTGAACGTTGAAAATCAGATTCAAACCTCTTGAATGAAGTCAGGTGTCATCATTGGAGGGAACAAACACATGAAGTGTCAGCTTCACTGGTTGAGTGGTTTCTGAGTAAACAATGTTTAAGACCGAGGACCCATGAGTTTTTGTATTTTCCAATATGGTCACTGGCAGCAATATTTGATATCTAAATTCTTATCAGAATGTCTTGGAGAAACTTGTTTCTTCACAAGGGAACCCTCTAACTCACCAAGTTCAAGGCCTATGACCCTTTAAGGTTTTGAGAAGATTCTTAAATATATTTGTTTTTCAATCAAAGATGGCTCCCTGGCAGCCATATTGAAAGTCAGATTTTGATGTCTTGAACAAACTTTAACTCCCATATGGTACCAAACATCCACACAAAATTTCAACTGAATCCATCAAGCCATTTCACTGAAGTACAAAAACGTAAAAGGTTTATGGACGACGTAAGTTAACATGGCCTTTCAGGCCTGGTGAGCTAAAAATAAAGTGTAACGTGACTGATTGGCCAGGTGACCGTAAACACAAGTATGTTTGTTGTTGGCCAAAACATGGTAAGTCTTACATTTCCTCTTTCCAGCAGCAGCTGACATTTGTTGAGACAGTCTGGGGAGTTGGCAAACGCTACCAGCGCCTTCTCTGCTTCAGACCGAATATTGCCATCAGCAGTCTCATACAGCTGCTTGCATAACTCTTCAAGCTGTATTAATTCCTGAAAACAATGTCCAATGTTATAGCAACAGATTAAAGTGAGAGATCAGTTAACTTTAGCACCCTTTCTTCAATAGTCACCGAAAACCACAGCAGGGGACACAAGAATGTTCTCACAGTGAGCAATGTGGCTCATGAAACCTGGGGCTTCAGTGTGACAAGACAATGTTTTAACTACCAGCATAATACTCTACTGTACTAAATGCCATGCTTCAATAAACTACCCCACCCCCCCACCCCACCCCCCACCCCCGAACAAATTCTAGACCAGCCTGTAAGTTATCTTTATATGTATGTGGAGAAGAGATGTTTCCAATGTGTATGAATTAATGACATAACGAAGTATCAGTCAAGTGTTACCACAGAGTGTTTATATTCTTATCACAATATGCTGCATGTGATTTCCAAACTTTACATGCTAATCCTGCACAAGACAAATCATGCATCTAGAGTCAGGGATCTATGACTTTACATGAATATTGAATCTTGAATATGAGTAAGTCTTCAAATATTAACCAATGTGTATTGTATTTTGTATGGTTTTAATTGTGTTAATAAGAAGTACCCCCTTGTCAATTATCTAAGCGATGTGATGCTTATTAAGGCAACTACAATTCTTCTCATAAGGATCTAATAATTTCATTCAACATCTCAAAGGCTTAAGAATACTGTTTAATATTGATAAAATAATCTTGGTTTTCACTTATTTTCTGTATTTACAACAACAAATTTATACCATGTGCCTATCTCACCATTGAAATTCAAAACCAATTTGACAGAGAGAAAACCAGCGTTCCAAATTAAGTTGTGTCCTTGGGTCCATCAGGTCTTCTCATATAGTATTTGAATCTTCATTTCTACAATTTTCAACACTGATTCACGGTTATAATAAGAAGGACCACATGACCATTTAGTTTACCAGCTGTTGCCTAAACTATGTTTATCTTTAATTTGTAACACTGAATAATATGGTAAACAATGGTGAAATAATGACACCAGTGCATTTTGAACTAGGGATATGTTGAAGATTTATTATGAAAATTATCTCTTGGTTGCATTGGTTGATAAAAATACTGATGATGCAATTGAGAAACTTCTACATGACAGGATAAAATCCTCTAAATAAGAACAGAAACATAGTATATCTCAATTAAACATAACAATTTGAAATGATCTTCACATTGATTTAAACTGAAACTTCAATATATATCAAGTTTGTCTCATGCCTTAAATAGATTTGACAATTGTTTATAGGTAGCCTGTTGGTAGCCTAAATGAAATTGACACAACAGTCTTGTTAAAATATCATCCCACATAGTTCAAACAACCTTCAAACTACCCCTTTCCATAAAAATGCAACATATGTATAGATGTGAATTAGATGTTACTCTCAGTATTTCTTGGAATGTTTCCATTAGCAAAGTGTGTTCTTAACAAGCAAAATTTGAAGTAGTATCGATGTTTAAGGATATTAACTTGATGCACAGTGCAAATGTAACTTAAGAATATTTCATAAGATTCTCTGATAGCAGTACGGGTTTCAAAAGAGTTAATCTTGGTGGCAAGTTGCTGGTTTCCTTAAGACACATGGGGTGTAAAAAGAAGCTAAAAACAAGCATGGGTGACATCAGCAATTTTCCCTTTAACTTCCACAAATCTTTTGCGATTTCTGAAGTTTATTCATTCAAAAACTCTTCACAAAATGCACATCCACAACGTGTCTCACATGTATGTAATAAACAATCACAGAAATTCAACTGTCAATAGCAACACGGCCATGCTTATGCCCTATTTGTTAATGCAGAATGTGTAAAATGATGTCACATGCCCGCTAATTTCAACAGAGCCCAACTGTCACGGGTAGCTATCGCGATAATTTCAAATGCAAACACTTTGGCAGTTTACTCCGTATTTGAAACACATCAGCGTTTTGTTTGTGGGCCAATTCTGACAGTCAACTCTTGACCGATGAGGAGTAAAACATGCTTTAAAACACGACGATCCCCTCACCTGGTCTTCCGCCATTTTTGTTTTCCCCACATTTTCAAGTAAGCCGCAAGAGGGCGTTGTTTATTTATTGCGACACCTTGCGGAAATGTGTGTCGAAAGCAGGGAAGATAACTACGTTTGCCTCACCTTCCCGTTTTCCAAATTCCTGTCATATTTACAAAATTTCACGTGAATGTGATGTTCTTTTATTTTTAGACGAATGAAACGCGTGTTATGCATGTCCACAATCATTGCTAGTAAGCTATACACTTCATAATCATCTAACTTATCCGCTTTTTGTCGAAAAACAATTAACAGAGCACAGTAAACATATAGATCCAGTAAAACGCCCAAAAGCTAAAAATAACCAGAAGTGCCAATCCGAGAAATAAGACCATTCTGTAAACCTAATAATACCCAAACGCGTATCATTGGCGTGTATTGCCTCGAAACAAATTAAATTAGACTCATCTTCTCTTCCACACTTTCAACAGTACCTCGGAATCAACACAAAGGCCCAAAAAATATTATTTCTCTTGTCTCCAAAGGAACCACGTGCATGCTGTAGTTTTGTATATTCACTCTCAGGCCGTGAGAACACATTACAATCAAAGACACATTCCCCTTCAAATATATAACCATTTGCGTGATTCACTGCGTTTGTTTCCATTGAAAGTATTCCAGGTTCTCAGATCGTTGCGATCCATGGGAGATTGTATCTTTGTTCGTAATTTGTGTGGCTATTTCTGTTTAAAGTGTACGTGTACATATTCCTTAGCCATATTCCTGGAAGCTTCCTGCTTGTTCTAGCCCTGACTCTTCATCCTAGGAAGGAAAGGTGTTACACCACGGTGTTTAATAACTTTCTTATGTAAATAAACAATGTTTAAACAAACAATAGATTATAAAAAAGTTGCATTAATATTTATTGCATATCTATGTTTCAACAGTCCCTATACTAATTCTTTGAAAGGCATATACAGTATATGGATAAATGTATCTAAAACTAATAACTGTAACAAACCAAAATTAGTTCTAACACAAATCCTTCCCTTGAAGGCTGTAAAGAAACAGAGACCAATCAAACACCGTTGTGTCGAAGTTGAAGGGACCTACGTTAATACTTCGAGTTATCCGAGGTTTGACAACTGAAAATGATGAAACAGGAAGGAATATGCAGGGACCAAGCTTTTACTTCGAGACACCCAAAAGTTTGACACAACAGTGTTTGACTGTATAAGAAGAGCATAATGAATCCAAATGATATTCTCCTTTCTTGAGAAATGTCATAAAGAAACCAAAAGGTCTTTAAAGGTCTTTAGAAGTGATAGGGAAGAGAATTTATGGATGTCAACTTCTTTATCACGAGGAACACAACGTTTCGGAGTATATGCTTACTCCTTCATCAGATGAATGGATGCTAGGAGGTAGAGAGGATTTAAGTACAGTTGCCGATACTGCAGTGAAATGTATATATATTGGGGAAAATATATTTAAGGGAGTCGCGTCTCTTAGGCTGCCAGAAACCTGGCCGAGGTTCCATGGCTTAGTGTCAGTTTTCAATCCAGGTTTAGGCATGATAATTATTGATTGAGTATGCTTTTACGCCGCTATTAGCAATATTCCAGCAATATCACGGCGGGGGACACCAGAAATGGGCTTCACACATTGTACCCTTGTCGGGAATCGATCCCGGGTCTTCGGCGTGACGAGCTAACGCTTTAACCACCAGACTACCCAACCGCCCCGTTCTTAGATTGATATTGTGGCACCATCATCTAATACGGATAATCATCAATTGCTAGATTAACTAACATAATACAATTTGAATAGAAAATATATAGTAATATTTCGTTTGTTTGTGGTTTAACGTATGCTTCACTCAGCAATATTCCAGCTATATGACGGCGGTCTGTAAATAAACAATGACATGCAATCAACCTAGTCTACGAGTCTGACCAACCGATCCATTTAGTTGCCTCTTACAGCAAGGATAGGTTGCTGGGGACATATATTCATACCCTTAATCACAGCAGGTTGTGCTATCTAAAATAAATAAGTACTATTTTACACTGTCAATCTTGACTCATTCGTGACTACTCGCCCATTTACTTAAAGCCCCCGTCACATTTATTCGGAATCAGCAGGAATTAAGCAGAACCAGCCGGAATGAATAATTTTCAAAATTCGTGCCACATTCAGGGGGGAATTTCAAATTAACCAAGCTTTGTAATTTTAACCGTAGTCCAAGCTATTATTTCCTTCGAAAAAAAATAAAATAAATAAAAATGCACCTGATTAGCAAAATGCACCTGTTCAATGCATGCCTGATATGAATACAAACTATCATGTAGAAATATGGAACGGTTTATGAATTATACTCCGGAAACCCCACCCTAAGTTTAACTTGTTGGCTTGGAAATATAAATTAAAAAAACGCGAATAGCATAAGGCGCCAGTTCAATGCATGCTTGGTGTGTATACAAAGTTTCATCAAGTGATATTGAATAGTTCATGAGTTACGCTCTGGAAACTGACGGACGGAGTCCGTTTCTATATGCAAAACTTTGTGAAACGACTGCCATTGTGGCCACACTTTTCCATCACATCATCATCATCGTCGTCTTCGTCGTTGTCATCATCATCATCATCATCATCATCGAGCACGTTCTAATGACGCAATTGCTGGGGTATGGTGCGCACAATGTCTGCTTGTCAGTGTTGTGGTTCAAGGGGTCCAAGACAATAGCCCCCCAAATCACAAATTTTTGTCCACTTGTAGATGCTGAATTATTCAATGTGATGATATTTATATTTGGTTACAAGTTTGAACACAACCGCTGCTAAATTAAGAATCTAACCTCCGCATCACAGGCCACCTGGCTTCCACGAATACCTCGGGTATGCTTGTTGCTACATTCCTGCGATGTGTAAAGTTAGTTTAGCTATTTTGATGACGGTTACTAGGGCTGGGACGGGTAACTCGGGTACCCGGGTCGGGTGGGTCCTGAGTAGGACCCGGGTACCCACTGGACTACCCGGACACGTGGTTAGTCACGTGATTATATTGTTTAATGGCAAAAAATATCTTGAACTCTATGGTTACACTATGATAAATGTTCTCATTTCTTTCTGACTTTGCACATTCCTTCTGACTTTATATGTTTGCATAAATATAAACTTCAGTCAATTTCAGTGTATGCATGACAAGATCGGATTATATATACGTGTATCTAAATTTATTTTGACAGGGGTACGGTCAAACTATTCCCAATCGGACATGTTTTACCTATCTCTTGAGACATACAGTGGGTACCCGGGTAGGGTCGGGTAATAGGGGAGTGGGTACCCGGGGAGAAACTTTTGACTTGTCCCAGCCCTAACGGTTACACATCACTGGTGGTGTGGAAGATGGTTACAGATCACTGGTTGTGTGGGAGATGGTTTCACATCAATGGTTGTGTGGAAGATGGTTTCACATCACTGGTTGTGTGGAAGATGGTTTCACATCACTGGTTGTGTGGAAGATGGTTTCACATCAATGGTTGTGTGGAAGATGGTTTCACATCAATGGTTGTGTGGAAGATGGTTACACATCACTGGTTGTGTGGAAGATGGTTACACATCACTGGTTCAGATGTGTAGGAGATGGTTACACATCACTGGTTGTGTGGGAGATTGTTACACATCACTGGTTGTGTGGGAGATGGTTACACATCACTGGTTGTGTGGGAGATGGTTACACATCACTGAATGTGTAGGAGATGGTTACACATCACTGGTTGTGTGGGAGATGGTTACACATCACTGGTTGTGGGGGAGATGGTTACACATCACTGGTTGTGTGGGAGATGGTTACACATCACTGGTTGTGTGGGAGATGGTTACACATCACTGGTTGTGTGGGAGATGGTTACACATCACTGAATGTGTAGGAGATGGTTACACATCACTGGTTGTGTGGGAGATGGTTACACATCACTGGTTCAGCTGTGTAGGAGATGGTTACACATCACTGGTTCAGCTGTTTGGGAGATGGTTACACATCACTGGTTGTATGGGAGATGGTTACACATCACTGGTTCAGCTGTGTAGGAGATGGTTACACATCACTGGTTGTGTGGGAGATGGTTACACATCACTGGTTCAGCTGTGTAGGAGATGGTTACACATCACTGGTTGTGTGGGAGATGGTTACACATCACTGAATGTGTGGGAGATGGTTACACATCACTGGTTGTATGGGAGATGGTTACACATCACTGGTTCAGCTGTGTAGGAGATGGTTACACATCAGTGGTTCAGCTGTTTGGGAGATGGTTACACATCACTGGTTGTATGGGAGATGGTTACACATCACTGGTTCAGCTGTGTAGGAGATGGTTACACATCACTGGTTGTGTGGGAGATGGTTACACATCACTGGTTGTATGGGAGATGGTTACAAATCACTGGTTCAGCTGTGTAGGAGATGGTTACACATCACTGGTTGTGTGGGAGATGGTTACACATCACTGGTTCAGCTGTGTAGGAGATGGTTACACATCACTGGTTGTGTGGAAGATGGTTACACATCACTGGTTGTATGGGAGATGGTTACACATCACTGGTTCAGCTGTGTAGGAGATGGTTACACATCACTGGTTGTGTGGGAGATGGTTACACATCACTGGTTCAGCTGTGTAGGAGATGGTTACACATCACTGGTTGTGTGGAAGATGGTTACACATCACTGGTTGTATGGGAGATGGTTACACATCACTGGTTCAGCTGTGTAGGAGATGGTTACACATCACTGGTTGTGTGGAAGATGGTTACACATCACTGGTTGTATGGGAGATGGTTACACATCACTGGTTCAGCTGTGTAGGAGATGGTTACACATCACTGGTTGTGTGGGAGATGGTTACACATCACTGGTTCAGCTGTGTAGGAGATGGTTACACATCACTGGTTGTGTGGGAGATTGTTACACATCACTGGTTGTGTGGGAGATGGTTACACATCACTGGTTCAGCTGTGTAGGAGATGGTTACACATCACTGGTTGTGTGGGAGATTGTTACACATCACTGGTTGTGTGGGAGATGGTTACACATCACTGGTTCAGCTGTGTAGGAGATGGTAACACATCACTGGTTGTGTGGGAGATGGTTACACATCACTGGTTCAGCTGTGTAGGAGATGGTTACACATCACTGGTTGTGTGGGAGATGGTTACACATCACTGGTTGTATGGAAGATGGTTACACATCACTGGTTCAGCTGTGTAGGAGATGGTGACACATCACTGGTTGTGTGGAAGATGGTTACACATCACTGGTTGTATGGGAGATGGTTACACATCACTGGTTCAGCTGTGTAGGAGATGGTTACACATCACTGGTTCAGCTGTGTAGGAGATGGTTACACATCACTGGTTGTGTGGGAGATTGTTACACATCACTGGTTGTGTGGGAGATGGTTACACATCACTGGTTCAGCTGTGTAGGAGATGGTTACACATCACTGGTTGTGTGGGAGATTGTTACACATCACTGGTTGTGTGGGAGATGGTTACACATCACTGGTTCAGCTGTGTAGGAGATGGTTACACATCACTGGTTGTTTTGGAGATTGTTACACATCACTGGTTGTGTGGGAGATGGTTACACATCACTGGTTCAGCTGTGTAGGAGATGGTTACACATCACTGGTTGTGTGGGAGATTGTTACACATCACTGGTTGTGTGGGAGATGGTTACACATCACTGGTTCAGCTGTGTAGGAGATGGTTACACATCACTGGTTGTGTGGGAGATTGTTACACATCACTGGTTGTGTGGGAGATGGTTACACATCACTGGTTCAGCTGTGTAGGAGATGGTTACACATCACTGGTTGTGTGGGAGATGGTTACACATCACTGGTTGTATGGAAGATGGTTACACATCACTGGTTCAGCTGTGTAGGAGATGGTGACACATCACTGGTTGTGTGGAAGATGGTTACACATCACTGGTTGTATGGGAGATGGTTACACATCACTGGTTCAGCTGTGTAGGAGATGGTTACACATCACTGGTTCAGCTGTGTAGGAGATGGTTACACATCACTGGTTGTGTGGGAGATTGTTACACATCACTGGTTGTGTGGGAGATGGTTACACATCACTGGTTCAGCTGTGTAGGAGATGGTTACACATCACTGGTTGTGTGGGAGATTGTTACACATCACTGGTTGTGTGGGAGATGGTTACACATCACTGGTTCAGCTGTGTAGGAGATGGTTACACATCACTGGTTGTTTTGGAGATTGTTACACATCACTGGTTGTGTGGGAGATGGTTACACATCACTGGTTCAGCTGTGTAGGAGATGGTTACACATCACTGGTTGTGTGGGAGATTGTTACACATCACTGGTTGTGTGGGAGATGGTTACACATCACTGGTTCAGCTGTGTAGGAGATGGTTACACATCACTGGTTGTGTGGGAGATTGTTACACATCACTGGTTGTGTGGGAGATGGTTACACATCACTGGTTGTGTGGGAGATGGTTACACATCACTGGTTGTGTGGGAGATGGTTACACATCACTGGTTCAGCTGTGTAGGAGATGGTTACACATCACTGGTTGTGTGGGAGATTGTTTCACATCACTGGTTGTGTGGGAGATGGTTACACATCACTGGTTCAGCTGTGTAGGAGATGGTTACACATCCCTGGTTGTGTGGGAGATTGTTTCACATCACTGGTTGTGTGGGAGAAGGTTACACATCACTGGTTCAGCTGTGTAGGAGATGGTTACACATCACTGGTTGTGTGGGAGATTGTTTCACATCACTGGTTGTGTGGGAGATGGTTACACATCACTGGTTCAGCTGTGTAGGAGATGGTTACACATCACTGGTTGTGTGGGAGATTGTTTCACATCACTGGTTCAGCTGTGTAGGAGATGGTTACACATCAATGGTTCAGCTGTTTGGGAGATGGTTACACATCACTGGTTGTATGGGAGATGGTTACACATCACTGGTTCAGCTGTGTAGGAGATGGTTACACATCACTGGTTGTGTGGGAGATGGTTACACATCACTGGTTGTATGGGAGATGGTTACAAATCACTGGTTCAGCTGTGTAGGAGATGGTTACACATCACTGGTTGTGTGGGAGATGGTTACACATCACTGGTTCAGCTGTGTAGGAGATGGTTACACATCACTGGTTGTGTGGGAGATTGTTTCACATCACTGGTTGTGTGGGAGATGGTTACACATCACTGGTTGTGGGGGAGATGGTTACACATCACTGGTTCAGCTGTGTAGGGGATGGTTACACATCACTGGTTCAGCTGTGTAGGAGATGGTTACACATCACTGGTTCAGCTGTGTAGGAGATGGTTACACATCACTGGTTCAGCTGTGTAGGAGATGGTTACACATCACTGGTTGTGTGGGAGATTGTTTCACATCACTGGTTGTGTAGGAGATGGTTACACATCACTGGTTGTGTAGGAGATGGTTACACATCACTGGTTCAGCTGTGTAGGAGATGGTTACACATCACTGGTTGTGTGGGAGATGGTTACACATCACTGGTTGTGTAGGAGATGGTTACACATCACTGGTTGTGTGGGAGATTGTTACACATCACTGGTTGTGTGGGAGATGGTTACACATCACTGGTTCAGCTGGTAAGGAGATGGTTACACATCACTGGTTCAGCTGTGTAGGAGATGGTTACACATCACTGGTTGTGTGGGAGATGGTTACACATCACTGGTTGTGGGGGAGATGGTTACACATCACTGGTTGTGGGGGAGATGGTTACACATCACTGGTTGTGTAGGAGATGGTTACACATCACTGGTTGTGTGGGAGATGGTTACACATCACTGGTTGTGGGGGAGATGGTTACACATCACTGGTTGTGTGGGAGATTGTTACACATCACTGGTTGTGTGGGAGATGGTTACACATCACTGGTTCAGCTGTGTAGGAGATGGTTACACATCAGTGGTTCAGCTGTGTAGGAGATGGTTACACATCACTGGTTCAGCTGTGTAGGAGATGGTTACACATCACTGGTTCAGCTGTGTAGGAGATGGTTACACATCACTGGTTGTGGGGGAGATGGTTACACATCACTGGTTCAGCTGTGTAGGAGATGGTTACACATCACTGGTTCAGCTGTGTAGGAGATGGTTACACATCAATGGTTGTGTGGGAGATTGTTACACATCACTGGTTGTGGGGGAGATGGTTACACATCACTGGTTCAGCTGGTAAGGAGATGGTTACACATCACTGGTTGTGTGGGAGATGGTTACACATCACTGGTTCAGCTGTGTAGGAGATGGTTACACATCAATGGTTCAGCTGTTTGGGAGATGGTTACACATCACTGGTTGTATGGGAGATGGTTACACATCACTGGTTCAGCTGTGTAGGAGATGGTTACACATCACTGGTTCAGCTGTGTAGGAGATGGTTACACATCACTGGTTGTGTGGGAGATGGTAACACATCACTGGTTGTATGGGAGATGGTTACAAATCACTGGTTCAGCTGTGTAGGAGATGGTTACACATCACTGGTTGTGTGGGAGATGGTTACACATCACTGGTTCAGCTGTGTAGGAGATGGTTACACATCACTGGTTGTGTGGGAGATTGTTTCACATCACTGGTTGTGTGGGAGATGGTTACACATCACTGGTTCAGCTGTGTAGGAGATGGTTACACATCACTGGTTGTGTGGGAGATTGTTTCACATCACTGGTTGTGTGGGAGATGGTTACACATCACTGGTTCAGCTGTGTAGGAGATGGTTACACATCACTGGTTGTGTGGGAGATTGTTTCACATCACTGGTTCAGCTGTGTAGGAGATGGTTACACATCACTGGTTCAGCTGTGTAGGAGATGGTTACACATCACTGGTTGTGTGGGAGATTGTTACACATCACTGGTTCAGCTGTGTAGGAGATGGTTACACATCACTGGTTGTGTGGGAGATTGTTACACATCACTGGTTGTGTGGGAGATGGTTACACATCACTGGTTCAGCTGTGTAGGAGATGGTTACACATCACTGGTGGTGTGGGAGATTGTAACACATCACTGGTGGTGTGGGAGATGGTTTAGTGTATACATAGTGGATGATTTGCACTTTAACTAAATTGTGTCCAAAGATAAAACATACAGTAACAACATTGTAAATGTTTATTAAAAACTGACAAAATAAACACATTCACAGCCACATTCACAAATCAGAAAATGTTTGAGCATTTTTGTTTTTTTCACATGTGAACAAGTGTTACAGTAAACCTACACTCCTCTGACATTTGACAAATGCTTTGTTAGTCATAGGCAGATTCTTCATCATTCCAAACATCAGTATCAGAAATGGCATACTAGCACAAATGCACAAAAGTACACATGATATATTTTGTGCCATGTAGCAAAATCAAGGCATCAAATGTTGATGTGAAGGAAAACGAAAGATGCACATTATCTTCACAATCAACTCTCTCATACAGCGGGTATGATTCACTTATTATTACAACATTCACACAGTTGCTGTCATGGCAACAATGAACCAAAACAAGGACTAAAGCCCATGTGGTCTGTGGTCTTACCTCTTATGAATGAAACGACAGGCATATGACACAAGCTCCGACAAGCACATTTAGATACTGGATCCAACACCTTACAATGGACCAATCATCACACCTAACCTGTGTTTTCATTTGAACGGTCAACACAAGTAATTTTTCAAACTTAGTTGTGTTGTTTGGCTACCATTTACATCTGGGCACAAAAATGTGACCTTGACCTTACAAACCATGAGTCTTTGGCCTTACAAACAAAACGAGGCCTTGGCCTTACACACCATGAGTCCTTGGCCTTACAAACAAAACGAGACCTTGACCTTACAAACAAAACATGAGGCCTTGACCTCACAAATTATGAGACCTTGACCTTACAAACAAATCATGAGATCTTGAATGTACAAACAAATCATGAGATCTTAAACTTACAAAGAAATCAATACAGTGAGAATAAGTAAACTGAAGCAATCAAAGAAAAGAATCTTGGTGTTTGACAAGACTCAGTCTGGTACTGAAACCAAAATACTTGAGAATGCTACAAACCAACATTGACATAACCAAGAAACTTGAAAAGTAACCAAAACCATGGGAAGCAATGGATCTGTCTTCTCAACTATCTCCCTCAATTGATGGCACTGATGGAATAATGGATTGAAATATTATTTTTGTTTTGTTTGTTTGTTTGTTGTTTAACGCCACACGCAGCAATATTCCAGCTATATGAAGGCAGTCTCCAAATAATCAAATCTGGACCAGACAATCCAGTGACTGACATCATGAGCATCGATCTATGCAATGGGGATATGATGACATGCATAAACCAAGTCAGCAAGCCTGACCATCCGATCCCGTTAGTCGCCTCTTATTGCATTGCATTGTAATTGACCTCATGGAAAAAGTTTCCTCTACTGGCAATGCTAGTGAGGCCATTACTCTGTTTTTAATAATCCTGCAGCAATACCACAGATGGGGACACCAGAAATGGGCTTTTTATGTTGTTCCCATGTAATATATCTAACCCAGGTCTTCAGCGTACAGGTGAACACTCTAACCTGCAGAATTCTTCTAAGTATCTTGGTATAAGAGCATCAACCTTGACATGGGGCGCAGGTGACCCAGTCGCCTAAGGCGCCACAATTCGCTGTAGAGTGTTGGATCCCTTGGGCATGCTAGAACCCTCATCAAAGAAGCCCTTAATGATCGAGTGAGTGAGTAAGTTGGGTTTAACGCAGCTTTGAACAGTAATCCAGTTATATCATAACTTGTCATTCCCATATGGGTGGCAAGCCAGAAATGATGCAGGCCTTGGATGTATACCACTTTGGTGTAACCCATGAGCATGGGTATGGTGTTTACAGATCTACAAACAGTATCAGGACGAACCGGATTTGAACCCATTATTAAAGATTTCTTTGGAACAAAACTTTGTACAACAAAATTGCAGCACCTTAGTCGACTGGGCCACCAATGCCCCCTTTAATCATCAAAGAAAAATACCACTTGATTCAATGGGTTATTTCCAGCGTTGTATCATTCAAATCAGACAAATCTAAGGTGTCCAATGGAACCAGAGTATCTATCATAATAGAATGGCGATATAATACTCTGGATAAAGGAGGATGGGATTAATGTACCAGAGAAAGAAAAAGAGAGGGAAACTCCTCAAATGTTTTCAAAACAAATTGTATTTGTATTTTCATTTTAAATTACCCTTGGTAAACCAGTAATCCACACAAAAAATACAGAGTACTATGATCTTCACTGATGCTGAGTGAGTGAGTGAGTGAGTGAGTGAGTGAGTGAGTGAGTGAGTGAGTGAGTTGGGTTTAATGCCACTTTGAACAGTATTGCAGTTACATGTATTTCAGGGTGTGTCAGCTTAATGTGGGAGGAAAGCTGATGTGATGCAGGTCTCAGACATTTTACCACTTTGGTGAAACCCACGGGCAAGTGTAGGGTGCTGACAAACCTAGAAACATAATCAGGATGAAACTGGATTTGAACCCACAATCCACTGATGCTGTCAAAAGGTGTACAGCAGAACTTCGTTGGCCTGGATCCTGTTAATATGGACACCCTGCCTAATGGACAATTACAGCTAGGAGAGCTTGCAAATTGACATCAGTTCCAAAGATGCATTAATCTGGAAATTTGTCAATCCAAACCATTTCACAAACAGCTCCCATTCACTATGCAGGCTTCAGTAGACTGATGATGTTGTACTTGTTAGTTGCCTGTTGTACACCATTGAATTATGGGCTGGGACGGGTAACTCGGGTACTCGGGTCGGGTGGGTACTGAGTAGGACCCGGGTACCCACAGTTTACCCGGAGGTTAGTCACGAGACATATTGTTTAATGCCAAAAACTCACTAGAGCTCAGTGGTTACACTACAAGTCGCTAATGTTGCCATTTCTTTATGATGATGCACACATTCCTTTTGACTTGTATATGTTTGAATAAAGATAAAGCTTCATTCAACTTCAGTGTACGCATGATTTGATCGTTTCATAAGAGACCATATATCTATTATATGGTCTCTGGTTTCATACATGTATCTGAACAGTTTTTGCCAGGGCTACAGTTAAACTATTCCCAATTAGACATTGTGTTCCCCACTCTTGAGACCTACAGTGGGTACCCGGGTAGGGTCGGGCAATAGGGGGTTGGGTACCCGGGTAGTTTGTTGGGACTCGTCCCTGCCCTACACTGAATGCCATGTTGTATCCTTGGTATAAAATCAATGCTGTCATGAAGACTTCAGATCATACAGGAGCATGTACACTTGATGTATTCTGTTGTACGTCATGTTGTATCTTTGGTAATGCTGTCATGAAGATTCTGCAGATCACACAGGAGTGTTCTAATCCAGGCCCATCGAGATCGAAGACACTTTTGCTTGTCAACCTTCTGAAGGCTCCTTGCATAGGCTGCTTTTAACCTGCTCATCATGTCTGTCTTGCTGTAAACAAATTATGGTCACATGAGACAGGGTTCATGGGTTCATCTAGATCTGCTCAGAGGCCGATAATATATCCCAAGTCTGCAGCATATGTAAGAAAATATTCCCAATTCAGGTTTACAGGAGTAACAAATGTGATTCCTGAGGTGTCTCATATTTCACTGACAACAGGACCATTAAAGAGTTCTAATTTACATTATTCATTGAATGCAATGTGAAAATTGTGAGTGAGTGAGTGAGTATGGTTTTACGCCACTTTTAGCAATATTCCAGCAATATCACAGCAGGGGACACCAGAAATGGGTTTCACACATTGTACCCATGTTGGGAATCCACCGTGACGAGCGAACACTTTAACCACAAGGCTACCCGACCGCCCCGCAACGTGAAAATACCTCTGAAGTTAAGAAAATAAGGGCTTCTTAAAATCCCACTTTTAAACCAAATAATTTGTTTTCAATTTTCATGCCAAGGGCACTAGGTTAGGAATCCTATACAAATCCATGGGATGTGATATCCCTTTTAACAGTATTCCAGCTCATATCATAGCACGGAATTTTAATGATCCAAGTGAGTGAGTATGGTTTTATGCCGCTTTTAGCAATATTCCAGCAATATCATGGCTGGGGACACCAGAAATGGGCTTCACACATTGTACCCCTGTTGGAAGTAAGTAAGTTCACTCCTTCATACAGCCTCACCTCTTGATCCCGGAGCTGTAGCATTTGACGAGTTGTAGAAAAACAAACTGTATCCGGGACTCCAGGATGATGCTCAGACTATCCTCCTCGGACTTCTCCCCCTGGTCCAGAGCCTCCTCCGTTGGAGTGGCCAGCACATTGACCGAGGCAGCACAGGACCCCAGCAGCCCAGAGATAGCACTGATGGAGCGGAGACGAGACTTGGCTACTGACTGGCCTGAAAAATACAGTAAGCCTTGTAAACCTCCTTCCTTCACTTCAACATCATGAATTTACCCAAAGTATGAATGTATTCATAAATGAAGACAAGCGCCTAAGTGTGAGTCAGTGATCAACAGAAATAAGCAAGGATCATACGAATTTGGGAAGAGAACCCATGATCAGCGGATCTTGGCATGGCCAAGGGAGGCAACTCTAAACACCTATTTCAAGCATCATAGATGACAGTGCCACCAGTGTCCCCCAAAACGACCTTATTTGGTGAAGAAATATTGTACTGTTTTCAAGATCTACTATGAGTGAGTGAGTGAGTGAGTTTGGTTTTATGCCGCTTTTAGCAATATTCCAGCAATATCACGGCGGGGGACACCAGAAATGGGCTTCACACATTGTACCCATGTCGGGAATCGAATCCGGGTCTTCGGCGTGACGAGCAAACGCTTTAACCACTAGGCTACCCGACCGCCCAGATCTACTATGGAAAGGACCACTACAGCATTTTCAATCTGCTCCGCAAACAAAACGTGATGGACGGACAGGCAATACACATACCCTTCCACTTTGTGACGGGGAATAAAAAGAGTGTGGACATTGTATACCTTGCAGAGCAGCCTCCAACATGGCGACCCTCTCCAGCTGCACGCGCAGCAGTTCTGTGTGGGACTCGGCTTGCTGGAACAGCCGGAACGCTCGGTCGTAGTGGTTATCTGCCAACTGACGTAGGTGGCGCTTCTTCTGGTCATTTGTCTGTGGAATGCAACGTCAACATTCTAGGTCACTACCAGAAATAAAGCAGGATTTTAAGCAGATTGCCCTAGTGTCCGGTTTGTTTTTCAGCCTTGGGACCAACCATGTTTACAGGTCTTTACAGTGTTGTCACTACCCCTAGTGCACAGTACATTCACCCTGTGCACATAAAAGAACCCACTCGTCCGATGGTAGATGACCACATGGTGGAAACATGAATACCTACATACACCCGAAACACAAGTGTCAAAATGTGTGGTGTCATACTGAACAAGTGACTTAGTTCAAATGAGCCTCTGTTCACCCAGCAGGGAATGGGTACTCGATATGTGAGGTGGATGCAAAACCCTCTAGTGCCGCTTGGACTGAATACTCCCCAGGGAGTTGAGAATGATTACTGGAATGCAAACGGATCCACTGGTTGGGGAACAAATAAAACCACATTTAAGCAGATACTAGCATCTGGATACCTGCAGTATATTAATGTATAATTTGATAATATAATAATAATAATTATATACTCTTACACTAAGTATCGTGGACCTTATCTGTTCATGAGTCACCATAGAGTTAATCGTAGGGTGAGTGAGTGAGTGAGTTGTGTTTAACGCCGCTTTTAACAGTATTCCAGTTATATCGCGGCATGTCAGCTTAATGTGGGAGGAAGGCCCAAAGTGATGCAGGTCTCAGACGTTTATCACTTCGGTGAAACCCACAAGCACGGGTATGGTGCTGACAAACCTAGAAACATAATTGGGGCGAACCGAGTTTGAACCCACAATCATAGGCAACTCTGCACAGCGACTGGGCCACCTGTGGCCCCCATTTGATAAGTGAGAGGACAAACAAGGACAAGCACTTGGAGAAAGTCCCGGTCAGTCTCCTTAAAACTTGATACTTGATGGTTCCTCTCTGCATGTAGATCTGACAACACATCAAGAGGAGGTCGTCACATCAGGTGAACTCTGACCAGCTAATCACTGTTGATTTTGGTATGATGTTTGTTTTGGTTTTTTTGTTTAACGCTGCACTCAGCAATATTCCAGCTATTTGACGGGGGTCTCTAAATAATTGTGTCTGGACCAGACAATCTAGTGATTGACATCATGAGCATCCATCTACGCAATTGGGAAATGATGACATGCATCAAGTCAGCGAGCCACACCAGCCAATCCCGTTAGTCGCCTCTTACGACGAGCATAGTCGACTTTTACGACAAGTATGGGTTGCTGGAGACCTATTCTACCCCGGGTCTTCACAGGTCTCTTGGTATGAGTGAGTGAAGCATTCAGACCAGCCTATCTATTTTCTGTGTCTCATAAATGAACTTACATGGACAGAACCGAATGTTAATAAAAAAGACCGCACCACTTTATTGTCATGGTGATCTCTAAGTGGAATGGGCCCTGATGTTAATGAGATTGCTGAGTCTGATTACCTGGGATATGTAGGAGTGGTGGTACAGCGAGGCCAGTCGGTGGTTGATGGTTGCAGCTCGGAACTGTTGTACAAGCTGATTTGTGTCTGACTTGTTGTTAGGAACACAGTACTTGAGGGATTTATTCATCAGCTCTGTCACACTCTTCTCAACCTGGATCAAATACAATTATATGACACAGACACGAAAGCCTTTTCCATGAGGTCAGCACTGACACCACATGCCTCCGTTGTGCCATCAATATGTTATGATTGAATATTATTTTCTTCACATTTAACATAGATAATTAGTGTATGGAAAAGTGCCTTCATTTTCCAGTTACAAATTCCAAACATTTTAAAGATATGTGGCTTCAAATTTCAATCATGTGAATCTCATCTAGCATGTCGAGTGCAGGGATTTATCGAGGATAATAATGGAAGAGCCCATGGCAGCCAAATTGACAAAGAAATCATATTTTGTTCAAAATTGGGATTGTATTTACGGAATGTTTTTTCCTAAATTTGGTTGGCCGTGGGGTAGTCTAGTGGTTAACCTGGGTTCAATTCTCCACATGGTTACAATATATAAAGCCCATTTCTGGTGTGCCCCATCATGACAGTGCTGGAATATTGCTAAAAGAGGCGTAAATCCATACTCACTCACTCACTCCTAACTTCTGAGGTATTTTAACTTTACATTCAGTGTGATAATTTAAATCCAAGCATTAATGCCTCTTCCACTTTATTGGCCTGTTGTCACTGATATACATGATGCCTTCACAGAGCCATTACATTAGTTATATTAACATGAATCGGGAAATCTTTATTTCCCATTTGGGCATCTGCTGCAGACTTGGGGCCAAATATCGGCCTCTGACCAGGTCTGGCAAAGTTCCTGCTATTGACCTTCTAAAACTAGTCATTTTCTAACCTAACCATGTGAACCTTTTCAAATCATGAGAAGAGACCAACATGTTATTTAACATAAAAAAAACCCATATATTTCAATTATTATATAATTCTTTTCACTGTACCTAGTCTGAAAACTGTCAGCGAGAAAGGCTGAAAGCAGTTCTAGCATAATGTGTTATTTCACTGAGAGAAAGATTGCTTTTACTGCCACCAAAAATATACTACTCAAAATAAGTTCTGGGACCCTTGAATCTTTTTATGACAGATTAACTACAGTAATGGGAAAGAATCAGGTGTCCTTAACTTCTTTTGAGTAGTATATTATAAAACATAGTAATGTTGCCCCTCACCTCCTCCTGAGTCTGACTCGAGTGTGGGGGGTAGTCTTGTAGCAGCATGGCCATGTTGAAGTATGTGGTGGACAAGTCCCACTTCACTGCTTCTCGGATGTCCCGGAGTTCATTGGGAGTTCTCTCCCCTGGGCCAAGGACGATTAGAGCATTCTGATAATAGTCCACTGCCTGGATAAGAAAATATTTGTCTTGTTATAATGTTAATGAACTGTTAGACCTGGTAGACTTTGAATACATGCTACTGCCACCAAGATTTTCCCCCGAGCGGCTCCACTCTGGCTCATGCCCAAGCTTCGACACTCAGGGGTGGGGATATCAGATAATTATATATCACTCAGCAGAGACGTGGGGATTGCGGAGGCTTTAACCACTACACTCTAACCACTACACTCTAACCACTACACTCTAACCAGTAGTGGTGAAACGATACATCAGTGCATCGTGAGGTTTCATGTGATGATACGATACACAATATGTTTTTTTCTGTGCCGATACAAGACAATACACTTACAGAAATAAATTATTTACTACTTGTTTAATGTTCCCTGGTGTTTTTGTCAGTCAGATATAACAAAATGTGTTGTAATTAGCCTTTCAAGTTCACCACTGAAAATAGCCGCTAGCACCTGTGTCTACAGCTAGCTTTACTTTTTGAACCTGCTCTGAAATATTTTTTGTCAAGAAGTTTCCATGAGATTTGACATAAATATACATATCACGATACATATCAAATTGGGACCTATGTATCATGACCTTGCTGTATGGTTTCACTTCTACTAACCACTGGCCCCAGCCCTGATGAGAGGATACACTGTGGATGAGGAACACCTCACACCACTGCAATAGTGTTACAGCTATTGCAATAGGATAACAATTGTGGAACAATAACAAATAGTGAAAAACATATTCATACGGTTTCTCAGTCACAAAATTCAAATTTCAAGGATCAATCGATCATTCACCCAAAATGAAGACCATTCAAATTAAAATTTCGGTTACACTTATTGTCATTTTGCACATGAAAATGTGGCATGACTTTGTTATTGGTTCCAACATATACGACTTACATCACGTATAAGAGAAACAGTTGATCATTCGAAAGAAGACAGTTGATGGTTACTGACTCTCAACAGATCATAGTATTTACACACCAAGGATTTTCTTCAAAGTTTTTAACAGATGTCCACAGGTTTAACAGTGCTGCCTTTATAATTTTCATTCTGAACTGCCCTTTTACGTTTGTTTTTTAAGAAACTGAAATCAGATATGCTGCTCTTGAGGTTTCAATTGCTTATACCCACAACTCAGAAGCCTCAATGTCGATAATCTGAGTGGAAAGTTGGCCTGACGCAACCTCCTTTGTAAGGTATCGGAGGAAAAGGAAAAGATCTGATTTTAATGAATTGTAACGAGAAGTGCCTGGAAGGAGGCTACCTTGGAGTAGTAGTGTTTCTCCTGCAGGCTGAACTCTGGGCGGGCCTGCTGCATGGCTTGTTGAGTGTAGCACTGGGCACACAGACGCATCAGTCGGCCGCTGTTGGACAGCAGCAGGGCCTGGTTCGCCTTGTCATGGATGTTGGAGAACGCGAGGATCCCCGACGTGAAACACGTCTGACTCTTCTCCCACAATTCCTTCATCTTGTCGGATGGTTCAATGGCACCTGCAGACACACAGCAACATCATCAGGCCTGTCATAGCAATGTCAACCTCACAATCACATCATGATAGTTTAACCATTTTCCTTAATACAAACTTGGATACAAATCTCATCTTTTTAACAAACTGCTCAAGGTGAGGAGAGGTGAAATGGGATTTAACATCATGTTCAAGATCTTTGCACTTACAAGGTGATGAACATGCATGTGTGGCTGCTTGTACTAAACCTGACTGATGCCAGTTTATAGTTCTAGTCCACGGAGATACAATGCTTCTGTTTAACATGGATACCCCTTTCAGATACAGCATACCAACTCAGAACCGTCCGGTCCATGTGATTTCCCCTTAAAGCCGAACTCCAGGCATTTAATTCACATTTCTGCTGGTCAAACCTGTCTGCTGGTCAAGCCTGTCTGCTGGTCAAGCCTGTCTGCTGGTCAAGCCTGCATACTGGTCAAACCTGTGTGCTGGTCAAGTCTGTCGACTGGTCAAGCTTGTCTACTGGTCAGACCTGTCTACTGTTCAAGTCTGTCTACTGGTCAAGCCTGTCTACTGGTCACACCTGCCTACTGTTCAAGTCTGTCTACTGGTCAAGCTTGTCTACTGGTCAGACCTGTCTACTGTTCAAGTCTGTCTACTGGTCAAGGATATCTACTGGTCAAACCTGTCGGCTGGTCAAGCCTGTCTACTGGTCAAACCTATCTGCTGGTCAAGGATGTCTGGTGGTCAAACCTGTCTACTGGTCAAGCCTGTCTACTGTTCAAGTCTGTCTACTGGTCAAGGATATCAACTTGTCAAGCCTGTCTGCTGGTCAAGGATATCTAATGGTCAAGCCGGTCTGCTGGTCAAGGATATCTAATGGTCAAGCCGGTCTGCTGGTCAAACCTGTCTACTGGTCACACCTGTGTGCTGGTCAAGTCTGTCTACTGTTCAAGTCTGTCTACTGGTCAAGGATATCTACTAGTCAAACCTGTCTGTTGGTCAAGGATATCTACTGGTCAAACATGTCGGCTGGTCAAGCCTGTCTACTGATCAAGGATGTCTACTGGTCAAACCAATCTGCTGGTCAAGCCTATCTGCTGGTCAAGGATGTCTGCTGGTCAAACCTGTCTGCTGGTCAAGCCCGTCTCCTGGTCAAACCTGTCTTCTGGTCACACCTGTCTTCTGGTCACTTCTGTCTACTGGTCACCCCTGTCTACTGATCAAGGATGTCTACAGGTCAAACCAATCTGCTGGTCAAGCCTATCTGCTGGTCAAGCCTATCTGCTGGTCAAGGATGTCTGGTGGTCAAGCCTGTCTACTGGTCAAACCTGTCTTCTGGTCACTTCTGTCTACTGGTCAAGCCTGTCTACTGTTCAAGTCTGTCTACTGGTCAAGGATATCTACTGGTCAAGCCTGTCTGCTGGTCAAGGATATCTAATGGTCAAGCCTATCTGCTGGTCAAACCTGTCTACTGGTCACATCTGTGTGCTGGTCAAGTCTGTCTACTGTTCAAGTCTGTCTACTGGTCAAGGATATCTACTAGTCAAACCTGTCTGTTGGTCAAGGATATCTACTGGTCAAACATGTCGGCTGGTCAAGCCTGTCTACTGATCAAGGATGTCTACTGGTCAAACCAATCTGCTGGTCAAGCCTATCTGCTGGTCAAGGATGTCTGCTGGTCAAACCTGTCTACTGGTCAAGCCTGTCTACTGCTCAAGCCTGTCTACTGGTCAAGCCTGTCCACTGGTCAAGCCTGTCTACTGGTCAAGCCTGTCTACCAGGTGTTTGCTACCTACCTGACTGCAAGAACACCTGGGCTTGGTTCATGTACCACACACCCAGCTCGTTGAGGGAGTTGCCATGACGCTTGGACAGACTGACCCGTGTGTCCTTACTACACTTGACCTTGGTCCCTATCTGGTAGGCCAGCTCGTAGCAGCGGCTGCTGTGTACCAGGTTCTGCTCCATGCTCAACGTCCACGTGTACACCCACGAGTACTCTGCATCACAGACAACAACTTAACATGAATGTGCTGATTGGTAAGACTGCACAGTACTACTGGTATACTGCAATACGCTTTTCACATAATACGTATTGCAATATTATTTCTGTGTTCCGCTTTATTGGGTAAAATAAACAAAAAGTATTCATATCATTTGCATTGTTTCACCTCAAATCTACACAGAAAATCATTCACAAATGATGTTTCCTTTGACTTAGCATTGTAATATTTACTTCAGTACGTACAAAACAGGATCTGTATGTACAGTGTTAATCACTGAAAGACACTACCAAGGCATGAACTTTGAGCGGGTTATAATGTAGCTGAGGTTATCGTAGCCCCTCAACCATTCACTGTTTAATTCCAGATCTCTATACTGTTAATGCTGGATCCTAATGGTGATGGTATTATCATATTACAATGAAGATAAAATACACTTGGTAACTGGAGATGCCACCATGGTGAAATTACAGAAAGGATATGCTGTGGGTCTCTTTTGGCCCAAGAAATAAAGAAATTGGTATCAACATTCACAGATGTGTCAGCGATATTTCAACTATATGATGGTGATCTGTAATTAATCAAGTCTGGACCAAACAAACATGTGATTGATATTCTGAGCAATGTCCCAAGTCATCATGTTATGACACCATGCAATTATGATGAAGCATAAAACCCAAAGCAATTCCCAGTGCTAGTTTTACCCCCGTTTGGTTGTACCTGGGTTAGGAATGACGTTCTGCGCAGCATCCAGCACCACTGCCTCCTCCTCCGACATATCCCCGTAGTCTCTCTTGTGTTCCTCGAAGCCCCGACTGATGTGGCTGATGAGGAGATGGATGTCCCCCGCCAGCTCCAGGATCAGCATCAGCAGCTCGCGGTTCTCCCCCTCCTTGCTGGGCACCAGCTTCTTCATCGCATCTGCAGGATACACGGTGAGTGAGTGAGTGAGTGAGTGAGTGAGTGAGTGAGTGAGTGGGTGGGTGAGTGGGTGGGTGGGTGGGTGGTTGAGTGAGTGAGTGAGTGAGTGAGTGAGTGAGTGAGTGGTTGAGTGAGTGTCTTGCTTAACATAGCATCAAGAACCTTGCAGCTATCTGCAGCAAACTTGTTCTCAGGGTGATATATACTGACCCCTCTGAAAATGCATAACAGAAAACATAATGCATGTTTTGTGCTATTGTCTCCATCCCGAGAAACACCAAACAAGAACTGTACTGAGACAAATGGCCGAACACACTTCCCTATGTCAATAGAACAATGTCCTACATCACATTACACTACTAACCAATGTCCCTCACATCGGTAACATATCTAACAAAATTAAGTATGAAAAATCCATTATGCATTTTCATGATGTTAGCATATGAAAAAACCTTAGGAGTCCCTTGAACCATAACCATTTGAGTGAGTGAGTGAGTGAGTGAGTGAGTGAGTGAGTGAGTGAGTGAGTGAGTGAGTGAGTGAGTGAGTGAGTGAGTGAGTGAGTGAGTGAGTGAGTGAGTGAGTGAGTTGGATGTAACGCCGCTTTTAACAGTATTCCAGTTATATCACAGAGTGTCAGCTTAATGTGGGAGGAAATACTGAAGTGATGCAGGTCTCAGACCTTTACCACTTCCGTGAAACCCACGAGCACGGGTATGGTGCTGACAAACCTAGAAACATAATCGGGGCGAAACGGCATTCGAACCCACAATCATAGGTTTCTGGCATGCCCAAGGGACGCAACTCTGCACAGAGAAATGCGGCGCCTTAGACCATTGGGCCACCCCTGCCCCCTCTTAACCATTTGATAACCTTCAGGTTGGCTTTCGTGGACTGTGATAGTTTCTAACTCAGGATTTATAGCATGACATATGTACCATCAACAAGGTTATACATATCTAATTACCTGATCCTCTTTATAACGCCATCTTACAAGCAGCATGAGTTGCATAGGACCATATTGGTTGCAGAATCCCCACTGGGCTCCAAACAAAATAAATACAACTACAGGGAATCTTGTCATCACAAACACTCAAGAACTTACCAAGGCAGTGTAATGCGAATCTCACATGCTTGAGCGCATGTCCATACTTCTTAACTGACATGTGTTCCTTGGCTAGGGCATAGTAGGCCATGGCGCCCTTCCTCAGTAGCAGAGACTTGGACAGCTGGTGCCAAGATGCCTTGGTGTCTGTCGGCATGGCAATGGTCACCTGAAGACTGTTTCTTTTCTCTTCTCTTTTGCTCAGCGGTTCGTAGTGAAGTGGAATGGCCTCACTCTGGTTGCATGTGGCCTGCTCCTCCACGATGCTGCTACTTTTGTGTGGTTCCTTGGTTTTGAGATTGGACAGATCCTTGCCGAGGCAGTCCAGGCCCTAGATGGGTAAAAATGTGAGTCAGTATCATACCACAGTCAGTGATATTCCAGCTCTATCCCTTAATATCCTTGCCGACCACACATGACAGGAATACACCATTCAGTCTTCCCACTATTCAACAGCTGGCCACCCTCCCAAGGCAAGCGTGTCCACTAGCCTATATCAAAGCTTAGTTTCTACCCTTGCCACTTTTCTTGGCTCGGCCCTGGAGCCACCTCGCGTAGATCACAAGTTGTGCCCCTTGTGATGAAAACGCGATATCCAATCAGATCACTGTTCCTATCTTGAATAGCTTCACAAAGATTACAACTACCATAGGTGACGATCTAGTCAGATAAGGAAAGCATTTACGATTTCACCCCTGACACAAAAACATAGGCAATCGTTGGGGGGTTTAAAACAATGAAAAAGACATATATAATAAGTCTGAAAAAGACATATTCAGCAGGCAGCGGTAAATCACTTTCATGCGAAAGGTGTATCAGTCGTGGATGTTGATTTTGTCACACGTTCTCTGATTGGACTATCGATATGTGCGATAGTCCAATCATATTTAGCACAGGAAAGTGGGCTTGATGTGGCAAGGGTGGAATAAAAAGGCTACTGGACGCTCTTGCCTCGGGAAGATGATATCTGGCAAGCTCACCAGTATCTAGTAGAGGCATAGTGTAGCTTAGATTGTCTACAGTTAGCCTAGGTTAACATTACATAATTAGGGTTACTTGTCAGAAGGAAAGATATTGACACATTTCTAACTGTCTGTGAAACGGACCAAATATTTTTATGATTAATATTCAATGTCTATTAATTTAATAATTTATATTGCACAGCAGTAAACATTTTTCTAAACTAATGCCTTGTTCTTTTATTTCTTTTCATCAGAATATGTCTAATTTAGCTTACCTTCCTAATATAGCTGAGTCCATCTCGACACCGTTCTTCCACTGTGCCTGCGATAGCATGTGTACGAGGAACTCGCCAGGCACGGCGCACAGTGCGGTCTATCCTACACAGATCATTCAGCCCCAGGGATATTTCGGTCTTCACCTCGCTTTCCTCGTCTGATGTCTGCACATTAAACAATGTCATTATTTTTTTTCTATTTATTTCTTGAGTAAATCAGAGTTCTCAAACTGAAAGTTGATGAGAGGACAAATGTTCAAAAAGTGATTGGTGCAAATAAATAGTCATCTTTAAAAGTAGGTCAAGGTCAAATATTTGGGTCAATGTGACCTAGAAATTTTCTTATCACTATTTTGCAAAAAATGTGTATAAAGTAATTTAGGAAATAAATTTAGAATTTAACCACAAATATCTTCCTACTTAATTACACAATATACAAAAGAATGGCAGTTAACTAGAACAAGGTATAATTAATTTCATAACAATGATGTAAACATGCAAATGAGGGATATCTTCAATGTGTCTAAACAGCAAATTACAAGACAGTAATCTTCACCATCCATCACTGATCCTTCGTAGTTCATACGAATGATGAGTGGGAGTTCATGTGTCTGCATGAGATATGCCGCCTTGTTTACCTTGTTACAACTGGCATATTACCCTTCTGACCTCAACTACCTAGGATCAACCTTCATGCACACTCATAGAACGATCAATAATTAAGTGAATTAAGATCAACGAGGAAATATTTCAGCACAGGCAATTGTGTGTTCATAAAAAAGCTACAAATGTTTCTGTGAACTAGAAAGACTATTTACATAATTCTAATAGCAAAAAACAAAAATTCTTCAACCCACCAATCAAAATAATAATTAAGACAAATAGTCTAGTCTATAGCCATACAATAAAATAACCAAAGAAATTGTTTTACCAATTCTTCAAATAGTGATTTTGGAACACACAATATTCATGAGAATGATGCAAAAAAGGTTAACGTAAAAAATTGCATAGAAATCATGTAACCAAAATAGTGAACAAAGCTCTCATAAAATATCCCACACTCTCAACACGGTGCCACATGTTCAAGGACAGATTGTGTTTGAACCAGATTCATCTACCATATTTGAACCAGGCAACATGTTGGGTAGTCTTTGGGGAGTAACCATAAATTTTCAAACACATTGGTTCAATTACTCAGCTGAAAATAAGTCCAAATGATGTGCAAAACTGAGTTACTTCCCTTGTTTACTTTCTCTGCAATATTGCACACGATACACTAAGAATCTGACTATTGTCTTGTTTACTATGTTACCAAAGATTAAAATACACCAGGACTGGCATCTAACATTGGTTATTGTCAGAACCACTCGGGATCAATGTAACTTTTCTGAAAGTTTACCATTTTTAATCATTATTATTTATAGAAAATAGCCTTTTCAAGAGCCTTTCCAACTACCATTTCTACCTCATATATCATGATTTTCAGACATTCCAAACTAAGTGCCCCTTGCAGGCAAATTGGGATATGTTTTAGTGTTATTGTTCATAATGTGATTTCTAAGGCCAAACAAAATTATAGTCTTGATTCTCAGGCACTGTCCACACCATCATAAAGTCCGGGGCACATTTGGCTTTTAATTTCCATTTAAAAAACCAAAAAAAACATACTAATACTTAAAAACAATGTGGTCCAATATAGCACACAGATACATCCCTTGAAATACACACTGCTTTACTGCGCATCTCGTGTTATGGTCATGGCAGCAATAGGAGTTTTTTACACAACTGTTTATCTGGTTCAAAATAGTTTAAACAAGCAAAAAAAAACAAAACAAAACACCACCACCCACCTGCACTACATTTCAAAACTCACTGCCTGAGAACCAATTCTTTTAAGCCTAAGTTGATATGTACATGATGTATTTTAACACTGCATTCAATGTATATTGTAATCCAAGCATTAAAGCTTCTTCCTTTTTATTGGTCCTGTTAGCATGGTTAGTGAAATACAAGACACTTCTACCAAGCCATAATGTGAGTCAGAACCATATTAACATGAATTGGGAAATATTTAGTTATATTAACATGAATTGGGAAATATTTAGTTATATTAACATGAATTGGGAAATATTTAGTTCCCAGCTGGGAATTGTAACTGACAATGGCTGCAGATTTGAGGTCCAATATCAGCCTCTAACATGTCCGAAATCAATCCCTGGGATTTTCTTCATTTTACAAACTCATTAAAATCAGATCTTAGTTCTCTCTACCACTAAACAAAGATCTGAGGACATCCCATTACGGGTCAAATCAGAACAACCTTTCATCCGACCAATCACAGCGTCAGTTAACAGATCAGTGAGTGGGTGAGTATGGTTTTAGCCATTTTTAGCAATATTCCAGCAATATCTTGGCGGGGGACACCAGAAATGGGCTTCACACACTGTACCCCGGTTAGGTCTACGGCATGACGAGCGAAGGCTTTAACCACTAGGCTACCCGACCGCCCCTCTGACCAGATCAGGAAAGTGACAGTCGGAATGTGTGTTCTAATCATGCGAGGTATTCTGAATGACAGTTACAGCTTTTGTCTATCTCTCTTTCAATGGGATAAACATTTGAACGGTAGAGACTTTGCTGACATACAATCTCAGACACATGTCAGCCATTCCGGAATGCTTTTTTGGTGAGTTTTCAAATTTTGAACCGGGAACTTTGTAAAAATATTTTTCTAAGCAAAGTTTGAAATGACACTCACCAGTTTGAAAAGTGCCGTAAAGCTTGAGAAAGCTGCTTTCTGATTGGCTAATGTTCACTTCATGTTAGTCATATCATTGGTCGGTAAAGGTTCACGAAAAGTAGTTCCAACATGACCCAATACTGAGATGCTCTCAGATCATTGTTTAGCGGTAGCGAGAACTAAGATCTTATATTGATGAAACTTCACGTTAACAATGGAAGTATTCACGTCATATCAACCTCTAAGCAGGTCCAGATCCATCCCTGAAATTCTTTCATTTTAACAATGGAATTGTTCACTTACCGTGCCTGACTCCTCTGTTTCCTCATCCGAATCATTGTTCTCCTCGTGACACCAGACGTCTCTCACGGAGCTGTCCGGCACAAACAAATCAGACAGGAGATAGTTGGCCGATGTGCAGACCTGGGGACAAGGCATTCAAGTATTGGAAGAATCACCTTCAAAATCTGACACCACACAAAATACATCCTCATCTATCATCACCACTACATAACAATGCCTCACAAAGAAGCCTTTTAACAAGGTTCTCAAGGTATGTTTTGTTTGTTTATTGTTTTACTCATCAATATAACGTTTTCTTGAGTATAGGCCCTCGTGCACACTTTTTCCCAAAAAAAACCACAGCTGTGTAAAAGGGGGGTGCACGCCATAATGAGTTTTGATGGGTTTATTCCCCAACGCAAAAACACTACTGTGAGCACATAACACCGGAAATACCATGCCATGAATCTATACTAAAGTACGCAAATTAATCATGTAATTCTACTGTCTGGTTATAAAAAGTGTTCATTGTATATCTGGACTTATGTTTTTAACTTATTTCATTAATTTTATTCAAAATTACTTTTGATATTGTTTTAATTAATTTTGGCGAAATCCTGTTTGAAGCGATCGGAAGATCGCTCAGCTCACTGTTATTTACAGCAACCATGGTCAGATTATCGCTGTTGACGCCTTGAAACGTACTTGAGTTGACAAGCTATAAGCTAGATGACGGCAGTCTGCATGTAATCAAGTTTGGATCAGGCAATCTAGTGACTGACATAATGTGCATTGATCTACAACGTTTGTCTACGATGACATGCATCAACCAAGTCAGCAAGCATGACCACTCGATCCTGTAAGTCACCTCTTACGACAAGCATAGACGCCTGTTACGGCAAGCATGGGTTGCTGAAGACTTATTCTAACCCAGAATCTTCACGGGGGGTGTGGGATGTATATTTGAATGTACAATCAGATAAGTAGGTCAAATGAAGGTCGCATTAAACGTGCGTCATAAAACAATCTGCATCTCCACAATCAAGTCTGCATTCATTAAACATGATAATCACAGTCTGTGCCAAGAACTTCGAAGTCTACAAGTTTGAATTTGGCTCTAAGCATCATTTTCAGAACTTTCTAGTGTTATGATATGGGCTATTGTCAGCTGAACCTACTAGACCAAACAGAACTTGACTTGACTTGGGCTATGGACTAGTGGCAAAGGTCGAAGACTGCAATCATTGTTATCAGGTTTACATGTCGTCTGAATAGTACATAAAACACATAGGCTCCTCACAGCGATGGCCCATTCGCGGAGCTCTCTATACTATAGCTGCCACCAGTCAAAACTCCCCACTGTGATAGGTGGCCCCAACCATGCTTGGAGTTGAACTCGCAACCGAATGACCATTATGTTTACAAACAAGTGACGACTGTCGTGACGCCGATTACACTTACCCCTGCTAAATTACTTTTCTTTGTTTGTCAATTTGAAGTTCTATTTCATTAAAACTATCGTGTTATTGATATAGTAAGAATGTAAGGGAGAAGTTGGTTTATTTTCCGTTTGTCTGCAATCTCAAACCAATCTGATTATTAAAACAACAAAGTAAATTCATCTGGAAAACATATTCAGTTGTAAACCTTTTCAAAATGAAATATGATGGCATTTCCAAAGACATAAACAAAAGTATAAACGTTACTACATTTGGGGTTTGAGGGCAAATTTCAAGATTCTTGTAATGGCCGCGCCCACACTGGTGGCAGCGATGTTACCGAGAGTGTAACGAAGGTGTCACACACTGGGAAGGAGCCTGATAAAACACAGTGACAAGGGGCATAACTCATCTAATCTTAATCATTTTCTGCCCTAAACATGGTCAATTTGTCTGAAGTAGACATACAGAAATATACTCTTATTCAAATGAGCTGTTACTTGCTAAGTTTACAGTATAAATTATGCTAGACTCGTGCTTCAAGACTCAAGTCAAGATAGGCTGTACACTGACACCATGTCCATAGCACATAACTCTATGAACAAGCATCCTTATTTATTCAAATGTAATGGTCTAACTCCTGGATAACACATATAGGATGACCTCTGGTCTGTATGAAAAACTGAATTCCTACCAACATGAAATAAAGCAAATTTTTACTTGTTTTGTGTGCTTCTTTCCACCTATCCCAAATTAATGTCCCGCTTAAAACTAAGAAAACAGCCTAACATATATCATCGGATGATTAAGTTTTGGGAAAAAATGAACCAATTTCCTGATGCAATATTGGAAAATATACATTAATAACTCACAAGGGGAACATGCTTATTGTGGAATTGGCATGGATCTAAACAGACAACTTGACAGTTGTATTCTTAACCAAATGCAGTCTCCTATTCTTCAACTTTTTATTTACTTCCTGTGATGCTGAGAATGGAGAAAAAAACAACCTACATATCTTCCTTACCTGTGAATGTTGTTCTTCATTCAGCAGCAGCAGACAATTTTCCAGGAGGGTTCGGATGGTGGCAGTTTTCATCTTGCCGCCAGTTTGTCGCAGGTTGCGTGCAACTCGGTACAGCAGGATGCCGACAGGGACAACAAACGGGTTGGTGTCTTCCTTGATCTCATCTCCGCATAGAACAGTCAGGTCGTACAACTTCACTACGTCATCGTCCACATCTGTCAAACCAATAAACATGTGAAACACAGGCTCGTCTGGCATCACTGTAGCTGCAGTTACAGTTTCCACTCATTCCACTATCATCATCATCATCATCATTCAATATCAGGCCTGAGTCTATGGAACATCCAGTCATCATCATCATCATCATCATTATCATCATATCAATATCAATTCAATATCAGGCCTCAGTCTATGGAAAATTGAGTAAGAAAAGTTGGTGCTACTTCTACATCCTAACTGGCAACAAATCATATAATACCGAATATGGATCAAATCAGGGGGAAAAGCAGATTGTGGTGCCATCTTGGTTATTTTTTCCAAGCCCTGTTCTGGCTTGAACTGGAATCATTATTCAAACATTAATTGAGACTCATTTTGGAAAAAAAGATGGCAGCTAGGACAAACAATACCTGTTTGGGGTTTCTATTTGAATGTACTTTGAGGTTAGGGATTTACAAATCCTAATTAAAAAAAATAATGGCTATACAGGAATTCAATACGGACCACAACAAATCAAGCTTTGTACTGGTGAAAACGTTGCTTGTTCCTAACATGAAAGGACAGTGTTTTTAACTGGACGTCTGTATTATACAAATAATGCAGTGTGGCCTCGTTTTGGTCAGACCACCTCAGGGGTTGGGACCTTAGGTCTTGGTCTTGTTATTGCATATTGTAATCATTCATTTTGTTATACCGAAATACCCTTTGAAGTTTATGAAGTCTTTAAACCATCCTCTGTTTCCATGCAATAACTTAGCTGCAAACCATGAAATGTGACGCCATCTTGTTTTCAAGCAGACAAGTCAATATTCATCACGGGACAGGTCAATACTGATCATGTGATGAGTTAATATTCGATGTCAGAGTCAGTCACATGATTTGAGGGTCAACATTGAAATGCATTATTTCGTAACGAGGTACAGATTAACAAATGGAATTGCAAGATTCCCAATAGAGGAGTAACAACATAGAATGAGTGAGTGAGTGAGTTGGGTTTATCGCCGCTTTTAACAGTATTACAGTTATATCGCGGCGTGTCAGCTTAATGTGGGAGGAAAGCCCGAAGTGATGCAGGTCTCAGACGTTTAACACTTCGGTGAAACCCAAGAGCACGGGTATGGTGCTGACAAACCGAGAAACATAATTGGGGTGAACCAGGATTCGAACCCACAATCATAGGTTTCTGGCATGCCCAAGGGACGCAACTCTGCAAAGCAAATCGCGTCGCCTTAGACGACTGGGCCACCCGTGCCCCCAACATAGAATGAAATATGACACACCAGATAATCGAGGATGTCAATCCCTGTGCTTGTCTACTTACTTTTATACAGCCAGTAAGTGTGGCCCTCTTTTGTGGCATTAGATTTCAGAAAGGACAGCAGATTCCTGGCAATGCCGGTCACCAACAGGGGGTCAAACTTGCAGTCCTCCAGCAAGGGGATGTCCTCTGTCTTTATCAGCTCGTATTTCTACACAGGAATAAACACGTTCAGGATTGCATGCAGCCAACATGGGACAGTAGCTGTTTACGAACATATGATGCTCTCTCCATAATGATGTCCTACTACATCCAAGGTTTGCATCTATTTATTCCAAGTTATCTGGATGCCGATATCACTTCAGTCTTGTCATCATGACATTTCACAATAATAATAATAATAATAATAATAATAATAATATTAATAGTAGCAGCAATAATAATAATAATAATAATAATAATAATAATAATAATAATAATAATAATAATAATGCTGCACCAGATTCCATTCAGCAAGTGAATGGACAAAGCGCGAAACATTTATTACTCTGGTTGATGGACCAGTATGAATCGGATGTCGTTTTATTCTCAGCTCCCTGGGAAGCACAAGAAGGTTAACAGCCACATTACCATCAGACCCTACTGGGTACTGATTCAATACTTGGGGGACAGAGGCACTTGCCTACGCAGACACCACATGTGACATGTGTTTCAGTGTGGGGCATGACCGAAGGCCAAGAAACTCTCAGGAGTCAAGCTGCCGAACACACCAACCATCCACCTACTCTCTGCAAGTTATGTTGACCTGATTTGTGGTCACATGCCAATTTGATCAGTATTTCAACTATATCACTGCATGTCAGATTAATTGTGGAAAGAAGCATGGAGTGGTGCAGTTCATGATACCACTCTGATGAAGCTTGCAATCCTGGCACGACTAAGGGAAGCAACTCAAAGATTAAACCTGACTCAAATAAACCTCTTTTAAAAAAACAAACATATATTATGAGCAGGCCATTGAAATGGCTTCAGACATAGCCAACAAAAACACTGATATTGTAGCAGCCATAAAATTTCCGAGTCCCGTGATGGGATTCGAACCACGGACCTTCTGATCCGAGGTCGGACGCCTTGTCCACATGACCAAAGAGGTTAACCCCGTCAGCAAGCTGACAAGGTAAGGATATCATCTGTGGGATGACTCCACGCTCTGCTACAATATTTTTGGCAATAATAAATCTATTTCCAATCCAGCAACACCTGCACGATTCCGTTGAGATGGAAGCACATGGCGACCTCCGGCACATTGCACATGAGGTTGTCCAGCCAGCAGTCAAGCCCGGTCAGCACATTGATGGGCGTGGCCGAGTCCCTGCACATAACAGACATTTCCGTCAACAAAGGAAGAAACAAGTAGAAACATCACATAATCATGCCTGTTTGTCAGAGTATGAGAGTTGGGTCTAACACTGCTTTGATTGTTCGTTGTTTTCATGCATAACGCCGCTCTCAGCAATATTACACCAATATGATGGCAGCCTGTATAAAATCAAGTCGGAGCAGACAATCAAGTGATTGATATTGTGAGCAACAATTCAAGCCGTCGGGGTATAATGACACGCTATCAACCAATCACCTAGCCTGAACATCCGATCGATTTGGTCGCCGTTTACACGGGTTGCAGGGGATCTGTTCCAGCCCCGACTCCCCACAGGGAACACCACTTGGAACAGTATCTCAGTTACATCGAATGTGCTATGTGGGAGGAAAGGCCGAAGTGATGCAGGTCTCAAGACGATCATAATTTTGGTGAAAACCACAAGCATGGGTAGGGTGCTGACTAGATGCAAACTTCATTAACCAGTGTTAACCAAGGGGAACTTAGGGCAGTAACCAAAATAAAACTCATAAACTACAACCTTGGTTATAATAATGGCTGCCAGGAGAAGGCGAAACACAACAGCCATTGCTATAACATACAACTTTTAGAGCTTTGTCTGCATCAATACTTTTCACATTAAGTCTTCATAACATCCTTCTGTGTACTATGGCATAAGATCATCCTGAACAGGTCAATTCTTTGAGCATGGAATTTTATTTGAATACTCTTCTGCCTTGCATCAACAGCCACAGGTAGTATTGACAAGGCAATGTGGCCACACATCCTTGGTGGATTGACTAGAACTTCGGCCTACAAGTGTAGCCAGATGGTAAGTACCCCCCCTCCCCTGCCCCCCCAAACACACCATATGCAGCTGTTGGTTTGGCAGATGGTAGAATCATAACAACAGGCACACCTGTCACACCTGACAGCATGTCGGGCACATCACATCACAACACAATCCGTTCCAAACTGTTATGCAACAATTCAGGCAAACTTGAATATGGCATTATTTTTCATAAAAGAATAATTGCAATGTTGTTGCATGACTAACATCTCTGGTCATATCACTTCAATGACGTTCCATTAAATAATGCTAGTGATTATAAACATTTATAAACCAACTGTGATGTTATCCTATTGTGTCTCCAAGCGTGTTTACTTCCTGTAAGCAGGGTCGTTACAATATTCCATGGATTTTATATATAATTATTATATCATATCATGAATTTGTACAGCGCACTTTTCAATTCATTACTCCTGAAATGTGCTTAGAGCATGATAGTTCCTATTATTATGCAAGTCATCAGACAGAGTGCACAGATTTTTCTTTCTCAGCTCCCTAGGAGTATACAACCCAAACAGCCCGTGAGGCACTAAAGTTAACAGTCACGTTACCATATTATCCTACTAGGTACCGAGTATTCCCGCTGGCTTTTGAAACTGCCAGTCCACAAGGACTGGCAACTCTTAAAATTACCAGTCCCTCCTAATTTTTGCCAGTCCCAATTTTCAACAAATAAAAAAACCCATGAAAATTATTTGGTTTCAATTCTTTCAACATCATATTCAGTGCAAAGATGTCATCTCTAGTGTAACTTAGTTTGATCTATACGTCATTCACACAAACTTCAGTCACAATTTTCTCTTCTTTTTTTTAATATTCGAGACAAAGTTGCTATAAATGGATATTTATCCTAGAAATAGACAAGGAGAGACCCTGATGGTAACAGACATGCAGACTTTGTTTGAAAAAATGTACTTATATGAATATCACAGATATTTTGTTCAACAACAAAGATTTATAAGGTACTTTATTTGCCGGTCCACAGGGACTGGCAGTCACATGAATTACCGGTCCAAGCCTAATTTTACCGGTAAAAAACTGGTAATTACCGGTAAACGGGAACACTGGGTACCCGTTCACTGCTGGGTTAACAGAGGCATATTATGAACTAAGCCAATTGCCCAAGGTACCCGTAAAGATCCAGGTAGAGAAAAGGTCTTTAGCAACCCATGCTTGTTGTTAGAGGCAACTAAGGGGATTGGTTGGTCAGGCTCGCTGACTCGGTTGATGTATGTCACTGTATCCCAATTTGCTCATGATGGCAATCACTGGTCGGGTCCTGACTGGATTATTTACAGACCCCCATCATATAGCTGGAATATTGCGGAGTTTGGCGTTAAACAACAAACAAACAAACATGCCCCAGGAGAAGCCTCATGTACTGCATCTGTTGAAACTTCTATTGACTTGTGTTGATATTTTATATATCAAAAGACACATGGTTTAAAGTTTTAAACATTTATCGACTCATTTTGACACATTTGACATATGTTATATCAAAATACAGGTTGGTGACAATCTCTATGTACAGGCCAGTCTGTATTAAACCTATGAGATAGAGCTGTACATTGACTGTGTATTTGTCATTGTTTGTAAGCAGTGTTCGAAATAAAATAATTGCCAGGCTGCCATCAGGTCCCTCCGACTCTAGAAGGTACAGACCCTGACTGAACTCTTCAGGCCCTCATTGAAAAAACCCTGCAGCTTATTGTGAGCAAATCAATACACACATAAAGTTACTGCAGGCCATAATGACACATACAACTTCGAACTACGGACCGACATGAGATCTACCTGCCACGGTCCTACTGGCTGGCGTTTATATGGAATACTGTTTAGTAACTATTGCCAGAATGCCAACAAATACAGACAAGATTAAATCATAAGTTCATAGTCTGGTTCTTAACCAATCAGAGGCTAGTATATTAATGTAAGGTGAGATAATTACAAATATATATCTTTCAACTTTGTCATTGATGGTCACTGACATAGGTTTGGATGAGTATGTTTTTACGCCGCTTTCAGCAATATTGCAGCAATATCACAGCAGGGGACACCAGAAATGGGCTTCACACATTGTACCCATGTCGAGAATCGAACCCGGGTCTTCGGCGTGACGAGTGAACGCTTTAACCACTAGGCTACCCGACCGCTCCAGGTTTGGATAAAGTGAACCTGTTGTAAGCAGCATAGTGTCCCTAGGGAAGGCAAGATTCACACTATTGAATCACCCATGAAATTAAAACATAAGCAAATAGTTTATTCAAAAGATCCAAGTCTTGTTTGTTTGTTCTCTCACCTGAGTTTGAGACTGACACAGGGATGCGTGCCACCCCCGAAGATGGGCAGATCGGTCCCGATAAGCATGTGGATATCCTCGAATGTCCAGTACACCTCCCGGTGATATCCACTCCCCTCTGGCTGAGACACACAATACACAGCTCAGTACACAGAGTACACACATGTATACACCAGGGCTGGCTAGCAATAGAATTCACAGAGATCGATAATCGCTAACATAATATCGATAAAATATCGTTGAATATCGGAAAGGTAACTTTGAGCAAATATACCAAAAATTCCAAAAGAAATCAACTCATTTCATGCCACTGGTGAGTGGTGACATTTATACACAGATCACTTTGCGGACATTTAAGAAATATCAATTGCTCTCCGTCTTCGGCAATTGACATGACTTACTATATCATTTCTCTTTTGGTAAATCTAAACTTCCTCATCACAATAGTTTATGTAAGTTATTATCAATGATACAATTATCATATTGATAATCGTTAATATTTCTTCCCATCGCCGATAATTACGATTATTGATCCTTATCGCCAGCCTGGTACACACATCATTGTGCCAAACCCTGCATACATTATACATGCAACATAGTGTAAGCCATTCAAATCAAGTACAAACACATGCTTGTTTGGGCCATGAAAAGAGCCTCATCACAATAGCTCACCTGGATATGTACAGTACAGAATGTCAACAAAGAAAAATAAAAAATATAGGTGCTGACAGCATGGCCAACACTGATAACCAAATATTTTCAGCATAAAATATGAAGACTAACTGATAGATACGTAACAAGTAACTACATTTCATAAATGCTTTCTGTGCAATTTTCAGCCAGGTGAGCTAAAATTATAATTTGTCTCATGAGGAACATTTATTCTAAAAGGAGGTTGCCAGGCTTTTGTTATTTTCCACACTTGACAAAAAGATAATAACACAAACTTAGGCCACACAATATTTTACACTTGATTTACAGATTTTTTTACAGAAAAATACCTGTCAGAGGGCAGGAAAAAGAATTATAAAGCTATTTAATTTTGTTAAGTTTTCTGTGATCAGCACTATATTTCCTTACTTTATTTGTTCCCACAAAACAATTGAAGACATAATATCCTCAACTGTATTTAGCAGAGTATTTAGATAACTTTTTGAAGTTCAAAACAAATCTCAAATTGTCCATGTTGTCTTCTTTTCTCCATCAGAATTTTTCAAAAGAGAATTGAGAACCCAGAAATAAAAAGAATGGTAAAAGAAACACTCTTCCATACACACACCTTGGGGAGAGGATCAGGTATGACTGCTTGCTCTTCTGTGCTTGGCGCCGTTTTCTTGGTGACAGAGCTGGCATTGGGGATTGACACACTCTGATTCTGTGGGATGAGTTCGTTGACCGACACACCCGACACGGGGTTATCTTCACAGGCACTGGCCGACAAACTGTAACCAAGGTAACGAGGAGTATGACCACTCTAGTCTCACCTCAAGTCAGTACCACGGTACAGAAGCTCACCTTGACTCAGTGATACAACATTGAAGGTGAGTGAGTGAATGAGTGAGTAAGTTTAGTCTGAATGACGTTTTGAACAGTATTTCAGTAATATATCACGGCATGTCAGTTTAATGTGGGAAGAAAGCCCTAAATGATGCAGGTCTCAAATGTTTACTTATTAGTGAAACTGACGATCTTGGGTCTGGTGCTGACAAACATTGAAACATAATCGGAGCGAACTGAGATTCGAACCTACAGTCTTAGTAAAATCTAAATATTTATTTTACATTTGTGTACTTATCCTGCAATACTCCTTGATGCATTTACTTTTTTCCTTTGACAGAAAAACAAACTTGTGTCAGGTCCAACTGAAGAACGAGTTGTTCCAATCAGTTGTGAGGAAGACCCCATCACACAGCCCATATGACCACAGAAGTGATCACGTCCTGTTTTCACATTACTGCTTGATTGTAACATCTGAAGACATTGTGGGGAGGAAGCTCTGCGAGAGGTGGGCAACGAAGTAATGCAGGATAAGTATACAAATGGTAAAAAAAATGTAGATTTTAATGAATTTTGTAACATTTCCTGCATTACTCCTTAGTTAATCTGAATTTGACATGATCCTTAGAAAACACTTGATGACGTCCAGGGAGTAGTCCATTGCACTCCTTGCGAAGATAGGCAACCATGTGTATGAACACTGCTTGACTCAGGGAAGGCAGGCTCTGGACAGCTGGAGATTTTACTGGCATTTGGGATTGGTGACCTGCTTGGCGACAGCCAAAGGGCCAAAACTGTGTACGCCTTTGACGTCTTCCAACGCCACATCCCTCAGGTAATGGCGTGCACAGACTGTGTCGGATCTCAAAAACATCCTTCCACGATGGACCTAATGGAGCAATTGATGTAAAGAGCCATCATAGATAGCAACTGTCTGGATCTCATGAGGATTGTTGGCCCTGGGAGGATCGAGACCAGTGGATTTAGAAGCCTAAAGGATGATGGCACTTAACCATAGGGATATGGTGTTGCAGCTGACTTCTGAACGTCGTGGCTGTCCTGGAGATGTGAATGTCTTAGAGTGGCAGATAAAAACATTCTGTGCACGAACTGGGCATCTTCATGAGGATAGTGAAGGACCTATCGGGCTGTCCTGGAAGTTGAATCTTGGCAATGAAGTCCCAGTAAAGCCCAAGGTGAATGGCTCCCTGCGCCCTGCCCTCAAATGAAACCCGGGGGATGTCGAGTGCATGCAGCTCGCTGACCCGTGCTGCCATAGCTAGTGCCAAGAGGAAAGGCATCTTCTTGGTGAGGTTAAAAAAAGAAGCTGAATGGAGAGGCTCAAACAGAGGTCCACGCAGAAACCTGAGAACCATGATCCCACGCTGGCTGTCTGAAGTTGGCCTTCTGATCTTCAAGACAGAAGGAGTGCAGCAAGGCCTGCAGATCTGGAGCCTTGGCCATTTTACGATGCTCTGGAACTGCCAACAGGAAGTTAATGGCCACCAGGAAGGTAGTGATAGTGCTGCTCTTGAGGTGTCGCTTGCTGCACAGGAACAGAAGGAATCTGCCAAGAATCGAGGGGACTTTGAAGTGAGGTCCCAATGTTTGTCCTTGTAAAATCATTCAAAGGAATGTCAATTGTCATCATAGAGTCCCTGCAAAGAAGGTCTGTGCACCATGGCTATGGGTTTATGGTGTCTTGCTGAGTAGCCCCTATCGCCCAATGCTCTTTTGCAATGAATCTAGCTTGCAGATATAATCTGATTGGCGACGGTTTGGGCAACATTCTGTGTGGGTGGATCAGGAGGTTTGGCTACCCAGGTAGTTCCAGTAGATCATTTTTGATAAGGTCACTGAGGTCCACCCTCTCACTGGCAACCAAGGCGCAACCAAAATCAGAGCAAAGCTTTTGGTTACTCTGATCTTCTGTATCAGAAGTACAGGATCGGAAAAGTGTATGCTCTTAGTCCTTCCAAAGGGAGGCTGACAGCGTCTTTATCCCATAACTGCAGATCTGGAACCAGAGAGATATACATCCAAATCTGGAAGTTTGGGCTGGTGGTAAACAGGATGATGTTAGGTTGCCCGAGACGCTGGCAGATCAGGCTGAAGACTTTGGGGTGAAGTATATACTCCATGGGAGCCACCTTGTCTGGCTGGGATAGAGCATCTGCCAGATGTTCTTACACCCTGGGATGTGCTGGACCAGAAAATTGCAGGTCCAGACGATCCAACAGATGAAAGAACTGTAACGTCAGCAGCAGCAGAAAGTGGGAGTGACTTGTCTGCCAGTGGGTTATCGCTAGAATGAGCGCCTCCAGCTCCAGGTTGTTGATATGCCATGTACGCTGTACGTTGGACCACAGCCTTGAAGCCATCTGGTCTTCCAAGTGAGCGCCCCAACCCTGTAGAAAGGCGTCTACACCCACAGATCCTGACGTCTGATGAAAAGCACCAGGAACTGTGGGACGGGCCACAGGCAAAGTATGAGAGGCTCTTGAAGGGATGGAAGAGGCACCTGGTAAATCCCGGAAGAGGAGGCGGTAACGTAACATCAGGGGTCCCTGGAGTCTCCTGTAGGCCTGGCAGTCTGACATCATCCTACAGTGGGGAGAGGGGGGACAAAATTGACACTTCTTTCCCACAGAACAGAAACCAGTGCAATCAAGCCACCGTGGGTGGGGGTCCTCTAGTGACTTCTTACCATAACAAAGGACACATTTGGCAAGCATAAATCTGCAATTAAGCAGAAGCTGAGCAGATGAGGAGTGAGTGAGTGAGTGTGGTTTTACGCCGCTTTTAGCAATATTCCAGCAATATCACGGCGGGGGACACCAGAAATGGGCTTCACACATTGTACCCATGTCGGGAATCGAACCCCGGTCTTTGGCGTGACGAGCTAACGCTTTAACCACTAGGCTACCCGACCGCCCCAGCAGATGAGGAAGATAAATCACATATAAATCCTGAACAACTGAACAGGATGAACAATGGACAATTTTGATGTACACAACTAGTCAGCCTGGTGTTAGCAGTAATGTGAAGATATGTGACGTCATCAGTTCAATGGTCACGAGGGCGCCTGTGTGATGGTGTCTACCTCACAACTGATTGGAACAAATTCTTCTTCAGCTGTACCTCAAACTGCTTCATTTTTCTGTCACAAGAAGTAAATTAAGGAGTAATGCAGGATAAGTTAAGAAAGTTTCTGTCATGCCCAAAGAATGCACCCCTTCTTCTTCTTTAAATTTTTGTGCAACATTCTTAGCTCACCTGTGATACAGAAACTTGGAGTACATGCTTCTGTTCTGAAGGGTGTTACGACTTTTACTTTTCCTGGGCACACATTTCATCTGTAAAACCAGATCAGAAGATGTAAATATATTTAACTGTCCCCTTTTAAACTTAAGGGTGCCAACAGGAAGAATACTTTGAAGCCATCTTCAAATTTGGCGAATTTCATTTCACCATAAGCCAGATAATATTCTAGGAAGTCTAATACAAGGAATTTTGAAACCTGATCTGTGTAGCTTGACAGACTTGTGATAAGTAACTCTCTGCTTAATGGGATTAGGTCCACACTTTGATTTGACCACAAAAGCAAACAAACAGTTTGGGCAGTTAAATATCCTTCATCACAGCCATAAAATTGTGTTTTGTCATATGATAGTCACAAACATGAACTTGTTCCTATATGGGTTTCTGCCACTGCTGGCCGAGGTCCCATTGAGACAGCGGAACCAAAATGTCTACTTATCCAGAATTCTGCTTATACTCCTTTAATCACGTTAATTAATCTGTACTGATAACTGTTTAAAAGGGAACATGCAGCTAAATAAATACATCTTTTAGTGTGTATGTATCTTCATCAAAATAATCTTGTGTGTTGGAAAAAATATGAATAATATTTACCTTTCCTTCCATGTCTTTAGCAACACTTTCATAAAAGAAATGACGCAACCAGCTCCATTCTTCCTGTAAAACAAAATAACAAATAATTGTAAGGGACAGATCAAATTTTTGTTTGATAATTGAACCTGATGCGATATATATCGCACTACTTACTCTGTGATGTATTTCAGTCCCATTCTCCATGTTCCATGTGACCTGGATGGGGTAACTGCTTTGAACCAGATTGTGTTTTAACATGCATGATTGGTTAACTTACACCCAGACATTAACAAATGTCTAATAATATGCAATCAGATTTAGCCAGTCCCTGCACGACCAGGATGACAGAGTCCTAATCCACAGAGCCACTGTAGCGCTACTAATACACTGGCTTCTCAAACAACCTTCAAAATTCACGCTAGTCTGCTCACCAAAGACAAATACATTGCACTGAGGACAAGTAAGAATCCAATGATGGTAGTTCTCACTGACCAGTAGCACTTGGGGGCTAGTCTGCTCACCGAAGACAAATACATTGCACTGAGGACAAGTAAGAATCCAATGATGGTAGTTCTCATTGACCAGTAGCACTTGGGGGCTAGTCTGCTCACCGAAGACAAATACACTGCACTGAGGACAAGTAAGAATCCAATGATGGTAGTTCTCACTGACCAGTAGCACTTGGGGGCTAGTCTGCTCACCGAAGACAAATAAATTGCACTGAGGACAAGTAAGAATCCAATGATGGCAGTTCTCACTGACCAGTAGCACTTGGGGGCTAGTCTGCTCACTGAGGACAAATAAACTGCACTGAGGACAAATAAGAATCCAATGATGGTAGTTCTCAGTGACCAGTAGCACTTGGGGGCTAGTCTGCTCACCGAAGACAAATAAATGGGCGATCTTTTTGGTCCAAAGGGCAATAACTCTCATAACATGTAGAGACGGAGCCAAGCTAAAGAGTTATCCTGTTGCACCTTCGTTCAAAAACGGTCGTTTACAACTGAATATTTTTAACTAGCACATATTTTGTAGTGATTATTAGTTGATAATATCAACATTTGTTTAGTCTTCAACTACAAGACGAATTGTCACTATGGAAGATAGCAGGAAAAACGTCATGAAAAAGAGTATATTGCCACGGTATTTTCTACGTCCGAAAACAGACAGGTATTCTGTCAGTCTGGGCTAACATATTGCATCCATGAAATAATGCAAACTCATTTTATTTATCAGCCTTTGTGTTATTTCCCACAACAATTCAAAGCATTCAAATCTCAACAAATACTACCATGGACTTCAATTTAATAAAATTAGTGATATGCCTACATTTGCAGCACAGACATCTTTGACAGGCCTTTACCAATGATCTATATAGTAAGTATACATCCGTGCCTTTACAAATATTTAAGAAGAAATAACGTTCAAAATAATAAAACAACTGATTTTAAATGTTACTTTTTATATCAAAATGAAAGTTGCATCTGAATATTTAAATTTATATTATTTTTTAGAAATAGGCCAAATGAAAATCTACCATGCATCTTTTAAGCACTCAGTTACTCAGTTGTAATATACATACTAGTCACCATACTTTGAAAAAAGAGATTTATCCATATTATTCTGCCCCTTATAACATGTGTCCTACCATTAAGTGCTCTGAGTCATCACAGGTGTTAATTCATTGATCCATCATTTCTTACAGAATTCTGATACTCATGCTCTTAAAATAGTAGTAAATTACAGAGATTTGTCCCAACAAACAACAAATCATACTGACTACCCCACAAAATGTGTATGATGCATAAATAGATGTAAATCATAGTTTTATCTTCTTGTTTTAGTAACATTATATTTATTTTAATGTTGACAAATTATTTCCCATACATACCAACACACTATCCTTATGTATCTAAGTATCCTGATTTTCATTCAACAGTATTTCAAGACACCTGTAATATAAAGTATATTTTGTAGATATTATTATCATATAGCAAATATGAATTTAGAAAGTTTATCATCAAATCTTCTGATGGTTAAATAAATGCAAAGTGAACCCCACAACATTCCATGTAGATAAATGGATTTATTTATGTTATTTGTTTTTGCATATAACAGATTTAACTTACATATGTTACAGTCAGTGTCTATAAACAGGCCCAATATGTATATTGACTGAAAATTTTAGTCAATGTGCATATTGACTGATTCACTCAGGCAAGGTATATTTTTTCTTAAATTTTTTATTCATTTATTATTGCCTGAAATATAGGACCGGATTTTAGACAAACTGGCTGAAATAAATTTAGCCTGCTAAATTTAATCTCCTCAATTTAATTTGGATCTATTTTGATCTTATCAAGATCAAAGTAACTTATGAAAGAAATTAAAAATGTTTTCACAATGAATTGAATGATTCTCCAAACATGAAAGAATACCAGAGTCCTTTTTTTATTTTACTTATCTTTATTAGCATAATATTCAGTTCAGAAACAGATGACTGCTGAAAAGTCAAGCATGTGTAATCAAATACTAGTACACATGCACAAGTATGCCGAGATATTAAATAAAATAATAAGAGTCATTGTGCAATGCAGATATCTGTTGGTGTGAATAGAAAAAAAATAACATTGATAATTTGTTTATATTGGAATTTGAAACATCAGTTTAGAACAAGGAAACATTAGAAGCAAGGCCTAATGAAGTAAGAATCAGCTTTATCTGTGTCACAATCATATGATTATTGTCAATGCAAACTGGATGTAGACACTGCAATGTTAATACAATCAACATTATAGATATTGACAATTAGTATGAATATATTGTTTTATTTTATAAAAATTGTAGTTGGTACAAATACTCTTGATTATGTATTTTAACTAATATATAGGGTCCTCTGTGTCTGAAAATTATTTTTTTCTACTTTGTAAAATTCAAAAAAGGCCAAAATAATATATATCTTTCATTGATCATACTGGAATATAATGATGGTAGTATTTGGCAACAAACAGCTACCATTCATATACATAAAGTCCTTTTATACAACATGCACCAATTAACCCTTAATATCAAAACAGATTTCAGTGATTTCCATTACTTTTGTTTTCAACATTGTATCATGATATCTAGTTGATGACAGTGCCTGTTACTCTTACAGTTTCTTGAGAACATTTCTCATTGCTCTCTGTTATATATCTGACAAATACTTACATGTGTTGCTGTCAATATTCACAACATTGAGGCTACGGGCAACTTTACGTTGCATAAGACCTTCACATTTCGCATACCGCATCGCCTTAGGCTGTACATACTGAAATGCATGCATATGATGTAGCCTGCTCGGCAATACTACAACATAGATATAGGAACGTATACAAAATCTACTTTATTTTTAAAAGTGTGATATTCATACATCAAGGGCAACACTTTTAGTACTGATTGCAAAACGTCAACAAAGCGACCTGGGATGAACGATCAGCTGATCTCACCGCATCGCTTCGAGCGCCTATCTAGTGGATAACTATACAATATAATCAGTCGTGGTCATCCCTGATGTATAATTATATCAAGGAACATTTATTTCCGGACATGGCAATAGATAAGTAATTGTTTAGGCGAAAAGATATACTGTCCGCACACAAGTGTGACCGTTGCCGACAGAGGTGAAGGTTGTACTAGTTTACTGTCTATAGGCGTCATAGTAACATGTAGTCCTCGTATCGCGCATACCACAGGCGCCGTCAGTTTACGGTTGGGCCGTCCGGGTTAGTGAAGGGAAGATAAATTGAAAAAGATCGCCCATTGCACTGAGGACAAGTAAGAATCCAATGATGGCAGTTCTCACTGACCAGTAGCACTTGGGGGCTAGTCTGCTCACCGAAGACAAATAAACTGCACTGAGGACAAGTAAGAATCCAATGATGGCAGTTCTCACTGACCAGTAGCACTTGGGGGCTAGTCTGCTGACCGAAGACAAATAAACTGCACTGAGGACAAGTAAGAATCCAATCATGGTAGTTCTCACTGACCAGTAGCACTTGGGGGCTAGTCTGCTGACCGAAGACAAATAAACTGCACTGAGGACAAGTAAGAATCCAATGATGGTAGTTCTCACTGACCAGTAGCACTTGGGGGCTATAATCATACATATCACCTTATTCAGGGTTTGAAATGATTTGAAAGCCCAACAAGACAGTCAGGCAGGTGACCCATAAGTGTTGCCTGCCCATCTTCAAACTTTCCAGCCTGCATTGAGACATCATAAATATTGACCAAATGCAGAAACTGAGCGACAATTCACATCTGGATTCAGTTGAAATAAAGCAAATAGCTATAATGAAACTGAATACTTATGTAATCTTGAAATGATCTGGCAGACAGTCGGTAGGCGGAGGAAAATGCCATGCAGCGCGACAGTAAAGTTACCTGCCATGGGAAGGCTTTTAAGTTGGGCACTGACCGTATAACTCCATATTGCATTAGGTTCCTGACAGCTTGGCTAACCCAAGATGGGAAGTAAATCAGTAACCAGCTCCTCTTCCAAACCCAGGTTTTATCATGGTTCTCTTCCAAACCCAGGTTTTATCATGGTTCTCTTCAAAACCCAGGTTTTATCATGGTTCTCTTCCAAACCCAGGTTTTATTATGGTTCTCTTCCAAACCCAGGTTTTATTATGGTCCTCTTCAAAACCCAGGTTTTATTATGGTTCTCTTCAAAACCCAGGTTTTATTATGGTTCTCTTCCAAACCCAGGTTTTATCATGGTTCTCTTCCAAACCCAGGTTTTATTATGGTTCTCTTCCAAACCCAGGTTTTATCATGGTTCTCTTCCAAACCCAGGTTTTATTATGGTTCTCTTCCAAACCCAGGTTTTATTATGGTCCTCTTCCAAACCCAGGTTTTATTATGGTTCTCTTCCAAACCCAGGTTTTATTATGGTTCTCTTCCAAACCCAGGTTTTATTATGGTTCTATTATGGGTGACTTCTTCACCTGCCTTGAGCTTTTACATTGCAGATATAAGACCTTGGTTTTCCAATTGAAGTTTCATAAACTGGCCTTTTGATATGAGTATAATTATAATGTTGATTTTTGATTGGTTAAAAGTCACACTTCGTTTTTAATGAAAGTTCCATGACGTGAATTGAATCTGCAACCTCACATATCATGTTCAATTTTGAAACCCGCTGTCTTCCCACTGAGCTCCCTGGGCAGGGGATGTAAAGGTGTTCAATTTTACATGTCATGAATCCAGTTGGTCCATGTGTTTTCTCTCTCACACGCTTTGATCGAATTCCCATTACACCATGACACACTGTATTGTAATACAATAAGGTATCTTGATGTTTTCTTATATTTTCTGGTATTTCTTGCACTTAAACGGTTCATAAGTTGGATAAAGTATGACTGCTCTATTTGGGTTGAAAACGTAAAACCTTGAGCTCTTGAAATCGCTTTCCCCTCGCTCGCGGTTTTACATTTTCAACCAAAATCGAGGAGATGTGTTTTATTCTCAACTTCTGAATCAGTTCTCGATGCTTCAACTTTGATACAAACGGGAACTGAATAAAAAGTAGTAAACATGGTCAACAATAATCTCAGGGGTGTGTCCTCTGGAAAACATTTCTAAGACTGACAAGCCTTGTCATTCTCACCTGTTCTTTCCTGAGCAAGTGTTTGTGTATGTCGAACTCGTCCAGGAGCAGAGTGTTGCTGATGCGGTGCACCATCATGCTGATGTGGGACGACTTGCAGAACGGGATCTTGAGTAGCTTCTTGATGTTCTGTGGACCAAAAGTGACATGGGTCATGACATGAGGCATAGAGCAGAACAGTGACATGAGGCATAGAGCAGAACAGTGACATGAGGCATAGAGCAGAACAGTGATACAAAGCATAGAGCAGAACAGTGACATGAGGCATAGAGCAGAACAGTGACATGAGGCATAGAGCAGAACAGTGATACAAAGCATAGAGCAGAACAGTGATACAAAGCATAGAGCAGAACAGTGATATGATTCATAGAGAAGAACAGTGACATGAGGCATAGAGAAGAACAGTGACATGATTCACAGAGCAGAACAGTGACATGAGGCATAGAGCAGAACAGTGATACAAAGCATAGAGCAGAACAGTGACATGAGGCATAGAGCAGAACAGTGACATGAGGCATAGAGCAGAACAGTGATATGATCCATAGAGCAGAACAGTGACATGATCCATAGAGCAGAACAGTGACATGAGGCATTGAGCAGAACAGTGATATGAGGCATAGAGCAGAACAGTGACATGATCCTTAGAGCAGAACAGTGACATGAGGCATAGAGCAGATCAGTGACATGAGGCATAGAGCTGAACAGTGACATGAGGCATAGAGCAGAACAGTGACATGATTCATAGAGCAGAACAGTGACATGAGGCATTGAATAGAACAGTGACATGAGGCATAGAGCAGATCAGTGACATGAGGCATAGAGCTGAACAGTGACATGAGGCATAGAGCAGAACAGTGACATGAGGCATAGAGCAGAACAGTGATACAAAGCATAGAGCAGAACAGTGACATGATTCATAGAGAAGAACAGTGACATGAGGCATAGAGAAGAACAGTGACATGATTCACAGAGCAGAACAGTGACATGAGGCATAGAGCAGAACAGTGACATGAGGCATAGAGCAGAACAGTGATACAAAGCATAGAGCAGAACAGTGACATGAGGCATAGAGCAGAACAGTGACATGAGGCATAGAGCAGAACAGTGATACAAAGCATAGAGCAGAACAGTGATATGATTCATAGAGCAGAACAGTGACATGAGGCATAGAGCAGAACAGTGACATGATTCATAGAGCAGAACAGTGACATGAGGCATAGAGCTGAACAGTGACATGATTCATAGAGCAGAACAGTGACATGATTCATAGAGCAGAACAGTGACATGAGGCATAGAGCAGAACAGTGATATGATCCATAGAGCAGAACAGTGATATGAGGCATAGAGAAGAACAGTGACATGATCCTTAGAGCAGAACAGTGACATGAGGCATAGAGCAGATCAGTGACATGAGGCATAGAGCTGAACAGTGACATGAGGCATAGAGCAGAACAGTGACATGATTCATAGAGCAGAACAGTGACATGAGGCATTGAATAGAACAGTGACATGAGGCATAGAGCAGATCAGTGACATGAGGCATAGAGCTGAACAGTGACATGAGGCATAGAGCAGAACAGTGACATGAGGCATAGAGCAGAACAGTGATACAAAGCATAGAGCAGAACAGTGACATGATTCATAGAGAAGAACAGTGACATGAGGCATAGAGAAGAACAGTGACATGATTCACAGAGCAGAACAGTGACACGAGGCATAGAGCAGAACAGTGACATGAGGCATAGAGCAGAACAGTGATACAAAGCATAGAGCAGAACAGTGACATGAGGCATAGAGCAGAACAGTGACATGAGGCATAGAGCAGAACAGTGATACAAAGCATAGAGCAGAACAGTGATATGATTCATAGAGCAGAACAGTGACATGAGGCATAGAGCAGAACAGTGACATGATTCATAGAGCAGAACAGTGACATGAGGCATAGAGCTGAACAGTGACATGATTCATAGAGCAGAACAGTGACATGAGGCATAGAGCAGAACAGTGACATGATTCATAGAGCAGAACAGTGACATGATTCATAGAGCAGAACAGTGACATGAGGCATAGAGCAGAACAGTGATATGATCCATAGAGCAGAACAGTGACATGATCCATAGAGCAGAACAGTGACATGAGGCATTGGATAGAACAGTGACATGAGGCATAGAGCAGATCAGTGACATGAGGCATAGAGCTGAACAGTGACATGAGGCATAGAGCAGAACAGTGACATGATTCATAGAGCAGAACAGTGACATGAGGCATTGAATAGAACAGTGACCTGAGGCATAGAGCAGAACAGTGACATAAGGCATAGAGCAGAACAGTGACATGATTCATAGAGCAGAACAGTGACATGAGGCATTGAATAGAACAGTGACATGAGGCATAGAGCAGAACAGTGATATGAGGCATAGAGCAGAACAGTGATATGATCCATAGAGCAGAACAGTGATATGATTCACAAAGCAGAACAGTGATATGTTAGTGAGTGTCCAACCATGTCCATGGCAGGCAAATTGGGAAAAATTATTATTTTGTTCAAAATTTAGATTTTTGTAAAGTTTTTATTTTCCTGAACTCTTAGATCATATTAACATTGTAATTGTGGGGTACACATAACTATCCCAGCAGAATGGTCTTGTGAAACTATTCAACTCCAAAGTCAGCTCTGACACAAGAGATGAAAGCAGGTGCAATGTCACATCCTTCCTGGCACCCATTCAACAGCCAGGGAAAGCCTTTCCCCTTGTAGGGATTCCGGGTAACCATGGTAACACAAGGCTTTCAAGTAAACCATGCTGGTCGTATGGCGCGACTGAAAGGATCAGGTGGTCACACTTGGTTGATTGCATTGCTCATAATATCAGTTACTGGATTGTTTGGAAAAACCTTGAATATTTTCAGCCCGCCACCATTTAGCCGTTATATTGCTGAGTGAGGCATAAAAAACAAAACAAACAAACAAACAAAGTGAATGTGTGATTACCTACCTCAGCGTCAGTGACGACATCAACTTCTCCAGTCAGGTCAGGGAAGTTGTTGGCCATGTTGAAACTGTGACAACATTCATAGATATAGATAATCTTTTAAACATACCATCATAGGCACTTTGGCCGGAGATGGGATGTAACAGAGAGTTTATACATGACTTATAGACTCCCTGAGTTAAGTAAGTGAAATATATCTATCTAAATATTCACAGTATAGTCAATACAAATCAGATAACAGCAGCTTGACTATTACTACCATCTGCACAGAGTCATGTTCTGATGTATGGGTCAGCTGCCCCTAACTTAAGTCAGACAAAGGCTGGTTGGCCACCGAAGCATGAGATTGTGGATAAGGTGCAGGCAGATGATACATGTGTTGCACGTCATGCATGTGGCACGTGGCAGCCTGACCGTGATTCGCTCCTTGGGGATAAATGGACAATGCTTTCTGTTCGTCGGGACTTCACCCTCGGACAGCGGCCAGGCAGCTCGTTCGCTGGAGCCTCCAAAATGTCGCCTGGCCATTACTGTCCTCTTATCATTATTAGGACTATGTAGCTGTATTGGTCAAATCACGAAATCCACAAAGTGTCTTGGACCCAAATATAGCTTGTGTTTGAAGGACAGATATCCCAAAGCAGTTTAGGGTTTAATACCAGGATAATACAAAAAAAAAACTGTACAGGGAGGTCTTACAGTCTTACAAGTTAACACAGAGTCAACTCCTGATCGAAGATATAAGTCGCCAAAGTAATTGTTCATAGTGAACTTGTGAATTCAGGATATTTTAGTTCATTAACATGGCAATTCAACACCAATGGCATGTTCATTGTACATCACGGCAGTGACAAATGAACGCTCATTCTAACTACACGTTTCCTTGATGTTCCACCCAGTTCAAGTGCAGGTAAAAAAAGAACGCCTCAGTTCCACTGGGACCGTCAATACACAAGGACAGTACTGTCATGGCTATGTACATGTGATTTGTTAATCCAAAAACATTAATCCAACTGACTGTCTTGTCAGAATGAAGTGTTTTCCAACACTTTTCCAAGTGTTTACTTCATGGCAGAATAATAAAGAATGATTTAAGCTGTTGAAAGGAGATGTTAAAACATGGTTCACCTTGAAAACTCTGGGTGTTCTCGTTTACGTGGAAAGTCTCGGAAAAACTGTTCCAGAACGGAGCTGCTTCGGAGCCAGTTTGAGGGCGGGACATTGAGGTTGGTATTGAGTTGCAATCTGGAGAATGTTGGGGACGTGGCCACACTCGTATACTTGACCACAGCTGTGGACCGGACATCGGGGCCCATTGCTTTTGGAACAACCTCCTACAACATCAACAATCTATGGATGAAATTATGCAGAAATGTATAGAAGAATATGGCTGAGCCATGATCATGATGATAGTATTAGATAACCATAAAGTCATACTGTGAGCAGGTGAATCACACTGAGTATACCGTATACGACGTAATAAGCGCCCAGGGCGCTCTCAAAATTAGAAATAGGGGGCCCTTATTAGAATATAATTTTCGTGAGAGAAAAAAACAGAGTTGAAAGATCTTAAATTTCGTGGTTTATGCTAACAGCCTGAAATGATACAAAAGAAAAGTCTGTGCGTATTATACACAACAGATACTTTTTCCAGAAATTAATTGCCCATAATTAAGGGTGCATATAACACACGAGTGCGTATTATACACGAATAAATAAGTCTTGTGTACATTGATCAATCGGAAGGGGTGCTAATTGGGATTGTTCACTAGCTATTCAATATATTAGCAAATATGGGCGCTTATTAGAGCGGGGCGCTTATTACGTCGAATACAGTAATCCTGTTGATTAATTCAAACATGGCTATTAAATCAAACAATGCCAAATGTTATGAATAGATGTCATATAAAAAGAAAGAACAATGTGTCCTTTCATGCACACTGACATTCTTTAGTACACATTGTTCTTTCTCTTTTGACTTTTATATTGCATACTTTTGACCTTTATTTGAACTTTGTATTTTTTAACCAGTGTCTCTTTGTTTTGCATGATGTCCTTTATTGGTGACATTTAATATTTTATTCATAACATTTGACTATTATTGTGTACTTTTTTCCTATATTTCAACTTTGTTTTTTTTTAATGAATGGCCGCCCATACTATTGGCAGCCTTTTCAGTTTTTCCTTATTAGCACATTCTTGTCCTTCAACACAGACATGCATTTACAGCTTGGGGCTAAGTAAGGATGAAGGGATAATCTAATTAATGCCAACATCATGTTGGGTTAATGGAATAAATAAAATATTCTAAACCAAATCAAATCATGCATTATTCCACTAATCATCAAACTTTGTGCGTTGGTTTTAACACGGCTTTGAACAGTATTACAGTTATATCATGGCGTGACAGTTTAATGTGGGAGGAAACACAGAATTGATGGAGGGCTCAGACGTTTATAAAATCCACGAGCACGGGTATGGTGCTGACAAACCAAGAAACATAATCGGGTCGAACTGTCATTCGAACTCACAGATTTCTGGTGTGCCCAAGTGACATTTTGCTGTACGCGTTTGTTAAAATCCGATTGATGTTTACTGGATATACTACTTCGACTGACGTACAATAACCCGAGACGGTTATCCCTTAGTCCTATCTGCTAACGTTTAGCAAAGACGTAAAGTTGTTACTTGTAGTTTAACTAACTTGTAAACAAGAACTGTCAAAAGAATTATTTTGAATTAACCTTGGACGATCCTGACGTCGGCATTTTGAAATTGGATGCCTGCTTGATTTTACAACGCGTTGCTCTCCCGATCTGTAAAATGCATATCGTAGACCGATGTCTCGAGTTTTGTGATCGTCTCGAAATTCTGGCGCGTTCTCGGTCTTTCTACTCATGGATGGAAACCGGAAGTAAATAATAGCTGTGCTTAAACTCCCTTCAGCGTACATTGTCACGCAGCACAAAAAGCACTGCGTGAAGTTTGTGAGTGAAAACGCGGAACCTCTGATTTGCATATTCACAAATACTTGATGTATGAGGTTCTAATGCCAAGAATATAAAGTCAGTAGTATGATAAATATATCATTTCGTTTGGGAATTTTTGTGAAATATGATAAAACATAAAACTGTGTAATGTTTTCGTGGGAACAAAGTAACGCACTGTTTGCATGGAGTACCTGTGGAACATTCCAGCAAACGAGTCGGTCATTTTGGAATATTTCACTTGTCTCAGGCAGGGAAGCTGATATTTTTTTATATTTTTCATTCATTGTCATGATTATCAGGCCTTGAGTTTATATAAAAGCTGTAAACTGAAATTAATCTTTTCAACATTTCCGAATATTGGAGTCGTAAACCAAGTAATAACAAACAATAAACAAATAATTATACCACAGATACTTGTTTATCTTTGTGGTTTCCGATTATACTCGTTATCTGTATGGTTGTCTGTGTGAGCAGATTTAGTGAAATTATTCAAGCCTTGTCGCGGCGGGTACATTTGTAATGGGTGGCACAGTCGTTTGCTGTGCAGAGTTGCGTCCCCTGGGCACGCCAGAAACCTATATGATTGTGGGTTCGAATCCCGGTTCGCCCCGATTATGTTTCTAGGTTTGTCAGCACCATACCCGTTCTCTTGGTTTTCACGGAAGTGGTAAACGTCTGAGACCTGCATCACATCGGGCTTTCCTCCCACATTAAGCTGACACGCCGCGATATATATAACTTGAATAATGTTAAAAGCGGCGTTAAACCCAACTCACTCACTCACTGTACTGGGATTCATACATCAAACACCGTTCCCTGGCTTTAAACACCGTTGGTATAGTAGCTCCCCAGCATCCTCTGTGACACAGCTGGAATATCGCCGAGTGCGGCGTTAAACAACAAACAAACAAACCTGGTTATAATCAGTTAGGTTTCTTAACTTATCCACGTGTATTTCATAATTACAATAGTTTTTGCCTTCATGGTTGACGAACGCCAATTAGCTTTAAAGTCCCCACCTTCTTGGTGAAACTATATATATACATTTCTAATTTTAAAAAACCAAAAACCACACAAATTATCTGCAAGTAGACACACTCGTATATCAATATATATAGCGATAGTTTAACACACACACACACACACACACACACACACACACACACACACACACACACACACACATTGTATATGGCCTCTGGTAAAGCTGAAGAATCACGTGACAGGCCTATCCCTATTAAACTCCTTTAAAGAGAAGCGAGTTTAAATAATACAATTTAAACATTTTACCGGCGACTAACTCGGGTTTCCTTCTCTGGAAATAAATGTTTACCGTTTGTCATACTGAACATGTCTATTGCTGTTTTACTGTTTAACGAACACTGAAAACATGTGCTGGCATCGGCCCGTGTAGCTTGGTCATGCCAAGGACGTGTGTGTGTGTGTGTGTGTGTGTGTGTGTGTGTGTGTGTGTGTGTGTCTGTGTCTGTGTCTGTGTCTGTGTGTGTGTCTGTGTGTGTGTCTGTGTGTGAGTGAGTATGGTTTTACGCCGCTTTTAGCAATATCCCAGCTGGGGACACCAGAAATGGGCTTCACACATTGTACCCATGTCGGGAATCGAACCCGGGTCTTCGGCGTGACGAGCGAATGCTTTAACTACTAGGCTACCCGACCGCCCCTTGTATATGTATGTATGAATGCTTGCGTAAGTGCGTGCGTGAGTGCGTGCCTGCGTGCGTATGTATGTGAGTGAGTGTATTGGGTTTAAATTCGCTTTGAACAGTATTCCAGTTATATCACGGCATGTCAACTTGATGTGGGAGAAAGCCCGAAGTGATGCAGGTCTCAGACATTTAAAGCTTTGGTGAAACCCACGAGCACGGGTATAGTGCAGACAAGCCTGGAAACATAGTCGGAGCGAACAGGGTTTCGAATCCCACAAGGGACGCAACTCTGCCTGAGACGACCGGGCCAACGACTGAGTAACAACCACAAGTGCGATCATTTAACCCACTTTGAGTAAGACGCAGCAAGGGGATGGTGTTGACAGACCTAGAAACATCACCGGAGCGAACCGGGGCTGGTATCCCTTTCGCTCCCCGGGTAGACGTGTGTGTTGGTCAGAGTGTGAGTGTTAGTGGGTTGGCGTGTTTATGTTACCCCCCAACCCCAACCCCACGTGAACCCGACACAATTGCATTGCATGTGACATGGACGCGAACTATGCAAGTCACGATATGAATAACTCAACACCCGATACGGGCGAGGCACTCTGACATGTCTCATACATAGGACGGGAGGGGAACGCCTGAGGTAGGGTTTGAAAGGAATTCTGATAATGGGAGTCATACAACATACACCTACGTGAAGGCATTATTTACAACTAATCACTGCAATACTATATGATGGTAATCCTCCCTCCCCACAAAGTAGACTTATTTGGTTATGGAGTTGGCTGTATCTATTGTTTTATAAGGTTTTGAAGGTGTTCTAAATGGATACCCCATGTTAGTTGAAACAGGTTGTGTTTCAGATAAAAAACAAAAATCACGTAAATGATCATGGATATTTCGCAGTGTTAGCTAGCCTTTCAAAACAATCGATTTCGTAGCGCATTTTCGATGTTAACTATTGATGCACTGATTTATTTTCCATGTTTTGCCATCAGGTCATGGCCAATTGTAATGGATCGATAGTGCGCCCATGTTTGTAATTAACATACAAACGTGTCAATACTAAACAAAGGCTAGATTACAGACCATTAAGCCTTAAATGTCAGTACATGTAAGTGAGTGAGTTGAGTTTTAGGCCGCTTTGAAAAATTGTGTTTATCATATCATGGAATGTCAGGTTTCTGTGTGAGGAAAGCCCGAAGTGATGTAGGTCTTAGACGTTTATCACTGTGGTGTAACCCAGGCTCATGGGCATGGCGAACAAACATAGATACATAACAAGGGTAAACTGGGATTTGAACCTACAGTCATAGTAGGTTTCTGCTGTAATATATGTTGTGGAACAGGATACAACCTGGACCCCATTCAACAAAGTATCTCAATATCATAGGATGCTGGCACGCCCAAGGGACACAACTCAACAAAGCGAATTGCGGCACCTTATACGACTTGGGTCACCTGTGAAAGTATGATGCTGACAAACCAAGGATCATAATCAGGATGGACCTATGATTCAAACCAACGATCACTGGATCCTGGCACACATAAGGAATGCAACTCTGCACATCGATTTGCAGCGCATTAGATATATATATATACATATGTGTGTGTGTGTGTGTGTGCGCGCGTGCTAGTAACCAGTCTTAATTTTGTATATATATATATATATATATATATATATATATATATATGCGTGTGCGTGCGTGTGTGTGTGTGCGCGTGCGTGTGTGTGTGTGTGTGTGTGTGTGTGTGTGTGTGTGTGTGTGTGTGTGTGTGTGTGTGTGTGTGTGTGTGTGTGTGCTAGTAACCAGTCTTAATGGCGCATATATATATTGAAGTCAATTTATAGAATTGGAAAGAAACCCTAAGTGGGAATGGGCGTGCATCAGATACCAGTTTTTGCAAGTGATCGGTAATACACACATCCAAAAAAGATGTGCAGGGGTTCCTTGAGCATAACAAAAATGATAAACATGATAAGCTAAATCATTTGGTGACTTGTTTTCAACTTAAATTACTTCTAATTTTCGGCATATATATGTATATACGTAACTTGTTTCCCAAACTATGTGATTGCATTTTTGTATTTAATCGGCACCCTTTTTCCCCAAAGAGCTGTTTCGCGATTGTCGATGATATTCAGAGACATTTTTACCATGTTTACCATTTGTTTTTTTTATTTGTTTGTTTAACGCCGAACTCAGCAATATTCCAGCTATATGACGGCAGTCTGTAAATAATCGAGTCTGGACCAGACAACCCAGTGATTGACATCATGAGCATTGATCCACGCAATTGGGATACGATGCCATGCATCAACCAAGTCAGCGAGCCCGACCACCCGATCCCGTTAGTCGCATCTTACGACAAGCATAGTCGACTTTTGCGGCAAGAAAAGATTGCTGGAGACCGATTCTAACCCGGATCTTCATGGGTCAGCAACTGTTATGAGAAGCCTTCATACTCAAAGTAGTGGTCATACCATGATGGGCGATGTTCCGAGACACATCATCCTCTGAACAGCTGATTTGGATCCCAGTGACATAAACATAAAAAAATATGCTCGCATATTTCTGTAGAACGTTACAATTATATCTTAGTTACCTTTTGTATTATTGAAATACACGTGAACATAAATATAACCAACAAGTTTTCCAACTCCTCTCCTCACCCTCCCTCCTCAAGGTAGGAATGTATATTCTCACAGCATCCTCCACCCAAACACCTGAATCCGTCTCTGAACATTATTTTTTTGTCGTTTCTCCACACATACTTACCAAATGTACACAATGTCTACCCTCTCTATGCACACACTATTCCCACTACAAAATGTCTACCTTCTCTATTCACGCACTATTCACACTACACAATGTCTCCCTTCCTTATTCACACACTATTCACACCAGAAAATGTCTGCCTTCTCTATTCACGCAGTTTTCACACCAGAAAATGTCTACCTTCTTTATTCACGCACTGTTCACACCAGAAAATGTCTATCTTCTCTATTCACGCACTATGCACAACACAAAATGTCTACCTTCTCCATTCACACACAATTCACACTACAAAATGTCTACCTTCCCTATTCACGAATTATTCACACTACAAAATGTCTACCCTTCACACACAGTATTCACACTACAAAATATATACCTTCTCTTTCACGCACTATTCACACTACAAAATGTCTACTTTCTCTATTCACACACTATTCACACTACAAAATGTATACCTTCTCTATTCAC